CAATCCTAATTGGACAGGGGGTCCAGTGTCACCTGTGGGCTTACACTTCCAATCCCACATGAGGACAGGTATGACGTTGGTCCTTGTGACTGGTGGGCAACCCAAAGACTGAAGGTCAGCAAGACCCAGTATAAATAGAAGGAATCGGACTTTGGCCAGTCGAGAGAGCAGTACCGGTACCTTCCTGTTGGCGAGCTTAGGTTCCCTTGGTTAAAACCACAACAACCACAACACGTGGTTTTATCCGCCCCTGAACAATACCTGGTCCTAACACTGGTGGCAGGGTGGCACTTTTATGCCTGGCTTTTTGTCCCACTGATTTTTGGCTTCACTCGCCTCCCATTCCTTTTTGTTGTTGTTGTTGTTGTTGTTGTTGTTGTTGTTTAGTCGTGACCGACTCTTCGTGACCCCCTGGACCAGAGCACGCCAGGCACTTCTGTCTTCCACTGCCTCCCGCAGTGTCAAACCCATGCTGGTAGCTTCGAGAACACTGTCCAACCATCTTGTCCTCTGTCGTCCCCTTCTCCTTGTGCCCTCCATCTTTCCCAACATCAGGGTCTCTTCCAGGGAGTCTTCTCTTCTCATGAGGTGGCCAAAGTCTTGGAGTCTCAGCCTCAGGATCTGTCCTTCCAGTGAGACCTCAGGGCTGATTTCCTTAAGAATGGAGAGGTCTGATCTTCTTGCAGTCCATGGGACTCTCAAGAGTCTCCTCCAGCACCATAATTCAAAAGCATCAATTCTTTGGCGATCAGCCTTCTTTATGGTCCAGCTCTCACTTCCATATATCACTACTGGGAAAACCATGGCTTTAACTATATAGACCTTTGTTGGCAAGATGATGTCTCTGCTTTTTAAGATGCTGTCTAGGTTTGCCATTGCTTTTCTCCCAAGAAGCAGGCGTCTTTTAATTTTGTGGCTGCTGTCACCATCTGCGGTGATCATGGAGCCCAAGAAAGTAAAATCTCTCACTGCCTCCATTTCTTCCCCTTCTATTTGCCAGGAGATGATGGATTAAAGGATACATTCCTTTAATGGTACATTATTTAATGCTACATTCCTTTAATGTAGCCCAAAACTGCATAAATTCATACAGTGTCAGCCTGCCTCTTCCTCCCGTCTGCAGCTGGTTGAGGAAAAACAAACGGCATGTTGGTTGTAAACCACTGAAACCAAAAGGGTTGCGACTTCCTTCCTGTTCCATTTATAGCTATGAATGAAATCCCTTCCCTTTTCCTCTCCCAGGTGAATTGGGAGTTTCAGAAGTAGACTTGGGGTTCTACTACAAGCAGGGGCAGGATAGAGTTATGCCTTCAGTGTCCTGGTTAGCAGCTAATTTGCCAGGAGGGCCAGTGTGATGGGGATGAAGGGCCAGCCACACCCAGTCTGGCAACATGGTGGCCAGCCAGTCCCAGTATTGCTGCCATCTACCCCTCCACCCTCTTGCCTCTGGATTGGCAACTGAAGGGCCAGCAGATAGACTACATATGGCCTTCAGACCTCTAGTCGCTGATACAAATGGAATTATGCTTTTGTAGAAGCACTTCCCAAATCATCACTTGCTCTTGTAGTAGGGGATGAGGTTGCTGCACGATTGATATAGACATTGGAGGATGGTCCAGTATAGGGTGTGAGGAATTCCTCACCATGCTCCTCCAGCCACCAGCCAGCCCACACCTGCCTGCCATGTTTCTTACAACCAGTCTAAGGATGGCACTACCTGCCACCTTCCCTCCTCCTCAGGCTCAATGTTCCCCTTATGGAGGAGCATTGGGAGAAACCTAATCTGGCTTGGCCTGTCGTTGGCTCTGGATTCACCTGCTATTGGGCTCCTTGCCCCAATGAATATCAACTTCTGAAACTCCCAATTAACCTGGGAGAGGAAAAGGGAAGGGATTTCATATATTCCCTCTCCCTCATTGCGACTGAGCCCATAATTTATTGCTCTGCAGAATGAGCTGGATGATTTTCTTGCAGTACTTCATGGAAAAGCCATCTCTTGCTAGAAAGGAAAGTTCTGATATGTGGTCATTATTACAGCAGCGGGAAAACTATAGGAGCCAAGATGAGAGGAATGGATTAAAGGAACATAAAAGGATCTCAGACTTCTTGGTTCTGTTTGAAATTCTCGATAATGAGGACCATAGTGATTTAAGCGAGAGCCTGGTATTAAAAGTGCCATCCTTTCCCGCCCACAGAAGTGCTTTTCTGTGTGGGAGGGGGGCCCTTGAATTCAATGACACCTTATTTATTTAATGGGTCTCAATGGGAGACCTCTCTGCCTGAAACCTAGAGAGCTGTGGCCTGTCTGTAAATTTTCCCAGCTGGATGAATCCATCATCTTGACTCATTCCTAAACAGCTTTGTAGGTTATACAAAAGTAAGATGACACAGGGATCCTCCTGCTGCTTCATCACCTCTGCCCACCCCTCAGACTCCTGCCTTCCCTGACACTACTAAGCTCAGGGGAAACAGCAGTTAAGAGTGCAAAGTGTTGGTGCATGATTACTGATTACTCAAAATCCGCTACTGCTTATTGAAATCCAGCAGGAATTGCTCACAAACTCATCTGCATCTGCGGCTGTAAGGACTTAGACTACATGACTGGACCGATCAAGGCAGCCGACAGCCTGCATGGGGTGCTCTTAGTTAAGTTTGCAGTTGCACAGCTTCCGCTGCCACCAAACAGCCTCCCTGGCTGCTGCTGATTTGAGCCACCCACATCCAGGCCAAGAGTTCAGCTGCCACTAGGATGATCTGAGGCCACTTCCTTCCTCATCCACCAGCCCTAAAGCAGCTTGGGAATTGTTTTAATACATGGACATCAGTTTCTCTTCTGGGTGCCTGCAGGATGAGGCCTTCTCTGTATTGCTCAGCCACCCAGGATAGAAAGAAGTAAGGCAGATCAATAGGGATACATGCCAACCAGCACAACATGGCGGCTCCCTTTAACCCAACCTATATCTAGACAGCAACTTAAAAAGCAGAGACATCACCTTGCCAACAAAGGTCTGTATAGTTAAAGCTATGGTTTTCCCAGTAGTGATGTATGGAAGTGAGAGCTGGACCATAAAGAAGGCTGATCGCCAAAGAATGGATGCTTTTGAATTATGGTGCTGGAGGAGACTCTTGAGAGTCCCATGGACTGCAAGAAGATCAGACCTCTCCATTCTTAAGGAAATCAGCCCTGAGTGCTCACGGGAAGGACAGATCGTGAAGCTGAGGCTCCAGGACTTTGGCCACCTCATGAGAAGAGAAGACTCCCTGGAAAAGACCCTGATGTTGGGAAAGATGGAGGGCACAAGGAGAAGGGGACAACAGAGGACGAGATGGTTGGACAGTGTTCTCGAAGAGACCAACATGAGTTTGACCAAACTGAGGGAGGCAGTGGAAGACAGGCGTGCCTGGCTTGCTCTGGTCCATGGGGTCACGAAGAGTAGGACACAGCTAAACGACTAAACAACAACAACGTATCTTTCACATGACTTCATTTCTGGTTCTGCAGTGGAGGCAAACGTTCTACCTTCACACAACTTTTCTACAGCAAGCTAAGAACGCAAAAGCCTGCTGGATCAGTCCCAAAGTCCATGTTGTACAGTATCCTATTCTCACAGTGGCCAACCAGGTGCCTATAAGGGAAGCCCACAAGCAGGACCTGAATGCCATAGTTCTCTCCTTGCTTGTGATTCCCAGAAACAGGATTCAGAGGCCTAGTGTCTCCATCAGTCCTTGGCTAGTAGCCATAGATAGTCTCCCCCACCCCCCCACCCCGAATTCATCTAGCCCTTTTAAGGCCATTCAAGTGTGGGGCCACCAGTGCCTCTTCCAGCCTTGAACACCATGATTTAACTATGTATGAAGTATGTATGAACGCCATGATTTAACTATGTATATTATCTTGTCTACCAAGGAACTCTGTGTGTGGCTACAGGAGATGGTGGGGAATCAAGGGGTGTTAGGGTACATGCTCAGTTACCACTGAGTATTGTGACCAGGGCTGTTGGGTCTTACTGCTGTCTTGCTTTAATTGAGAGTGAGACTTGCATCACACCCAATACTTGCCTCCAGATGCCCATTGCCAGGGATGATGAGTATTCATAGGCAAGAAGATTTTGAAAGAAAAGTTTCTGAGTCAGCTGTATTAGTCACAATACTATACTCAAGAAATCTCTCAAAGGCTTAAAAAAAAATATGGATACCAGTAAGTTACATTTGGCTTACACAACGTTTATTAAGTAGATTTGACTGTGTAGACCTGTAATTGCCTGGTATATTTTGAATTTATAGTTCGTCAATGAAAAAACCATTTACCTCGTTAAAGCTTTACAAGTTAGGTGTTGACTTTTGGAGTCAGTGTTTCAACCTGACAGTAGCTGAATTGTATCAGCAGAGACAACCTGACATTACTCTAACCCAGGCTTCATCAAACTCTGCCCTCCAGATGTTTTGAGACTACAATTCCCATCATCCCTGACCACTGGTCCTTCCAGCTAGGGATCACAGGAGTTGTAGGGCAAAAACATCTGGAGAGCAGAGTTTGAGGAAGTCTGCTCTAACCCTTGCCAAGCAAATGTTGCTAACTCTGTTGAGTTTCCTGCATATTTTTGGACTTCCTTTGACTGAGGTGGATATATATATATATAGTGAGCAGAAAAATGTTCCTAATTTCCACTTAACTGAAAGTTAAACTTAACTTTAAACTTTTTAAACTTTAAACTACTTTAAATTTTAAAATTAAAGTTATATACAGCTTTCCAGGCAGATCAGAAAAAGCAGCTTATATAAAGTTATTCCAGCAATGAGCATCAGTAAACATGTTACAATAAAACAGGTAAATCTCTGAACTTCATCACAAATCAAAACCAAAATATGGTAATATAAAATAATTTTGTACCTTACTGTGTTGTTATAAGAATGTACATTTCATAGAATTGTAGAGTTGGAAGGGACCACGAAGGTCATCTACTCCAACCCCCTGCAATGCAGGAATCTTTAGCACAACATGGCGCTCGAACCCACAACCCTGGGATTAACTGCCTCATGCTCATTTGATACTTATATGCAAATTAAAATGGTATTCTTTTCAGCTATAAGCAAAGTGGGGACCGAAAGTTTCATTTTAATTACATCCATTATAGAATTAAAATGGCTAAGCATTTCACTGCAGTGCTTGATTTATTCTGATTGTGGAACTTGAAACGTTCAGTGAATGTCGAGGTTATCTTTGGATGCATCTGGGCATACTGAATCGTGATCATCCACGGATGGAGAGTGGGAGATGGCTGAATCAGGTGGACATGACAAGATCCATCCACTGAAAGGCAGAAATGAAATCAGGTGAGCTTTAATTCCCCACTTGCTTTGGGCTACAATATAGTAGACAGTTGCAGGTGTTATAAGGAGGACAGAGGGCTTGGACAAGCCACAGGGCTGATTTAAAAACTGGGTAGCATTGTGAGCTGCGTCAAAAGCTCATGTAAACACTACTGTCTCACCCCACGTTGCTCTGGGCTCTTGTTATTACTTGACCTGCTTGGGAGAGATTATCTTCATAGATAAGAGAGAGGAAAACATTTATTCCTACACAGCCTGTATTCATTTTGAGCTGTCATTGGCCATGATACTCTATGGAAGGGATAGGGAACCTGTAGCCCCACAGATGCTTTTGGACTACAAATCCGTCAGGCTCCATGGACTCAGCTTCCTTCCCCTCCTTTGGCAGTATATATAAGCAGAACAAAGCGAAAGGAGTCTCTTACCATTTATAGTTTTTAATGATCACAGCGAGAGAACAAAGAATCCATTCCTCGGAATGGAGGTGCTCCCAATTAAGGGCTCCACCCACGTCCCCCCTAGTCACCCACGTCATTTCCATGTCTTGCAACCTGATCTCGCAACCACTGTGCTTTCTGTTCTGACACCTTATCTGCTCTCCTTGACCTTCAGCTGATCGGATGGATGCTTTCCAGTGATATTAAGTCTGTTAACTCTCTCTTCCCCAGTTCTTCTTCTAGCTGTTCACCACCCAGTTATTCCCAGCTTCTGCCTTCTGAACTACATCCCTCTGGAAACCACTGTTCCAAATCTATACTGTCCTCCTGCTCCTGGGAAGATTCAGAATCCCACCATTCCTCCTCAGAGCAGCCCTCCTCAGCACAGTCCCTGACAAAATCTCATCACTCCTGACCAGTGGCTATGATGGGAGTTAGAGCTCAACAACATCTGGAGAGCCACTGGTGAGCCAAATCCTGCCTTAAAAACTCCTAACATACTGGACTGGAGGGTTTAGTGACAGGAGATGCTAGCCCTAACCATAATCCTCCACTTCAAAATACTGCAACCTTTAGTAACTTGAGCAGTCTTAACATCCCTTTCTACCCTCTTTTTTCAGCCATGTTTACACCACATTAGCTCGATTAGACTTTGTTTTCTTCTTCTGCAACTCTAGAGGGGCTGGGAGCTGGGGCCACTGTTATACGCTGGTTCCGCTCCTTCCTCCTGGGCCATGTTCAGAAGGTGGTGTTGGCGGATGAGTGTTCAGACCCCTGGGCCCTCACTTGTGGGGTGCCTCAGGGTTCTGTCCTCTCCCCCGTGCTTTTCAACATCTACATGCATCTGCTGGGAGAGATCATCAGGGGGTTTGGGCTGGGTGTTCATCAATATGCGGATGATACCCAGCTCTACCTCTCTTTTAAACTGGAACCAGTGAAGGTGGTGAAGGTCCTGTGTGAGTGTCTGGAGGCAGTTGGAGGATGGATGGTGGCTAACAGATTGAGGTTGAATCCTGACAAGACAGAAGTACTGTTTTGGGGGGCAGGAAATGGGCAGGTGTGGAGGACTCACTGGTCCTGAATGGGGTAACTGTGCCCCTGAAGGAACAGGTGCGCAGCCTAGGAGTCATTTTGGACTTGTAACTGTCCATGGAGGTGCAGGTGAATTCTGTGTCCAGGGCAGCTGTTTACCAGCTCCATCTGGTACACAGGCTGAGACCCTATCTGCCCACGGACTGTGTCACCAGAGTGGAGCATGCGCTGGTTATCTCCCACTTGGACTACTGCAATGCTCTCTATGTGGGGCTACCTTTGAAGGTGACCCGGAAACTACAACTAATCCAGAATGCAGCAACTAGACTAGTGACTGGGAGAGGCCGCCGAGACCACATAACACTGGTCTTGAAAGACCTACATTGGCACCCAGTAAATTTCTGAGCACAATTCAGATTGTTGGTGCTGACCTTTAAAGCCCTAAACAGCCTCGGTCCAGTATACCTGAAGGAGCGTCTCCACCCCCATCCTTCTGCCTGGACGCTGAGGTCCAGCACCGAGGGCCTTCTGGCGGTTCCCTCACTGCGAGGTAAGCCAAGTTACAGGGAACCAGACAGAGGGCCTTCTCGGTAGTGGCACCCCCCTGTGGAACGCCCTCCCAGCAGATGTCAAAGAGGACAACAACTACCAGACTTTTTGAAGACATTTGAAGGCAGCCCTGTTTAGGGAAGCTTTTAATGTTTGATGGACTACTGTATTTTAATATTTTATTGGAAGCCGCCCAGAGTGGCTGGGAAAACCCAGTCAGATGGGCAGGGTATAAATAATAAGTTGTTGTCGTTGTTGTTGAGGGCTCCTTCTCCCTTCTGAACATGCTGGTGCCTCCCTCGCCCTGTTGTGGCTGCATTTCCATCGACACTTGAGTTTGCTACTAGAGGAATTGATGCTGATGATCTCAAATTCAACGCCTTCCCAGTGCGGAAAAAAGCATGCACACAACCGCCCTCCCATCCCCCACCCCAAAAAGCGTAGTGGAGTTTAGTAATCTATGCTGGGGGGGGGGGGGAAGCAAGTTCGGAGGGTGAACATGAGACAGTCTAGAGACAACTGCCTTTTCCTCACCTTTTGCTCTGTCATGCAAATCTGTCCCTTGTCATCAGCATCCCAGCTTTTGCACTGCCCTGGTGAAAAGAAACAAAAACATAGTCATGCCAAGATTAGAGATGTGTGGATGTATTTCTCAGTTTCCAAGCTGTCTCAGTTTCACGTGCGTTCATACACAAGTGCGTTGTTTGCCATTTCTGCATTAATCAACACTGCTTAAAAGTTTGTATTTAAATATCAGCAGTGTATCACAAAATGCATATTAAATATTTTCCAGAGGGGTATCCATGCTAGTTTATTATAATAAAAAAAAACATTAAAAAGTATTGTGTCCCCTTAAAGACTAGCATTTTCAGTATGGCATAAGCTTTTACGGACTACAGCTCACTTCAGTTGTTGTTGTTGTTGTTACATTTTTAAACTGCCTTTTTACTCAGATGAATGTGTCCCACTCTGAACAGACAATTATACGGCAAAAACACATTTTGAATAGTTGCTGAACCAGAAACTTCTCTGCATTAATTTCAGTTTCAGCAAAGCACTTATCCCCCTTAGCTCCTTGGAGGAAGGGAATGATGCAAGCATGACTGAACAATAACAATAATAAAATGAGGAAGTTGTCTCTTACGGAAAATGCTTTCCAGGTGCACCATGAGAGACACAAAGTTGTCAAAGTCCATCTGAAGCCAGGAGTTGCCATACCTTCCTGCGAGAGCCTCTCTTGTCTTTGTGTTTAAGTGGAACCCTGAGCAAAATTCCACAAATGAGGGTGGGGGGAGGAATATGGAAAGTAAGCAAATGAGCATTTGGCTTTGTGTCATTTATTACACTTCCAATAGGAAGTCTCCAGATATTGTTGGCCTCCAATAACAACTCCCATCAGCTCCATCTAGCAGGGATGATGGGAGTTGCAGTCCAGCAACATCTGGAGAGCCCACCTCTGGGATACCCCCTCCAAATCTTACTCAGCTACCCCATGCCTCTTGAAATCCTGCAGGAATTGCCCACAAGCAACTCATCTGTTTCTGCAGCAGCCATGAGGACAAGAAACCGTCTTTTTGTGAGTGACAGCAAAGGTTCTCTGGAAATTGAATCTGCAAGCAAATGCCACCATTCTGTAAGGGCACGGAATCTCAAACTGCATGTAACCCTCGTTTTGTAAGGTTAAAGGTAAAGGGACCCCTGAGCATTAGGTCCAGTCGTGACCGACTCTGGGGTTGCGGCGCTCATCTCGCTTTATTGGCCGAGGGAGCCGGCATACAGCTTCCGGGTCATGTGGCCAGCAGGACTAAGCCGCTTCTGGCGAACCAGAGCAGCGCACGGAAACGTTGTTTACCTTCCCGCCGGAGCGGTACCTATTTATCTACTTGCACTTTGACGTGCTTTCGAACTGCAGGAGCAGGGACCGAGCAACGGGAGCTCACCCCGTCACGGGGATTCGAACCGCCGACCTTCTGATCAGCAAGTCCTAGGCTCTGTGGTTTAATTCACAGCGCCACCCGCGTCCCTTTTTGTAAGGTTACTCCCATCCAGATTATACTTCACAGGAGGATCATAAACAGAATCTCACTCTGTCCATTCCTTGCAGCCCGTCTGAATTTCACACTTTTGAACCACGAAGTTCCATTCTAGTTAGGGATTTAGAAGTGTGGGTGCGTGGATCCAACAAGCTGGTTACTTAGTACTCACGACTACCTCTGCATTTAGGAGGGGGGTGGGTGAGGGTGAGGAGAGATTTGGAATTGCCTTGAAGTGGAGATCCTTTTCTAACACCAAATGACTTTTAAATGATCCCTGTGAATTCCACAAAGAGGATTTTCACAGATTCAGCTCCATAATAAAGAACAATATTCCCGTGCATTATTTCCTACTCCTATTCACCTGCAGTGTCCAGTGCTAGCTGCATTTCATGGGTGTTCATGGTGCCAGACCTGTCCATGTCATAACCAATGAATATACTCTGTGGAGTGGAATCGGGAGAAGTTATTATTATTTATTATTTGTACCCCACCCATGTGGCTGGGTTTCCCCAGCCACTCTGGGCGGCTTCCAACAAAGATTAAAAATACATTAAAATGTCACACATTAAAAGTTTCCCTAAACAGGGCTGCCTTCAGATGTCTTTAAATGTCAGGTTGTTGTTTATCTCTTTGACATCTGATGGGAAGGCGTTCCACAGGGCGGGTGCCACCACCGAGAAGGCCCTCTGCCTGGTTCCCTGTAGCTTTGCTTCTCGCAGTGAGGGAACCACCAGAAGGCACTCGGTGCTGGATAGCAGCTTGCTATCAAATACTGAGTTCGAGAGTCAGGCCCCCTCTGTACTATACATTGAAAGCAGTACCACATCACTATAAACAGCCATAAAGGTAAAGGGACCCCTGACCGTTAGGTCCAGTCGTGGCCGACTCTGGGGTTGCGGTGCTCATCTCGCTTTATTGGCCGAGGGAGCTGGCGTACAGGTTCCGGGTCATGTGGCCAGCATGACTAAGCCGCTTCTGGCGAACCAGAGCAGCGCATGGAAATGCCATTTACCCTCCCGCCAGAGCGGTACCTATTTATCTACTTGTACTTTGACGTCCTTTCGAACTGCTAGGTTGGCAGGAGCAGGGACCGAGCAACGGGAGCTCACTCCGTCGTGGGGATTCGAACCGCTGACCTTCTGATCAGCAAGCCCTAGGCTCTGTGGTTTAACCCACAGTGCCACCCACATCCCATAAACAGCCATAGCTCCTCCCAAAGTATCCCGGGAACTGTAGTTTAAAAAGGCGCTGGGAACGGTTGGGAGATCCCCCTTCTTCCCCTCCCAGAGTGGTTTAACGATTGATCCCTCTTCCCAGGTGCAGTTTAGATTGGCCAGGGCTGATAAAAATACGAAGATCTGATAAAAATAAGAAGATCGATTCCTGATTGTCCACTCAACAGATCAACATCTTCTGCCTGTATTGACACCAGAACCCGTCAACCCTGACAGAGCTGGCCCAGGTATTGCGGAACCTCTTCGGAGGTGGACTTTTATCCAACTGATCTGGTCCCTACCCTCACCTCCCATTCTGTTATCTTAGTCCAGAACTGCTTAACCTCGCTCAGCGTCAGCTTGCCTGTCTTGCTGCCCTGTTACAGAGTTAAGGAAAAGCAAGTGGGATATTGCAGGGGTGGGGGACCTCCAGCCCTCGAGATTCTCCCTGCACCATGCCCCCCTCACCACACATAAGAAACCATGTTGCTTTGGATGCAGCTAGTGCATGTTTTAGGCAGAGCATAGAGACCTCCGGCTTTTGCACAGCTGGAATGTAGCCTGACCCATCGGAGACACACACATCCTCCCCATGTGGGATGCTCATGCCATCCCTACATGGAAGAGAGAATGAGAATTTGGGGTTCTCTTTCATTCAATGGACCACTATTTTCTTGTGCTAGGGGTTGGATCCGGACTCCTTTCCCTTGATACCCGGCCCCATCTACTTCCCTAGAGAAGGATACACTGAAATGCTGGGTGATTTTTTCACACTGCTCCATGGAAAAGCCATCAGTTTTCAGCGGATACCCTGGAAAAGAAAGTGGTGTGAGGATGGACACATAATTACTGCAGTTAATAATAATAATAATAATAATAATAATAATAATTTATAACCCACCCATCTGGCTGGGTTTCCCCAGCTACTCTGGGCGGCTCCCAACAGAATATTAAAAACACAATAAAATATCAAACATTAACAACAGGGCTGCCTTCAGATGTCTTCTAAAAGTCTGTTGGTTGTTTATCTCCTTGACATCTGATGGGAGGGCGTTCCACAGGGTGGGTGCCACCACTGAGAAGGCCCTCTGCCTGGTTCCCTGTAACTTGGCTTCGCGCAGTGAGGGAACCGCCGGAAAGCCCTCGGAGCTGGACCTCAGTGTTGATGCAGGAACAAGGGCAGAGGAATGGATTCAGATATTAGGTCTCCCAGATAAGAACAATTTAGTAAAGGTAAAGGGACCCCTGACCATTAGGTCCAGTTGTGGCCAACTCTGGGGTTGCGGCGCTCATCTCGCTTTATTGGCCGAGGGAGCTGGCGTACAGCTTTCGGGTCATGTGGCCAGCAGGACTAAGCTGCTTCTGGCAAACCAGAGCAGCGCACAGAAATGCCGTTTACCTTCCCGCCGGAGCGGTACCTATTTATCTACTTGCACTTTGATGTGCTTTCGAACTGCTAGGTTGGCAGGAGCTGGGACCGAGCAACGGGAGCTCACCCCGTCGCAGGGTTTTGAACCACCGACCTTCTGATCGGCAAGTCCTAGGCTCTGTGGTTTAACCCACAGCGCCACCCGCGTCCCCCTGGGTACAATTTAGCAGCACCCAGTTACTACCAATCTGCTTTAAGGTGGAAGTGGAATAGCAACTCTGCTCCCTGACTTTGGAGCCCCTGCAGCCAAGTGGACGGTCCTCCTTTCCCCAGTGGGATTCTGGGAGTGGGCATGATTTGCACTGCTAAGAAAGGGTTAAATGCTCCGTCCCTCCTCATTGTACTCTTGCTCCTGACTGCCACTCAATTAAGGCAACACTATTTGGATTGTTGTTGTTTAGTCGTTTAGTCATGTCCGCCTCTTTGTGACCCCCTGGACCAGAGCACGCCAGGCACTCCTGTCTTCCACTGCCTCCCACAGTTTGGTCAAACTCATCCTTGTATCTTCGAGAACACTGTCCAACCACCTCGTCCTCTGCCATCCCCTTCTCCTTGTGCCCTCCATCTTTCCCAACATCAGGGTCTTTTCCAGGGAGTCTTCTTTTCTCATGAAGTGGCCAAAGTATTGGAGCCTCAGCTTCAGGATCTGTCCTTCCAGTGAGCACTCAGGGCTGATTTCCTTCAGAATGGATGCGTTTGATCTTCTTGCAGTCCATGGGACTCTCAAGAGTCTCCTCCAGCACCATAATTCAAAAGCATCGATTTTGAATTTGATTTGGATAGGGAATGTGATTTGGACTATTTGGATAGGGAGGGGGTTAAAGTAATTCCGGGAGAGGAGAGGGGCAAAAGGCTAAAGCACAACCAAGAAAATGGCTGAGGAGGCCAAGAAATGTTACCACCTTTTCCAGTGCCACTTTCCCATCACTTTCCCTACTGCTAAAAATGTTTGTTTGGGAAGTTGCACAAAAGTGGCAAATCCACTTCAGTTGCCAAACCCAAATTTGCTTGCATGCAGCTGAATCCCATTCACAGAAAAGTGGACAGTCTGGAACAGTGGTATAGCACGGGTTGCCAGCTCCCGGAGCCACACGGAAGCGTAGGTGGGAGGGAGGGAAATAAGTTTCAAGTTATTTCCAGATTTTAAATTCTAGGAAAGAGAAGATGGGAACGAACTAGAAGAAAGGGAAGAGGTGGAAGAATGTAGACGATGGGGGAGGCAACCGTGTTGGATACTCACAAGTGGTCTTCATGACCTGATTCAGAATGCCCCGGAGTTCAGCAGCGCCCATTTGCTGGTCCTGAATCAGCCAAATAAAAATCCAAGAAAAGTCACATAATGTAATGGGCACCACCTTCTTCTCCATGCCAGTCAGGCTCAGGGCTAATGCTCTGTGAAAAGCAGGAGCTGGGAACCTCTGGCCCTCCAGATATTGGAGAACTCCAGCTCCTGTCAACTGCAGCTAACATGGCCAGTGATCAGGAATGATGGAATCTGCCGATTTTGGTTCTCTAAGCTTCTCAATTTTCTAATCTTAAATCAAACCCCACCCCACCCCATTTCTATGGCAATTTGAGGGGTTTCCTATAATAATAATAATAATAATAATAATAATAATAATAATAATAATAATATAATTTATTTATACCCCACCCATCTGGCTGGGTTTCCCCAGCCACTCTGGTTGGCTTCCAACAGAAGACTAAAATACAATAACCTATTAAACATTAAAAGCTTCCCTAAACAGGGCTGCCTTCAGATGTCTTCTAAAGGTTTGGTACAGTAGTTATTTTTCTCTTTGACATCTGGTGGGAGGGCGTTTCACAGGGCGGGCACCACTACCAAGAAGGCCCTCTGCCTGGTTCCCTGTAACCTCACTTCTCGCAGTGAGGGAACCGGCCAGAAGGCCCTCAGAGCTGGACCTCAGTATCCGGGCAGAATGATGGAGGTGGAGACGCTCCTTCAGGTATACAGGACCGAGGCTGTTTAGGGCTTTAAAGGTCAGCTCCAACACTTTGAATTATGCTTGGAAACGTACTTTAAATCCTCATGAAAATTTGTCAGCATTTCAGTGTTAATTTATCCTACACATTGCTATATGCAGTTTTTGATTAACATGCACATTTTTGCAAACCATTTCCCCTAATATAATGCAATTTTGTACGTTATTTTCACTGATTAATGCATTGTATGTGCATTTCCCCAATATATACCGTATTTTTTGCTCTATAAGACTCACTTTTTCCCTTCTAAAAAGTAAGGGGAAATGTGTGTGCATCTTATGGAGCGAATGCAGGCTGCGCAGCTATCCCAGAAGCCAGAACAGCAAGAGGGATCGCTGCTTTCACTGTGCAGCGATCCCTCTTGCTGTTCTGGCTTCTGAGATTCAGAATATTTTTTTTCTTGTTTTCCTACTCCAAAAACTAGGTGCGTCTTGTGGTCTGGTGCGTCTTATAGAGCAAAAAATACGGTACATTTTTATAATCACTGTTTGTTTGAGGTGGTCTGTGGGGGTCATTGTGGGCCTGCCAAGCACCCTCAGTTCCTCCTCCACTTCTATTCCCAGGGCCCCTGGCTCTTTCTCTCCTACTCAGGACATCAACCAGGGTCCCACGGTTGTCTGCCCTGTTTCCCTCTGCCGCTGCCCTGTATTTGTTGCATTCAGCACTGTTTCCTTCCCACTGCAGTTCATTCTCTGCCCAAAACTACATTGTTCATCCTACTTTCTGCTGTGGCAAAAATACCTAGCTTATGCAATTAATTACTGTATTTTTCGCTCTGTAGAACGCACCCGACCATAGGACGCACCTGGTTTTAGAGGGGGAGAACAAAAAGAAAAAAATATCCCCCTCGCTCCCTCTGCACTTCGGAGGCTTTGCGTTGCTTTCGCTGAAGCCAAGGAGCCTGCATTCACTCCATAGGACACTCACACATTTCCCCTTAATTTTTGGAGGGGAAAAAGTGTGTCCTATAGGGCGAAAAATATGGTACATAAATTATGTCATTACACTATTCTGCTCGTTCACAACACAATGCAAACAGACTATGCGTGTGCTCAGTTAGGTATCATTTGCAGATTGAAATCTACAACAGCGAATACTGATTTATTCACTGGATCAATTTCCCTTCTAAACACGGGGCAAGTATGTGTGAATCAGCAATTTCTTCTTCCATTTCTCCATTCACTGGAATTCTCTGACATCCCTTTGTTGTAGTCTCTCTGCTTTCTCAGTGATTCTAAAAAAGGACTCTTCACTGATGGTGAGTAGTTTGCAATATTTAAATTTATTTTTAAAAATTTAATATTTAAATTTATTTAAATAAGCCAGACAATCAACCAATTGCAAAACAACACAAGCAGGTAAGGGCTGTGCTGACCAATGTTCTTACACTCCCTTACCTGGCCTGCCCACTCCAGGAAAGTTTTCTCAAGCACCTGGTCGAATTCAATCCTGGGCGATATTATCTGGAAAGCAAGAAGGTCGCGAGAAAGATGTACATTCTTTGAGGGACAAGCTTGCTGTTGGATCCACAGTCATCGATTTCAGGACAAGTATACACATATTGAAAGCAAATCAAGCCAGGGGAGCAACGAGTTCCCCCTGTTTCTAGGATAAGTTGGCTGTGCAGTGTACTGAGTGACTGGCTCTCAGAACAACACATTAACAATTTTTTGAAGGTCTGGGGGAAGGAGAACCGAACTGATTGACTCAGGGCACAAATGGGCAGTGGCATAGCGTGGGTTGCCAGCCCCCGGGGCTGTGTGGAGGGAGTGGGATGGAGGGAAATGGACACAGTACACATGCCCATTCAACTGCCTAATGAAGGGGTGCCCAAACTTTTTTCAAAGAAGGCCTGATTTGAGGAAGTGAACATGCATGGGGGCCGACCAAGGTTGTTGAGCTCAAAGTTTGTTGAGCTTTTTTTAGGATTGACGTTTAATCCAGGGAAACAATTTTGGACATGCCTGGCCTAACAGCATTTGCTTCACGCAGAAGATCACAGTCACAGATATAAGAAAAGAAGAGCCGTTCTGTTGTCTGGAGAGGTCACTTCCTGGTTTGCATGGAAAAGCTGCTTTTAACGGAGCCCAGCGACTGAAGCGCACAACCGTACTGAGGCAACACCAGGCGCTGGAATTTCGTGCCCCTAACCATTTTGCACCTGCTCAACTGCCTTCTGGTTTGCAATACAGTGGTACCTCGGGTTAAGTACTTAATTCGTTCTGGAGGTCTGTTCTTAACCTGAAACTGTTCTTAACTTGAAGCACCACTTTAGCTAATGGGGCCTCCTGCTGCTGCTGCGCCGCCGGAGCCCGATTTCTGTCCTTATCCTGAAGCAAAGTTCTTAACCTGAAGCACTATTTCTGGGTTAGCGGAGTCTGTAACCTGAAGCGTCTGTAGCCTGAAGCGTATGTAACCTGAGGCACCACTGTATTCTATCAGGCACTGCAGCTGTGTCTGCGGTTTGAGAGCTAGAATCTGGCCTCATGTTTTAAGAAAGCTGAAATTCTGAGGATGCCAAATCCAGGCCAACAAACAAATTCACCCGATCTTCCTCAAGCACTGCCATAGAGAATAAGCTGTTACCTGTAGTGCTTTATCATCTGCGCTGACTTCTTCGCCAATTTCCCTAGAAGACAACATAACATCATCTAGGAGTGCCTAAACGTGCAGGTACGAGCATCACCCCCAATCCTCCACTTCTTGTATTTCTCCCTTCAGATCCAAAAAAATCAAAATCCTACCATTTATTAATTAGTATGGTTTAGGGGTCGTCATCCCCCACCAGAAAAATCTACAACAATAGATTGGGGCAAAGCAGAAATGTGGATGAACCCTAAGTTAGTCATGTCTAGGAATGCTGATGGGTCTACTCTAGAACTGAATACCACCCATAGTTACCGTATTTTTCGCTCCATAAGAGACACTTTTTCCCTCCTAAAAAGTAAGGGGAAATGTGTGTGCGTCTTATGGAGCGAATGCAGGGGGGCAGGCAGGCAGGAAAAGCCCCCAAGAGCTGCACACAAGCTCCACGCGGCTCTTGCGGGTTTTCCCCCAGGAGGGAGAAGGGACTGACATGGCCAGTCAGTGCCTTCTCCCTCCTCGTAGAAAAGCCCGCAGGAGCCGCGTGCTCCTTAAAGGGTGCGCGGCTCCTGTGGGCTTTTGCGGGAGGTGGGGTTATTGCCATAGCCGCGCACACCCCCGCCGGCGGGAGAGGCTGTGCCTGGCTATGGCTTCTTTAACCGCGTGCAGCCTCTCTCAGCTGGGGAGGTTGCGCACAGCTAAAGAGGAAGCCAAGACAGTGAGTGGGCTGGATCCCACTCGCTGACTTGGCTTCTTTGCTCTTTGGGGCTGGGGGGGTGGAAACCCGGGCTTCCCCTGGCAGCCCCAGAAGCTCTGGGAGAAGCGGACAGAGACTAGGATTTTTTTTCTTGATTTCCCCCTCTAAAAACTAGGTGTGCCTTACGGTCTGGTGCACCTTATGGAGCGAAAAATAGGGTACCGACTGAGGCTGACTTTTAAACATAAAAATCAAGTTCTTAAAAAAAACAGTGGGGACAGGCAGAAGGTACAAGGCTGGCACAGAAGCCTTGAGGCTTAGACCCTCTGGGGCATCAGAACTCACCGGAACCGATGTTTCTTCTCCGTGAAGACGCGGATGGTGAATTCAGCCTCAGCCAGAGGGTTTTGAAGGCTGGTGACGATCAGGTAATCTCCGGGGGGCAACCGGATATATTCAGTGATGTCTCTTAAATACCCGTAGGCAGTCGGCCAAACTTGTTTGAGTTTGGGGAGCAGCTGTTTTCTTTGAGCTGTGCTCTTCAGCTGTAGATACTGGAGGAAGAAAGTCAACAAGGCTTTTCTCCGTGGGAGGAGCAGCAGTTTCCCAGGCCATTTCTAGAGTACACTGTCACTGTTCTGAACAGGCTGTTGTGGGGGAAAAGTCTCCAGAGCCTCCCATTCAAATGAACCTACTTGGACTCAGAGATCATCTTCTGAGGCCCTCCTTCGTGTGCCTCCTCCTTGAGAGGTCTGGAGGGTGGTAACTCGAGAACGGGGCCTTCTCTGCAGTGGCTCCCTCTCTGTGGGATGCTCTCCCCAGGGAAGTTCACCTGGCGCCTTCATTATACACCTTTAGGCGCCAGGCAAAAACGTTCCTTTTCAACCAGGCCTTTGGTTGATTTGATTTACATCCTATGCCCTTTGAAAATGTGGTTTTTTTTGGGTGGGGTTACCACAGAGCCTAGGACTTGCTGATCAGAAGGTCGGCAGTTCGAATCCCCGCAACGGGGTAAGCTCCCGTTGCTCGGTCCCTGCTCCTGCCAACCTGGCAGTTTGAAAGCACGTCAAAGTGCAAGTAGATAAATAGGTACCACTCCGGCGGGAGGGTAAACCGCGTTTCCGTGCGCTGCTCTGGTTCGCCAGAAGTGGCTTAGTCCTGCTGGCCACATGACCCGGAAGCTGTACGCCGGCTCCCTCAGCCAGTCAAGCGAGATGAGCGCCGCAACCCCAGAGTCATCTGCAACTGAACCTAATGGTCAGGGGTCCCTTTACCTTTATTGGGTTGTCATTTTTATTTTTATTATGTATTTTGTGGTTTTATATCTTGATTTTATTCTGTGAACGGCCCTGAGATGTCTGGGTGTAGGGTGGTATATAAATTCAATAAATAAAATTATTATTATTATTATTATTATTATTATTATTATTATTATTATTATTTTTCAGTCCCTCATGAATGCCCCTCAACCGGCCTGCTGTAGCAGCTTGGCAGACTTCATTTTTGTTCACATAACACTGAGGAGGTACATGAACAGAAGTGGCTTATAAGGCTGGGCAGTGCTTTTTTTATTAAAAAAATGTTTAGGGGTACTCTAATTTTCCTACTCATATTGAAATACTGCTCCTCAATGAGGCCAAACTTAGATTCACAAAATGTTTAGGGGTATGCGTACCCCTGCATCCCCCCCGATAAAAGCACTGCGGCTGGGTCAGAACCACGCTGCTCCCTTCCTAGCAGGTGGGTCACTGTTGCTTACCCAGGCAGTAGAGAGGTCAGCACAGTGCAAACACGCTGATGGAGTCAGCCCAGCACTCCTGCTGGCACACTTGCACTGTGTCAACCTCCCTTTCAAAAATCATTTCCAAATGGGCTGTAGCTTTCCTATCTTAGCCCGTTCCTTAACTTCTGGGTGAAGCAATTATGCAAAGAGAGAGAGAGAGACCCCTTCAAGACAGTACAAACCACTTGGATTATTACCTCTTCGGACATCTGCAAGAAAAGAAAGAGAGGAGGAAAATTTATAGGAGGGTCATGAAGCTGCAACCAGGAAATCAAATGCATTTTTATATTCCCCAACAGCCCCACCTCCAATGGTGGTGACAACAACAGACTGACATGGAATTGGGATGGCTGGAGAGGTTTAAACACCCTGTATGCCCTACAAGCCCAGTGCCCAGGTAGGGATGCAAACTGCTACCTCTGGGGTCATCATATTGGCCATTTGAAGAGTGACAGCTTGTGTGTGATGTTTGCCCTGTATGTGTGTGAGAGAGAGGACTCAGCTACACTCGTCAATTATATCGTTATAACTGCATTATAAACACGTGGCACCAGGTGGTGCTGTAGAGTAGTGATCTGTCGCCAAAGGGATTTTCCATTAAGAGCTTTTGATAGCATAAGTTCAAAGATTATCTACAGAAATATTGTAAAATTCATGAATGTTAGAATGATGTTGGATAGAAATTAAGTGGTTTTCAGCTGTAATGCTTTAAGGGAATATGAAAAATGGGTTGTTAAGAGGTAAAAATCTAACGTTACTATTTTAAGATCAAAGATTAGGATAAATAAAGAGGGTAAGGATTTGCTGAACCAACAAACTGAACTGGAATACAAAAAAGGGAGGTATGAGGAGGTCTGGGAAACAAGCTAAGGAAAAATAAGCAATGGAAAAATTGAGTGGTTTTTAATCATTTTTTTTTTGTATTTTCTTTTTCTTTTTCATTTTTTATTGTAATATTTTAAAAATCCTAATAAATATCTTATAAAAAAAAAGAGAGCTTTTGATAGCATATTTTTCTATAGCGTTTTTTAAATCTGTATAGATCCAGCCGGAGTGTGGGGTAACCACACCCACCACTGGTGCCTGGACAGATGGCATGGGATGAACAGGGGTCTTGACCCCCAAAAAAGGTAGGCACTCCTGGTGTGTATAGGATTATAGGATTGCAACCTTGATTGTAGTTGCTTTACTTAGTATCAGTTGCTGCTGATCCTTCTCTAAAAGACACACACACACACACACACACCCCTACCTCCCCGCCATTTCATTTTTGGATTGTAACTGTCAATGTGTTTAATCACAAGTTGCCCTGAGAGAGTCAATCCACAGAACGGCAGAAAAGGCAATTGATAAGCTATGATATTACTAACATAGCAGACAGATCACAGCTGGGGGGGCGGGGCGGTGGAGTGGAAGAGGGGGCTTATTAGCAGATTACATGGAGAGGAAGGACATAGGAAGCTGCCTTGTACCAGGTCAGACCATGAGTCCATCTATCCCAGTATTGTCAACACTGGCTGGCAGCAGCTCTCCAGAGTTTCACACAGGGAATTCTCAGCCCTGCCTGGAGAAGTCAAGGACTGAACATAGGACTTTCTGTATGCAAACTGATGCTCTAGAAGCAGACTACCACCAAGCTCAGGGCCGGCCCATTCATGAGGCAGGCTGCTCAGGCAGTGAAATCCAAGGGACGTCACCTCAGAAGCAAGGAGAAGCAGCTGCAATAGCTGAGCGCCTCGGTTCCTGGGGTCTCAGGAAAATCACATCAGGCCTCTGCACGATATCAGCAGAAGCTGAAGCCACACATCCCTGGCAAGTGAGGCTTCGGCGGCGCTTAGGGGTGGGCAGGCAGCACCTTCCCATTTCGCCTCAGGCGGCAGAATGGGATGGGCAGCCCCTGCCTAAGCTACCGATTACTTTTACTTCATCCCCAGGTGGGTCTTCTGGCAAATCTTGACACCAGACACAATATTTGATCCAGTCAGCCTGATGCGCTCACCTGAAAGATGTCATAGCCTATGCAAAGGAAGCCCTTATTGCTCCTGCGACGGTCCTTCTGCGTCAAGGAGACAAGGAGGGAGCAGGAGGGATGAGGGAGTTGGTTCTGTTTTTTCCTTTGCTTCTCGTCTGGCTCCAGCAGTGAAAGGTGGAACTGGGGGTTCATCCAAAAGGTGTCTGCACAGCGAGGAAAACGAGTCTAAAGCCACTCAGATAACTCAGATATTTGGGCATGTTTGGGGCCTAGGGTTGTGGGAGAAATTGTTTGGGAAACTTCTTACAGTGAAATTGCCACTCCTCAAACATTACTACGCTACTTTGAGGGCCCTCCAGCAGCGACTTAGTTTCTTCCACACCTCACCAGGAGATCACCTGCTGAAAGTGCTTTGCGGCTCCATGAACAGCATTGAAGTGCACCAGGTGTGCACTTTTAACTGCCGGCAGGTGGTGCTATCGCTTCACCCTGTGGAACGCGCCCCCATCAGATGTCAAGGAGATAAATAACTATACCACTTTTAGAAGACATCTGAAGGCAGACCTGCATAGGGAAGATTTTGTTTTATGATGCTTTTATAGTTATTGGAAGCTGCTCAGAGTGGCTGGGCAGGGTACTACTACCACTACTACTACTACTACTAATAGTAGCAGTAGTAGTAATTCAAAATGTTTTAAGAAACATTCAGAGCTCATCCACACCTCTTGAGATCTTGGCTCTCACCCTCAATATTACTGCAATTTTGGGCTAGGAACCACAAGACATTTCCACTTATCAGAATATAACATGCATTTATTGAATCAGCTACAGTGGACGCTTGGGTTGCAAACGTGATCCGTGCGGGATGCACGTTCACAACCCCCAGCATTCGCAACCCGCATCTGCGCACACATGGGTTGTGATACGGCGCTTCTGCGCATGCACAATGTGATTTAGCTCTTCTGTGCGTGCACAACCGTCGAAACCAGGAAGTAACCCATTCCGGTACTTCCGGGTTTCAGCGGTCCGCGACCCAAAAAAACACAACCTGAAGCGGCTGTAACCCAAGGTATGACTGTACTCACTTTTAATCTTACCACGAGTAGCACACCACCATGTCCACACAAGCATGCCGTGTTCCCACAACACTCCTTGCCTCATTATCTGCTTGCATTTTCTGCAATGTCCCAAAGGCCATAGGTCTCCCCCACCTCGCCTTTGTGGCATCTGCTCGGGGCGAGGGAAATCTGTGGCCCTCTAGATGTTGCCCAACTCCCACACTCATCGTTCCTAGCCAGCAAAGCCGAGTCATGGGCGGATGATGGGAGTTGCAGTCCCTCAACCTCTGAAAGGCCACAGACCTGGCACCATGCCCAATTAATCTGCTCCCAGCTCAGCCCTGCTAGTGCCACTTCTGTCTACTCCCCTGTCCCAAACTCCAAGGATTACCCCAGGGGTTGAAGGTCCGGTGTCCACCCGCAGTGTGACCTTTGACCCAGCTCCCTTGGAAGCAGTCGCCGCCGTACCAGCCAGAGGGGGAACTCTCCCCTTCTAGCCCATCAGTGCGGAAGTGGCAGATCTCCAAGATATCGAAATGATGTACGAAGTCAGACAGTTGCATCCTAGAGAGAGAGAGCAAAATGGGGGGAAGTATGCAACACCATGGTTTTCCCAGTAGTGATGTATGGAAGTGAGAGCTGGACCACAAAGAAGGCTGGTCGCCGAAGAATGGATGCTTTTGAATTCTGGTGCTGGAGGAGACTCTTGAGAGTCCCATGGACTGCAAGAAGATCAAACCTCTCCATTCTGAAGGAAATCAGCCCTGAGTGCTCACTGGAAGGACAGATCCTGAAGCTGAGGCTCTAATACTTTGGCCACCTCATGAGAAGAGAAGACTCCTGAAAAGACCCTGATGTTGGGAAAGATGGAGGGCACAAGGAGAAGAGGACAACAGAGGACGAGATGGTGGGACAGTGTTCTCGAAGCTACCAGCATGAGTTTGACCAAACTGCGGGAGGCAGTGGAAGACAGAAGTGCTCTGGTCCAGGGGGTCACGAAGAGTCGGACACAACTAAACAACTACAACAAAATACTGGGGGCAAGGGTTAACCCTGACTGTTCTCTGACTATAGTGGTCCCACAAATGCTGCTGTCAGTTCATTGGGGTGGTGCTTTTTTTCAGCCAGAGCGCAGTCCCGGCACCTCTCAGGACGGTGTGTTTCCCCTGTCCGCTTCTTGCCTTTACGTACTTCGGAGAAGCCAAAAACGAACATTTTGGGGCAAAACCAGAGTTGGCCAGTGGGTGCGACTCTACTTTTTTTTAGAGTTACGACTCCACCTAGCTCGTTGCTGCGACTGGTCATGCTACGTATTTCCTTTCCTTCAATCTGTCTCCAACACAGCAGTGACAGGCTTCAAGCTCTCCAGCGAGACCTCTACTGTTGTACGCATGTGCATTTGTGCCAGGGCCCTTCCGAACTGCCCTAGCCATCCATTCACCTGAACCTAGGAGGATGCGGGAGGTGGTGGCACATTTATTTCACCTGTAGCAGAACCGGGGGCGACCCCCAAACCAGCTAGGTGTCACGGTCCGGTTCACGGGTGTTTGAAGTCCCGGCTGGGGACGTCGGGACAAGGGGCAAAATGGTGGGGTGGGAGCAGGAACGGGCGTCCAGAAGCCGGGAGTCAGGAAGCCAAGAGTCCAAGGGTCAGGGAGCAAGGAGTCACGAAGTCAAGGGTCTGAGGATTATGAAGCAAGGAGCCAAACGCAGAAAGGCAGGGAAAGTGTTGCTGTGGCAAAGAGCTGAAGGGAAATGCTGACCTTATATCTTTTCTAGGCTCTTGCCACCAGGTGCTGTGAGTTACCAATTGGCCTCACCTGTGCGGCCGTGCCTTGCCTCTTCAGAACAAACTTAAGAAGGCCCCAGTCCTGCAAAGTCCTACTGGTCACAGGGCCTGGCTCCTGCACGCACTCCTGACTCTAGGGAGACAGCTTGCCATAGTTTTTAGCACCTCTACAGGCAGTGCACGCGGCTGGTGTCAAACTGGAATCAGTTCAGGGCTGCCCGGAGTCACCCGGTGACTTACTGTAACAACTGCATGGTGAGTTCCGGCACCTATTTTTCTTGGGGGAAAGCACTGGTTGGGGGTGAGGGTGTTTGCCTGCCTATTTGGGCAGAACCTCAACACGAGCTTTTAACGCTTTTAGACACTTCCTTGCAGAACTCCACCCCGCAAAAAAAGAGTTAAGATCTGGGGCTCTGTTTCTTACCAAAATTCCCCATCTTCTTGTTTCACATGCAGCTGCTCCCGGAGTCCAGGATCCACATAGCTCCAAAGTGGTGAGCTAGGGCAGAAAAACATGGGCATTCACAAACATACTACGGTGGAGAGTTTCTTAGGCAAAAGTTGGGCTGGATCTACACTGAGCTGTTTAACGTTATAGAAACGATATTATATATATTGTTCTAAAACGTCACAGGTAATACTTTCAAATTAAAATGTTTTTCTTACCTTATCGTTCCCCCCCCCGCCCCGCCCCAAACTCTGCTGGTTTCTCTACAGCGCCCTCTGGTGTCACATTTTAATAACAATTTAAGAACGTTAAGAGCAACGCGTCGTTTTTCACTCTGCGTTTTGAAAACCATTCTTTAACCCTTTCTTTGCGTTATAAACCGTGAGTGTAGATACGTCCCTGGTTAGCGAAGGTGGCCACCGTCCACGCTGTGCAATTTAAAAGCACATTTAACACACATCCAAAGCATGTGGCTTCCCCCAATGATTCCTGGGAAGTGCTGAGGATTCTGGGAACTGCAGCTTTGTGAGGGGTAAGCTGTCATTACCAGGATGGGGGGGGGATGAAAAGGTCTTGAAGGGACACCTGAAAGTGAAAAGGTGAGGACAATTGCCAAATCTTTGCTGGAAGAGGGCCAGTCACACTAAGTTCCTGACTCCCATTGTGGACCTGCTTAAGCCTTTTCAACATTAAAACACTCTGGGACGTGAAATGAGTACGGGGCTTGCCCTGGAAATGGAGGCTGTGGACATGAAACTCAAGAGGATCACACAGCTAGCTATCAAGATACCCACATATATCCATCATCTCAGGTACCCCCAAATTTTGCAAGGCAGTATAACGTGATCGCTTGCTCAGAATGCCTCTCCTGGTATTGTGCCTTCTGCCTCTCATCCTGCCCCCAAGAGCCTCCAGGCAAACTCACGTGTCGCTCCAGCTGCCGTTCCACTCGACCCTGCCCCATGGATTCCGTAACCGCAACAGCTTCACCTTCTGGCCCCCCACATGGACCTAAGAATGAGCAAAATAAATAGCAGGTGGTCCCTGTTTTATAGCAGAGAACAGCCAGCAGGGACATTTTTTACGCAGAGACCCCAAAAGGAGTTAAAGACCAGGGGGCACTGCCAGGTGCTTAAAAGAACTGAGGCATGGGACACAAATTTACACGCAGTTTGCACATTTTGCTATTGCATTCGTATCCTGCTTTTTCTCCAGGAAGCTCAAGGCAGTGTAGGTCGTTCGTCTCCTCCCCTTTTACAATCCTCACAACAAGCCTGCGAGGTAGGTTAAAAATGATCGGCAGGGACTGGCCTAAGTTTGCCCAGCAAGCTTCATGGCTGGGTAGAGACTTGAACCCAGGTCTTCCAGACCCTAGTCAGGTACTCTAACCACTTTGCCACACTGGATGTCCATTGGCCCATGCCAATTCAGAGAGATAGATAGATAGATAGATAGAGGTAAAGGTAAAGGTAAAGGTACCCCCTGACCATTAGGTTCAGTTGCAGATGACTCTGGGGTTGCGGCGCTCATCTCGCTTTACTGGCCAAGAGAGCTGGCGTACAGCTTCTGGGTCATGTGGCCAGCATGACTAAGCCGCTTCTGGCGAACCAGAGCAGCGCACAGAAACACTGTTTACCTTCCCGCCAGAGCGGTACCTATTTATCTACTTGCACTTTGACGTGCTTTTGAACTGCTAGGCTGGCAGGAGCAAAGGGAGCTCACCCCATCGCGGGGATACGAACCGCCGACCTTCTGATCGGCAAGTCCTAGGCTCTGTGGTTTAACCCACAGCGCCACCTGCGTCCCAGATAGATAGATAGATATAAATTTAGGCCAATTATGAAATGAAAAGCTGCCCTGTAAGAAAAGCTCTTCTAACAACAACAGCAGCAGCAGCGGGAAAGGAGAAAGGAGGGAGGCGATCCACACTGGTACAAAATATCTCAGCCTTTAGCCTTCAATGCCCCTGGAAGAGGCTGATCTGGAATCTGCCAAGACATACCTTGCGGAATCCAGTGATGGAATAGGCATGTCCTTTCAGCAATTTCTCTGGGGTTTCTAGTTCAGTCTCCTCAGGACCACTAGCCTGAAGAAAATCAGGATGGACAGCACAGTCAGACCCACACCATCACCCAGAACAATTGGGTGACTAACTCCTTCCCACCCCCCCACCCCCAATTTGTCAATAGCCTTGAATGTGTCTCTGAATACCAGTTGGTAAGATTCACAAGTGAGGAAAAGGTTGTGGCACTCGGGTCCTGCTTGAAAGTATCCCATAAGCATCTGGTAGGTCACTGTGAGAACAGGATGCCGGACTAGATCCCCTTCGGCCTGATCCAGCAGGTCTTTCCCTAGAGTTACGAGTTTGTGGGTGCCAGACTCCTGGATCCGGTAAGAGTTAGAATTTAATGAAGGCTTGGGGTGTTCGGCTGAGTGCTAGATGCTTCGAACTCCTGGATTCAGCAAGTGTTAAAAGGCTAGACTGCAGGGTGACAGGCCATTAAGAGAACAAAGGATTAAAGGACTGGGGGGGGGGGGCTCCCTCAACAGATAAAGCCAGAGGTTAGAGCAGAGAGGTTAGGAGAGATGTGACATTGAAGGAAACCAAGAGGGAACATGGCATTAGAGAGCAATATTTTATGCCTGCTTGGATCTAAGGAAGCTCCTGCAGCCAATCGGAAGCCGTGGAAGCCCTGTCGGACGTTCGGCTTCCAAAAATAGTTCGCAAACCAAAACACTCACTTCCGGGTTTGCGGCATTCGGGAGCCAAAACATTCAAGAACTAAGCTGTCTGGAAACCAAGGTACGACTGTATTTAAAACTTTCAGTCCCCACTCCCGATGTTTTTGGACCTGAACTTTCACCAGTCAAGACTGAGAGCTAGTATCGGGTGCTCAGTCTGGCTCAATAGAGGTTTGGGGGTCTCAGCTGACCCACAGCTTGGTTTCGCCACTCAAGCCGCTGAGAAGATATTGCCAGGGATTTGGGGAGATGGGTGTGCCGATGACACTAAGCACTGCAGCCCGTTAAATGAGTGCCCCCCTGCACCTACCATAATGCTCGCTCCCATCATAGAGCGCCTCTTCAGCGCCTCTCGAATGATCTTGAAAAGCTCTGGGTTAGGTGTTTTTAGCAGAAAGATGGTCCCAACTCCGCCAGTGAAGTCCACAAAGGCTTCATTCATCATTCCCAGACTTATACCCTCGTAGGAGCCATTCAGCCTTTGCAGGAAGGAAAAGGTGGGAGTAGAGTAAAAATACAGATTGAAGAGCAGAAGAATGAACACAGGAATCTGCCTTGCACTAAATTAGACCATTTTTCTCTTAAGGAAACGATGCAATTGTCTTCTCTGTACATCCAAGGCAGCGATCTACTCAATGCCACACGTTTTTCGGTCCTGAGACAACCTCCTGAGACAACCTGAGACATTCCTCAGAAGAAAATGGAGGCATTCTGTTCTACTTTGGTGTGGGTGGGCGCCCCCCAACCTCGTGCCCCATATATAGGCACACTGCCCATGGAATATGGGGAAAGGGTAGAGCTGGCAGAGTTGCCCCAACAGCTGTTACCAAGAGGAGTGTGCAACAATACAGTGCCAGCAAAATATCTTGGTTACATGTGGTAAAATTGTGAGGTTTCCATCAACCCGCCTTGGGCGTCAGAGGAGGCACCTGTGCCAGATGTTTACAAGGCAGCCCTTCTGTGCCAGCAACGTAGTCTCTATGGTTGGCAGATGTGACCTCCAAAAGGCCCCAGTGAACAAGGCAGCCCCCCCAGGCCGCTCCTGCTGCCGCCATCACCATTGAGTGGATGCGTTGAGTTGGTACCGTCTGGCAGAGCTGAGGAGGCAGCAGAGGTTGGCACCCGGACCCCTCTCCTCCCCTCCCCACAGGTCCCACTGCGTCAACATGCGAGGCTGGGTCACTGTCTCCTCTCTCCCTGCTCCTGCTCTTCCCTGCTTTCAGAAATCGGGACTCTGCGTTGCATAGTGAGAAGCTGCAGTGGCTTAAGGGTTTCCCAACGGCCCCGACATTTTCAGGGCAGTTGGAGACTATAGAATGACAACTCTTTGTACAGTGGTACCTCTGGATGCAAATGGGATCTGTTCCGGAGCCCCGTTCGCATCATGAGCAGAACGCAACCTGCGTCAGCGCATATGCAGGTCGCGATTTGCCGCGTCTGCGCATGCGTGTGACGTCATTCTGAGTGCGCATGCGTGAGTGGTGAAACCCGGAAGTAACCTGTTCCGTTACTTCTGGGTCACCGTGGGATGCAACCGTTCAACCTGAAGCGACTTTAACCTAAGGTATGACTGTATTTAGTTTTTGAAAGTTGGTTAGATGAGGGTCTAGCTTAAGGCTGGGTGATATGTTGATATATCGTCCAAAACCGGTTTGAATTCCATATTGTGAGATTGGTTTCAAAAATTTTGCCCGGGCCATATATTGAGAATTGTGTGTGTGTGTGTGTGTGTGTGTGTGTGTGTGTGTTTGCTATGCAAAAATCACAATGCGGGGGAAACTGTGAAGTCAGCCAATGCCTCTACATAGCTCCATCCTTATTTCAGACATTGTGATATATCAGTATATGATATACCGAGCTATAGCTTAGGGCTCCACTCTCTTGGGGGGCCCCAAAAAGACCAAAAAAAACCAAAACCTGGATGTACATTTCCAAAATACAAGATAAAATAACACCTACATACAGCAACAGTGTTTTGTGTTGTGTATGGACCTATTAAAGGTAAAGGTACCCCTGCCCGTACAGGCCAGTCGTGTCTGACTCTAGGGTTGTGCGCCCATCTCACTTAAGAGGCCAGGGGCCAGCACTGTCTGGAGACACTTCCGGGTCACGTGGCCAATGTGACGAAGCTGCTCTGGTGAGCCAGCACCAGCACAGCACACGGAAACGCCGTTTACCTTCCCGCTATAAAGCAGTACCTATTTATCTACTTGCACTTAAGAGTGCTTTCGAACTGCTAGGTGGGCAGAAGCTGGGACCAAACGACGGGAGCTCACCCTGCCGCGGGGATTCGAACCGCCGACCATACGATCAGTAAGTCCTAGGCGCTGAGGTTTTACCCACAGTGCCACCCGCGTCCCTATGGACCTATTAGGTCCATAAATTACCATATAGCATCTATTGAACACAAAAAACAGCGACAATTTGTTGTTGACAAAGGACAGGTGGACATATAAAGGGCCCCATTACCTTCAGTAGCTTGGGCCTCATCAGACCTAAATCCGGGGCTGGGTATATCACCATGTTTAGCCGGCCATATATCACAAAGTTGAAAACTAGATATTGCACAGCCCTAGTCTAGTTAAAGCTGGGGAACCTGTGGACCTCTGGGTATTGCTTGACTACAACTCTCATCAGCTGTAGAGAGTTATGACTGTGCTGGCAAAGGCTAGTGAGAAAGAGAGCTTGCCAACACCTGGAGGACCCTCACTGCTGCTCCACCGGATGTTGTTGGACTCCAGGACCCATCAGCCCAGGCAGTGTGGCCAATGCAGAGGGGTAATGGGAACTGTAGTCCGACAACAGCTGGAAGGCCTCAACTGTCATGGACTGGCCAAATGCAGAGGAGTGGTGGAAGGCACCAGCTGGGGAACCCCCAAGGGAAGAAAACTCAGAGCCCAGGGATTGGTGGTGGGACGACGATGAGTGGTCAGAGGGAGAAGAGGGAGAAGACTGGGAGGAGGAGGTGTCGGAAGCTGAAGAGACAGGGCTTAGTGAGCGGGGAGAGTCTGTGGCAGAGAGCAGTCCAGAATCAGAGGCAGAAGCAGAGGCTGGAGAGGAGGGGGGCCAAGAGGCAGCTGAAGCTTACAGATTTGAAAATAAGGGACCAGTAGCCTCGAAAATAAGGGATCAGCAGCCAAAATAAGGGATTTTCCGAACACAGGTATGTTCAACTTCTGAGCCCCTCCAAGCCAAAGGCAGAAAGCCCAGCCAGCAGCCAAAGAAGCCTCAAGCGGTGGTTCCCACAGCACAGCAACCCAGCAAAGGGGATGCAGCAAGGAAAACCACCGTCACCTCTCCGCTGGGAAGCGCTGAGCAAAGGCAAGTCCCCAGGCAACACGGCCGATTTGATTGGCACAAGGCATGCAAGCTCCACCCCCCCAGTCGTTCTTAGACTCCTTATTGGGTGAGCAATGCAGCCAAGCAACACAGTTGGAGCCTCCCTCCGCCCTGGCCGGCAGGCAGGGAGGGAAAGGAGCTGCTTCCTTTGAAACCCGGGAAATTTAAGGGACATCATCAATAAGGGACAGCAGCAGGACACGGTGCTGGGATAAGGGACTTTCCCGCCAAATAAGGGACAGTTGACAGCTATGAGCTCAAGAATCCAGGGAGTCTCCCCCTTCTACTGCGACCAGCTCCCTTCCCCCCGTCTCTTGGAACACACAGAGAAATGAAAAAGGAAGAGCAGAGATTGGTTGTGCACAGACGCAGTCTGCAACTGCTTGGTAAAAGCCCTGCAGGGGAGGGTTCTTAGGCACCTGTGGGAAGGCAGGGACCTTCTATCCTTACAGCTGCTGCATTTGGGCAAAACCTACTGAGCTGCTGGGGTCACCAGGCCTGCGCTGTCTTAGTTTCTTGAATCAATAGTTGACTTTATCGCTGACCTATGCTTGACTCCGGCTCCCGACAACGCCCAAATTAAGCAGTGAATTAAATAGCTGGTGTTCCACTCACTTGGCGTAGGCTTTCTCCAACAAAGGCATCCAGAACTCATCCTTCTCCTCTGAGCGCACGAAAATCAGCTTTCCATTCACAGTGGGCAGAAAGTCATCCACCACGACATCTACCCACTGCCCATACTGCCAGAACTAGGAAGCGGGTGGGTGGGAGGGAAATGAATGAGAATGAGATGCTTTTGATTTGGAGAACCACTGTTCTTTGCCTGCCCTCCAGATGTTGTTGGACTACAACTCCCATCAGCCACAGTCAGCATAGCCAATGGTCAAGGATGATGGATGTTGTAATAACAGCGGTGCTGATTGCAAGGTAACAAAACCGGCTGGCTATGAAAATGGATTAAAACTAGTAGAAGATTGAGAAGGTGATCAAAGAAGAAGAATGAAGTGGTAACACCAGGAATTTAATGGACTTGCAACGGAAGGACACGAGTGGCGCTGTGGGTTAAACCACAGAGCCTAGGGCTTGCCGATCAGAAGGTCGGCGGTTCGAATCCCTGTGACGGAGTGAGTTCCTGTTGCTCAGTCCCTGCTCCTGCCAACCTAGCAGTTCGAAAGCACATCAAAGTGCAAGTAGATAAATAGGTACCACTCCAGTGGGAAGGTAAACGGCGTTTCCGTGCGCTGCTCTGGTTCGCCAGAAGCGGCTCAGTCCTGCTGGCCACATGACCTGGAAGCTGTACGCCGGCTCCCTCGGCCAATAAAGCGAGATGAGCGCCGCAACCCCAGAGTTGGCCATGACTGGACCTAATGGTCAGGGGTCCCTTTACCTATGCTTGCAACAGGAGTGGGAAACCTAATTACTTTTGAAAAAATGTATTAAATTTAAATAATTTGGGTGCATTTGTTAAAATTCAAAAACTAATAAAAATTATTTAATTAATTATTTGAAAAAGGATGATGGGTTTTGTAGTCGAATGACACCTGGAGGGCCACGGCAGCTGGTTACATTTGAAAGCCTCCAGGATTCCATTCTGACGCTGTAAATTCTGCAATCCCTACACCTCCGTGCTAGCAAATGGCTTTGCCTGGGCTTTGTTTTCAGCCAGCAAAGTACAAGGGTAGCAGTGATGGGAATAAGCTTTGACCAGGGAGCTGATTGGACCTCCTGGAGGGGATGTAATGAAAGTCACCTGGAAGTGGAAGATGCCAGCATAGTCTGCCGTCTCAAAACTTTGACTCTGTGGGACCACCCTGTGCAGGAGATGTGGGTACAATGTGAGGGATGCTGCTGCTGCCAGGAACCAGCAGTCACCTGTCAGAGGTAGAAAGAAGATGGTTGCTATTTATTTATTTATTTCTACACTGTTTGAAAGAGCAAATACTCCAGAAAATAGATGCACAACATCTCAGGATTCTGTAGAAGGCGGCATCCACATCAGCTTAATTTAATGAGGATGACACAGAGATCAGGGCAAGTTCGTACACGGAGTACGGTGTACATATGACTCCCCCTGCGAAGAATTCCAGAAACTGCAGCTCAGCCCGTCACAGAACTACAGTTCCCAGGATTCTTTGGGGGAGCCATGTGCTTTAAAGTTATGGTGTGTGTGTAGCCCTGGGAACACCTGCCTGTTTCTTCTAGAAGCGAGGAATTCAACTGCTTATCTGAATTAGGAACAGAAGAGAAATTTGGTTTAATGTGCATCATTCCCATGGCCCCAAATACCTTCAGAATTCGTAGTTCTCTGAATTTTGAGAGAATGGAAAGTGTGCACAAAAATGAATTGCATTAGGAGGGGGAAATGGCTTGCAAAAAGGTGTACACTGGGCAAAATTTCATATAAAAATATACAGTAGGAGAAATGAACACTAAAATTGTGACAATTTTTTTGCGAGGAATTTCCAAAATAAATAAATCACTAGCCGATGCAGAAATGTGGCAAACTGAATTTAAGATGATAAAAATGCAAAACAGAGAAACCACATTGGAAAGATTTGTCCATTCCTAATATGAATTACAGTGGTACCTCAGGTTAAGTACTTAATTGGTTCCGGAAGACTGTACTTAACCTGAAGCGTTCTTAACCTGAAGCGGACTTTCCCATTGAAAGTAATGGAAAGTGGATTGATCCGTTCCAGACAATGAAAAAACACCCCCTAAAACAGCAATTTAACACGAATCCTACTGTTTCACGAGACCATTGATCCATAAAATGAAGGCAATAATCAATGTACTGTACTATAAAATAAATAAGACAGTATTTTAGATGAAAAAAGTTAAAATTTATTTCCAAACTCACTGTTTGGAGGGGGCTCAGGGTCCTCTTCCAAAATCACAATCGGCTTGGCTCCCTGCATTCGTGGAGGCTCAGAGAGCTCCTGCAGCTGGAGCCCAGTCACAGAGCCTCTGCAGGCACCGTGGATGCCGGGGCTTGGCTCCCAACATCTGCAGAGCCGCTCTAGGCACTGCGGATGTCGGGCCTTGGTTCCCGACATTTGTGGAGGCCTCACAGAGCTCCGCAGGCTCCGCCGATGTCCGGGTTTGCCTCCAGGCAGCGGCGAGGCCTCTGAGAGCTTGGACAACTTACTTCCGGGTTACAATCGTTCGTAACTCGAAAAAACGTTAGTTGAAGCGTTCGTAACCCAAGGTACCACTGTATTTGATTTTATGGATTCTGGTCAACAAAATGTGGAGTTTCTTGGTGTAGAAATTTTTGTGGATTATACACAGCATGGAAAACAATACCAATTGGCCACCATTTTTGTTGCGTGTTTAACAGCAACTAGATACATAAAGCACGAGATGAAGGATTTGTCATCTCGACGCTAAAGAAAGCTTCGCCTACTGAATTCCTGACTGTCGGACTGCTGTAAAAGGCACAGCAGCAGGAAGCAAACAAATAGCAGCTCTGTAATAATTTGGTTTATCACTAGTTGTAGGATTGATAAGGAACAAAGAGTTTTGAAACCTTCTCATGTTTGTACAGCGAAGCTGCTTTCTACACCCCAGACATAAACTAGTTGTTAAATGTTAATTGATAACGGCTTTCCTCCTCCCAAGGCATTCTAGAAATTGTGGTTTTGTGAGGATGATACTTGCAAGGACTGCTAGCCCTGTCCTGGAACTACAAATCCCAGGGTTCCCTGAGGGAAGCCACATCCATTAAGCTGGTTTACTTCTGTTTAGCTAGTTTACATTTGTGGTAAAGATGTAACATCAGGCAGCCAATTAGACTTGCCTTTTTTTAACCGTTCTTTGCATGCACAAAGTTAGCAAGTAGAAAAACAGCTTTACTCATGTGAGTTTTACTATAATGAAGAAGATCCCAGAAAGGATGAAATCATGCTCATTCTAAATTCCAGTATGCCAGGCTGCCACCGAAGGCACGGGGCAGCACCAACAGAAAAGGGTGGCAACTCAAAATTAATGAATGACTATGGCGCTGTGGGTTAAACCACAGAACCTAGGACTTGCCGGTCAGAAGGTTGGCGGTTCGAATCCCCGCGACGGGTTGAGCTCCTGTTGTTCGGTCCCAGCTCCTGCCAACCTAGCAGTTCGAAAGTACGTCAAAGTGCAAGTAGATAAATAGGTACTGCTCTGGTGGGAAGGTAAACGGCGTTTCCGTGCGATGCTCTGGTTCGCCAGAAGCGACTTAGTCCTGCTGGCCACATGACCCAGAAGCTGTACGCCGGCTCCCTCGGCCAATAAAGCGAGATGAGCGCCGCAACCCCAGAGTCGGCCATGACTGGACCTAATGGTCAGGGGTCCCTTTACCTTTTTATATCAACAAACCTCTAATGCAGGGGTCAGCAAACTTTTTCAGCAGGGGGCCTGTCCATTGTCCCTCAGACCTTGTGGGAGCAAACTATATTTTGAAATAAATAATGAACGCATTCCTATGCCTCACAAATAACCCAGAGATGCATTTGAAATAAAAGCACACATTCTACTCATGTAAAACACGCTGATTTCCGGACCGTCCACAGGCCGGATTTAGAAGGCGATTGGGCCAAATCTGGCCCCCGGGCCTTAGTTTGCCTACCCATGCTCTAATGAAATAGAATGTCCCCACTGTGGAAGGACATGTGGATCCAGAATTGGCCTCCACAGTCACTTACGGACTCATTGTTAAAACCGTGTTTATGGAAGACAATCTTACTCAGCTACGAGTGATCGCCAGAGAAGAAGTGGTGTGAGGCTGAGTCTTTTCCTAGCAGAGACGCTCTGCTGTTTAATTCTCTAAATCTGCCTCAGAAATGCAAAAGTTGATGCTTTCTCCCCACTCCGCAAAGTTGTAGTCATACAGGTGACAGTTTCCGCTGTCAAAGGCGCAAAAGTCAGGCCAGAAAGCAGGGAGGAAAATTTAACAGCAAAGCAATAAGCTACAGAGAAGGCAAACATATGACACATTACCCAGTTCTCCCTGGCGGACGTCTGTACGGTTCATTCCTTCACAGATAAAGCAGGGCAATTTGGGCTTGCAGATGTCCTGCAAAGACAACAGGGAAAAGTTGTTTCCATGACCTACTTCTGCAATAACAGGCTGCTGAAACAAATGAACCTTGGCGCAACCAGGAGGAATGGGCTTTTGTGTGCAGGGACTGTGTCCTGTTCTGGTACCTGAGAGACAATTCCTTGGCTTGGAATGCACTCAGTGCTTTCATTCTACGAAATCCCTAGCCCACCAGGTGAGCGGGAGGTGTAAACCTGGCTTCCCATATGTCACCTATTTACACCTTCAGTCTGCATGGAGGGAGTCCACATCTTACAGCACAGTCCTTTCAAGAAGGGCTTGTCCCCCTCAGCCCTGGAGTCCAAGACACCTCTCCACATCAGCTCTGCAGCCAACCTGCCCAAGATGGATCCCAGTCTTTCTCCGCCCCTTCTTCCCCCAGCACTCCTTGCTGCCAGACTCCCTTTTCCTGTTGCCTCAAACACACAGTTACCCTGACAACTTTCCAAACCCCTGCCTCTGTTCACGCCTCTGTTCACACCTGTGTTTCTTAATGGCCCTAGCTTGGCCGGGTCGTTTTGCATAAGCTAGCACAGGAATTCCCTTATTTTTTTGTATGTAATTTTTATTAAATTTTACAACTTAAAATACTCAGTTTTACATCCTTAAAATATCAATGAATTCCCTTCTTCTCTTTCCATGGTTCATGTTATATATCATAAATCCCTGCATATTTTACAAAAGCTATACCATTCAATATTCCATTATTACACCCATCAAAACTTATTTCCACTGTTGAACTTATCTGAATGCTGCCCACATTTTCAGCTACACAATTATTTTCCATATATTCAATAAATGTTTTCCAGTCGTCTCTAAATGTATATTCTTCTTGTTCTCTTATTCTGAATGTTAAGTCTGCAAGCTGAGCAGTTCTGCTCAGCTGCTCAGCCCAGGAATTCCTCTGCAGCTTCTATTTCTCCCTTCACATCCCAAACCAACAAAATCATACCATTTATTAATTTCTAGGGTTTAGGGGTCCCCCCCAAAAATGTATAACACCTATATTACTCCCTCCCCGCCCCCCCCCCCCCCGCCCCAAGATGCTAGCATCTCCAAAACACTCAACAGACTGGCTGTTGTACACTGCTTGCTTCTTTCGGGAACTACTCCTGATAATCAATGAACTGGATGTAAAAGGAGAATGTCTTTGTTTTGACTCACCTTTGGCCTCTGCCAAACCACCCCTTGGGCTCCCTTGGAGCCAGGTCCCAGCTTATTGTATCCAAGCGACTCAGGGCTGGGTTTGAAGTCGGGGTCGACGAAGAGCGATCCCTGCTGGAGACACTGGCGCTTCAGTTCCCCATAGTCCTGCCCCCCGTAGGGCAGGACTCGGGCAACTGCCTTGGCATCATCCTTCTCCAGGCAGATAGTGATTCCGGAGGAAGCCATAGCTGAGATCAACGGCAGCTGAGTCGTGGACTTGGGTTGGTTTATATAGAGGCAGAGGAAAGGGATGAGCCAAGGGGGTGCCCCTCCCAGGTTGGCTCAAACCGGAACCGTTCCACTTCCCAACTCGGGTACAAAGAGTGCGCAATTTTCCAAACTGATTTTATCAGGACTGTGGTCGCGTAGGACAAAGGGGTCCCTGCCCCACCCATCTTGGCCTGTTATCAGCCAACAGCTTCCACAAATGGGTATACACCGGCTTTCTGATTTTCAACTAGCCTTCCCTGTCGGCTTCCTGTTTTGTAATCTCAGTATTGCCCCTGTAAAACACGGCAGAGAGGAAGACAGGGGCAAAAGTTGAATGAGTTGGTTTTTGTATATAACGGCGGCAGCCCGAACCCTACGCCCAAAGAGGGAAAGAAGGAGAGGTTCCAGGAAAGGAAGAACAGCTTTTGAAGAGCATGGAGTGCGCAGAACCGGCAAGATTGGAGATAAAAACGACGGAAAATTCATGGAGGACTGGAGACCTTTTATTGAGCATTTAAAGAACTACCACAGCAACGTGAAAACGCGAGCAGGGCTTGAAATATGAGCGACAGGGTTAAATAGGTTAAAACGGATGTGTCAAATAGTACAGTGGTGCCCCGCAAGACGGAAAACCCGCTAGACGAAAGGGTTTTCCGTTTTGGAGGTGCTTCGCAAAACGAATTTCCTATGTGCTTGCCTCGCAAGACAAAAATGTCTTGCGAGTTCCTGCGGGGTTTTTTTCCTTTCCCCCCCCCTTTTCCCCAAGCCGTGAAAACGCTTATCAGCTGATCAGCTAAGCCGCTTAACAGCTGATCGCTAAGCCGCTTATCAGCTGATCGTTAAGCCGCTTATCAGCTGATCCTTAAGCCACTTAACAGCTGATCGCTAAGCCGCTTATCAGCTGATCGGCTAAGCCGCTTAACAGCTGATCGCTAAGCCGCTTATCAGCTGATCGTTAAGCCGCTTATCAGCTGATCCTTAAGCCACTTAACAGCTGATCGCTAAGCCGCTTATCAGCTGATCGGCTAAGCCGCTTAACAGCTGATCGCTAAGCCGCTTATCAGCTGATCGTTAAGCCGCTTATCAGCTGATCCGCTAAGCCCGCTAAGCCGCTAATACTGTAGCGCTAATCCGCTAAACCAAACCCGCAAGACGAAGAGACTCGCGAAACGGATTCTTTTCGTCTTGCGAGGCACCACTGTATACAGTGGACGCTCGGGTTGGGAACGTGTTCTGTGCGGGATGCACATTCACAACCCGCAGCGTCTGCAACCCGCAGCGGCGCATCTACGCATGCACGGGTTGCAATTCAGCGCTTCTGCACATGTGCAAAGTGCGATTTAGCGCTTCTGCGCATGTGCGACCGCCAAAACCCGGAAGTAACCCGTTCCAGTCCTTCCGGGTTTCGGTGGTCCGCAACCCGAAATAACGCAACCTGAAGCATCTGTAACCCGAGGTACGACTGTATGTGAAATATGCATCATTCAGGGGTAAATATGGAAACCATGGAAGCGGGGATGGGAAGCCAATGGATAAAGTAATTTATGGTCTGTTAAATTTTGTAAAGTTCATCTTTTTTTGTGAAAAATCTATAAATAAATTAAAAAGAGAGAGAGTAAGTTGGTTTTTCCGGTTGTTGGCACTGGCTTCATCTTCTGCCTGGCCTCTCTGCCAATCCCAACAGTCACCAGCCATCACAGCACCGGACTATACCTTCTACGGAGTCACGCCATTGGTCCCTCTAGCACAGGCATGTCCAAAGTCCGTTTTGGGGGCCTAATCCAGCCCGCTGGTCAATTAAATCTAGCCCCTGTGGCCGTATATGTCCTGGGGTAAAATCCTAAAAAAAGCTCAGCAGCTTTGGTTGGCCCTCACGCATGTTCACTTTATCAAATCTGGCCCTCTTTGAAAAAAGTTTGGGCACCCCTGATAATAATACTAATAATTTATTATTTATACCCCGCCCATTTGGCTGGATTTCCCCAGCCACTCCAAGCGGCTTCCAACAGAATATTAAAATACCGTAATGCATCAAACATTAAAAGCTTCACTAAACAGGGATGCCTTCAGATGTCTTCTAAAAGTCTGGTAGCTGTTTATCTCTTTGACATCTAGTGGGAGGACGTTCCACAGGGCGGGTGCCACTACCGAGAAGGCCCTCTGCCTGGTTCCCTGTAACTTGACTTCTCGCAGTGAGGGAACCACCAGAAGGCCCTTGGCGCTGGACCTCAGTGTCCGGGCAGAACGATGGGGGTGGAGACGCTCCTTCAGTTATCTGATCTAGCACAATGCTGTCTCCACTGACTGGCAGCGCATCTCCTGGTTTTTCAGCCGGGGGTCTCTCCCAGTCCGTCCTGGAGAGGCTGACAGGGAATGGTTTGGGGGATTTGCAGGCGAAACGGAGGCTGAGCTATGTCCCTTCTCATGTTCTGTCAGCTAAGAAAATGGTTAGCCTTAGATGCATAGAAATGTCTTTGTCACTAAACAATGCATCCTAAGTCTTGCTGGTCTTCAAGGCGTCACAAGACTCTTCGGTTTTCGGTTTTGCCTTGAGACACCACTCGGCTACTGGAGAGTTAATTCGCCCATCCTTTTCCGGATGTCATAAAAGTGTTTAATCTTTCACAAAGGGATGAGGGAGGGCCTGGCCATCTGTTGCGGAGCAAACATTACTCAAGGTGGTTGGCTAATGGTTAGCTATTTTATTTATCAGGTTGGGAAGAGGTGGATTCTGCGGCAAGAACGCCCTGACTTTAAAAAATAATAATTTTAGTTATCATTTTTCATTACAATGTTACACATTGAATCATTGACTTTCCTTCCCCCCTTCCATGGTTCTATTTATTTATCAACTAAGACTGCATTTATAATTTCCCCCTCATATTCATATTTCTCCCCTCCCCCTATATCTTTGATACCTTATACAGTACTGCTGAATTTACATTAACCTGCTGATGTCTTAACCTGATTTACACGATTCTTCAGGTATTCTGCAATCATTTCCCACTCTTCCTTAAATACTCCATCTTCCTGTTCTCTTATTCTATCAGTTAAATTTGCTAATTCTACATATTCCGTCAATTTCATCTGCCACTCCTCCTTTGTCAATATTGTTCTCTCTCTCTCTCTCTCTCTATTTCTGAGCGTAGACCGTTCAGGTTGCCATTGTTGCGTAGAGAAATAGAAATCTGTGGGGGCATCCATTCCTAATATTCCTAATAAAAAAGTTTTCTGGTCTTTTTATAAAAGTCTTCTTAAACATTCTCCCCATTTCATGATATATTATCTCCCAGAAATCCTTCGCAACCTTATATCTCCACCACATATGATACACCCGGACTTGTTAGGTTTTACTTCCCTAGACAGCCCCCCTGCAACCAATACCAGACACCACTTCTGGGCATGGCAAAAACCAAGGAGCTCTGTCCATAAGAAGGCTGTTTCATTTTAATCACTAGCTGATTATTGTTGTAAACATAATCTGCCCTTCTTCCCTTATGGGGTATCCAAAAGCCCGTATAGAGTCCTTAAGTGGGTTCCCTATCGGTAGGAGAAAATAAGAGAGGCCAAACAGAGAATATTGAGAAGCAAAGCAGCTCGTAAGCCTGATCTTTATTAAAGCTGTTGCAACAGGGTGCTCCCCTCACTCGCAGGAGAAGGAGGAGGACCCAGAACAAAGGTGTGCCTGCCCTTATATAGACATTTTAAATTCCCTGCCCTGGAGCTCAAGACCACCCCTCCATACAACATACATACATCACAGAAGGGGTGTAACCTAAGACCACCCCCCACAAACATCATACCTACATCACAGAAAAGGTGGTCTACAACAGAAATTTGAATGTTGTTGTTTTTCCTGTCTGCCAGGTTATCTGATAATGCCTTATCTGATTGCTTTCCTGGTAGTCTGCCCATTCCTTTGAGATGGTGATCTCCCAATTCCTGAGACAATGGGAAGGTTCCCTCACCCCCTCCCTCCTTGCAGAGAAAACATTTGGTCAGTTTGGGAGTCAAAATGGTTTCAGGGCAGTCTTCCTGTGCTGCTTCAGACATGTGGTCCACATATATTGAAACTGAATTGAAATACTTTATTTTCACTTGTACAACTTGTATATATATAAGATGTTAAATTTTTTTATTACATTATCCTAAAGAGAGCAAAAGCAAGACAACTCCCTAACAGCAAGAAGGAGGACTTTTTTCTATTGCCCTTGTATTGGGCATGAGTTGCCAATGCCGTGCCTCTGGGGGGAACAAGTGCCCCCCGCCATGAAAATTAGGCTTGGCAGGTTTAACTCTCACTTCCCCAGATACATTTTCCAGGAAGGTCACCCCCACATTAGGCTTGTGGGGGGCAGAGAAGCCAAAAAGGCTTCTTCAAACCTAAAAATCACTGCTGAGGGGTGGAAAATCAGGTGCACACCTGTGTGCAGCTTCTCAAGAACAACAACAATTTATTACTTATACCCTGCCCATCTGGCCAGGTCTTCCCAGCCACTCTGGGTGGCTCCCAACAGAATATTAAAAAATGATAAAGAATCAAACATTAAACATTAAAAACTTCCTTAAACTGGGCTGCTTTCAAATGTCTAATAATAATAATAATTTATTATTTGTACCCCGCCCATCTGGCTGGGTTTCCCCAGCCACTCTGGGCGGCTTCCATAGAAACCAAAAATACACTAAAATATCACACATTAAAAACTTCCCTGAACAGGGCTGCCTTCAGATGTCTTTTAAAGATAAGATAGCTGCTTATTTCCTTGACATCTGATGGGAGGGCGTTCCACAGGGCAGGCACCACTACCGAGAAGGCCCTCTTCCTGGTTCCCTGTAGCTTTGCTCCTCACAATGAGGGAACCGCCAGAAGGCCCTCGGCGCTGGACCTCAGTGTCCGGGCTGAACAATGGGGGTGGAGATGCTCCTTCAGGTATACCGGGCCTTTGTGGCCATTTAGGACTTTAAAGGTCAGCACCAACACTTTGTGTAGTGCCCACAAGAGTCTCACCACCAGTTTGCAAAAGGGCCCCACAAGGTCCACGTCAGAGCTTTCCAAACCTTTCATGTTGGTGACACACTTTTTAGGCATGCATCATTTCACAGCGCAGTAATTCGGTTATACTACTAGAAAACCGGAGGTTAAACTAACCCCTTTCCAGCCCCAGGAGGAGCGCAGGGAGCGTTCACGTGACACACTGCATCCAACACACTGTTACGGTAAAATCTGGGTGCGGGGTTACTCTGCCACCCAGCTCGTCGGACTAAGTCTGCGGGTCCCTGCGGAAGAAAATGTGCTCAGCCGGAGACGGGAGCAAGTTCCAGGAGATCCGAGTTTATTGCGCAACAGGTTCAAGGCGAGATTGAACAGCGAGAAAGGGGTGACATGAACTTTTGAAATTTCCCTCCATGTCCCAGAATACAGTGCAAAATACATCCCAGTTACATCATGAATACATTAAGAAGAGGTTGGGTTACACAGATTACATCACGAATACATTAGGAAGAGGTTGGGTTACACCGGATTAACATATGGAGGAGGGAGGGGGGAATATGCAGAGCTGGAGATATGCGCAGGTAAGCACATCCTGAGAAGACAATGGTCCATGTATGCATAGTCTGTCACCTGGCATCGCCCGGAGGAAGGGCTTGGCAGAGCGATTTGACAGGATTAGGGTCTTGACACCTTGCTTGAGGGATTATGGAGGACAGGGGAGGTGTCATGGAGTCCTAGAGAAATTGAGCAAATTGGCACGTTGATTTTCTATGAATTTTATAGATTTTAGTCCCTTTTGACATTGACAATTGGAAATAAATGGATATATTGTAGCGAAGAAGAAGGTGAAGAAGAAGACATGCCCCCCCCTTCCGTATCAACACGAATGTGTCTCAACACACAGTTTGGAAAGCTCTGGTCCGTGTGGCCTTTTGTAAGTTGTTGACTGATGGACAGCTCCCATCAGCCTCAGCTGCAGTGTCAATTCTTGGCCAAGGCTTTTCCAATGAAGGGCTCTCCTGTGCCACCTTTGAAAACCCACCTTTTCCCAAAACGACTTGCTCATCGTTTCCCTCCATGGTTCCCTTACATTGCTGGTTGTTCACTGTTCTTGCAGTCTGATGCAGTAGGATCTCACGTCCTGCTCACTTGTTTCTTGGAAGTAGTGTCATGTGGCTTAGTTTCATGCTGCCCACAGACCTTTGTTATAGAACTGTAGAATTGTAGAGTTGGAAGGGACCCTGAGGGTCTTTCAGTCCAACCCCCTGCAATGCTGGAATCTCAGGCGAGCATCCATGGCAAATGCAATCCAACCTCACCTTTAAATCCCGCAAGGAAGGAGAGTTCGCAGCCTCCAGAGGGAGTCCGTTCCACTGTTGAACAGCTCTTACTGTCATAAAGTTCTTCCTGATATTTAGCCAGAAACTCATTTTTTGTAACTTGAAGCTATTAGTTCAAACAAAATAATAATATTAATAATAAATTGACTTATAGAGCAGCGTAGAAGAGCAGGTTGGATATATAAAAAAGAATATATATTATAAAACAGCCTCATGGCCCTTCACTAGCAGAAAATCAACTGGGGATTTTGAAGGGGGAAGCGATTTGGAGACAGCTTCCTGTCGCTAAGAAGGCACATCGGTTGTGTAAAGTATACCAGCTGGAAGTTCCATTACCGTTTTGTGAGGCAATTGATCAGAGTACAACTGAAGAACAGATGAGAAATGAACCTTTCATTATCATTATCACCAGCATAGCCTTAATGAATACAAAGTAAATCATTAATATGTACAGAGGGATAAGATGATAATAATGATGACTGGGCATAGTCGACCAATCGGTGTTAAAGGAGGACAGAACTTTTTTTATGTATGCCACAACAGCAGCAAGAATACTTATTGCAAAGTATTGGAAGACACAAGAGCTACCCACACTGGAGGAATGGCAGATGAAGGTGATGGACTACATGGAATTGGTGGAAATGACTGGCAGAATCCGTGACCAGGGAGAAGAGTCGGTGGAAGAAGATTGGAAGAAATTTAAAGTTTATTTACAGAAACATTGCAAAATCAATGAATGTTAGAGTGATGTTGGATTGAAGTTAAGTGGCTTCTAGCTGAACAGGTTTTAAAGCTATAAATGTATCAAGATTAAGGATTAGGACCAAAATGACTTAGAGAAATGGAAAAATTGGTTCAAATAGGTAAAAATTTAATGTCATAATATATTAAGATTTAGGACTGGAATTAAAAAGGAGGGAAAGAAATTGCTGGGTTTATAAATTGAATTGGAATACAAAAGAGGTAGGTATGAGGAAGTCCAGGAAACAAGTAAACCTAAAAGAGGTTATGAAAGGACGGAACTATTTTTAACTGTTTTTTTCTTTTTTCTTTTTTTCCATTTTGTATTTTGTATTTTGTATGGTGTATTGTTCTCTGTTTTTGTTAAAATCTTCTTGTTTATTAATGTGATTTTATTCTTTCTGAAACTTTAATAAATATTAATTAAAAAATAATAATGATGATGATGATGACAATAATAATAATAATAATTAAAAAAATCATTTATACCCTGCCCTCCTCAGCCAAGACCCAGGCTCTGGGTGGCTAACACCAGGTATAAAATGCCCCAAACTACTTGCTAGGTGTCCCCCACCCTGAATTTTTTAGGCTGGCTACAGGGCAGCCAAGCAGGGCTTTTCTTACGTTGCAGTGACAATCTGTGCAAGCCATGCACCAGCTCCAAGCATCTGCCCCAAACACACTTCAGTTTTCTGCCATGTTTTATTATTTCTGGATCTCAAGCATGTGGTTTTGGTCAAATGTTTGTTTGTTTTTAAAGCTGATGTGAGGTGTGCTTTTTTAAAAAAATTGAATAAACTAACTCTTTTAAAATATGAAGGTGCAGCAAAAATACAAGTGAGTCTTTCATAAGTCGTTGGGCACATACAGAATATATTTATTAAAATAAATAACCCGGGTTCCTCTTTCGGCCTCCGTTCCGCACGAGAGACAATTCGCCATTTCACTCGGCAGAGGGCGCCCTTGTGGTCAGAACGGCGTCGGCGTCGGAGTCTCTTGTCTTAGAATCTCCTTCTCTTTCAACTCGGCGCCACCTTGGAGTTCAACCAATCACTGCTCCTCTGTATCCTGCCTCTCTCCCCCCCCATCGCTATTACGCATGCGCTGTGTCGCCAATAGACAATATTAAAATACCCTAAAAGGTGGGCTTCATGAATCTGTAAAACGTTCGGTTCCCATTGGCCATCGATGTTCTCCGCCATGTGCGGGGCAAAACTGGTAGAACTAGCTATAGTGGAGTAAGGTTTAAGAGGTAGGGGAGAGAGAAAACAGGAGACAGAAGTGCAATGCTTTCAAATAATCACTATGCGCCGAGGACATTTTTTTGCTGCTGTTCTTCGATTTAAAAATAAAATAAAATACTATTCCCCATTGGCCCGCACGCTGAAAAAGCCGATTGAGAGCCGGAAGTGAGGACCGCCCAGACAGAGGAAACTCGTGGGCTTTCCTCTTCGACGGGAAACCTTTGCCGCATGCGCCGTGCAGTCGGGCGGCTTGCTCTTTCCCGTCAGCCCTTGCGCGATATAAATAGCCGCGTCCCGCTCGCCCAGCGTTCATTTCTAGGCGCGCGGGAGGAAGAGGTAAGTGGTGGAGCTGCTGACTCTGCCTTAAAGAGCTGTCGTTTCATCTCTCCAGAAGCAATAATTTAGGGAAGGTAATGATTATCAGTGATTATTTAAGCTGTTTTTATGATTGCACCGTTTTGATATCTTGATAAATGAAAGAAGGATCGAGCCAAGTCAGAGGCTGGTTCTCCGATCCAGTGTTTTAAATATTTCCCCCAGTTCTCACCCTTGTGAAATGTTAAGAAAGCAAGGCGAGGCTGTGCTCCCTCTTGTGTTTTTATGAGATTTCTGACGGGCAGAAGGTCAACAGCGAAACATTCAGTGATGAGACTTTCCCTGTTGAATTTCCGCCTGTTTCTGGAATTTCAAAGTTGAAGGAGCACTGTTGTTGCAGCTAGTGCCTCAGAAAACTATATAACATAAATTATTGGGAGAGGGAGAGTCCCTGCGCCTTGAAAGTGTGGCGGCAGGCAGAATTAATTCAACAGGTGCAGCAAGTCGGGCTGTGTTTTGGAGGACAGCAGCTGGCATAGGTGGCAATTTGTCTTTGAGGTCTGGGAAGAATGGTGCCCTACAGCGACCCTTCCTCTGCTTGCAGTTTACATCACTGGTTTCCATCTGGGATTCCTCTTGTCTGCGCTTGGGAAGAAAGCTATGAGCAGCCTCATTCTTACCTGTTTGCATGAAGGTCTCTGTGAAGTTCTGTTAAACTTGCAAGGCAAATTGGATCTTTCTTACTCCTCTCAAAAGTTTTATTGTTTAATTAGTTTCTCACCTTTCCTTAAAGGAGCTCAAGGTGGTGTACGTGGTTCTCCCCTCTTCCCATTTCATCCGCACTAGCACAATACTAGGTTCGATTTTAAAAGCTTTTTTTCTGCTTGCTAGTGACCTCTTAACAGCGTACGCATGTGCATATCGCGGTGCTGATGCGTGGGGAGAAACCTTTCAACTTTGATCATTTCAAGCAAGATTCTATTGAAAAGCTGTATGAGGCTCTGAAGCCTCAATATTTAATCTGCAAAAATACAGATTTTCCTAACAGTAGTTGCTCTAATCCAGGCATCCCCAACCTGCAGCCCTCCAGATGTTTTGGCCTACAACTCCCATGATCCCTGGCTAACAGGACCAGCAGTTAGGGATGATGGGAATTGTAGTCCAAAACATCTGGAGGGCCGCAGGTTGGGGGTGCCTGCTCTAATCTTTGTGAGGCTTTATAGCTTTCCTGAAACCAAGCATTTATCAACAAAGACAAGTTTGGTCATAAATGTTTATGCAGTGTATTCTTGGATACTAGGTTGTACATAGGGTTGTGGGCGACGCTGTGGGTTAATCCACAGAGCCTAGGACTTGCCGATCAGAAGGTTGGTGGTTCAAATCCCTGCGACGGGGTGAGCTCCCATTGCTCGGTCCCAGCTCCTGCCAACCTAGCAGTTTGAAAGCATGTCAAAGTGCAAGTAGATAAATAGGTACCGCTCCGGTGGGAAGGTAAACGGCGTTTCCGTGCGCTGCTCTGGTTCTCCAGAAGCTGCTTAGTCATGGTGGCCACATGACCCAGAAGCTGTTTGCCAGCTCCCTTGGCCAATAAAGCGAGATGAGCGCCGCAACCCCAGAGTCGGCCACGACTGGACCTAATGGTCAGGGGTCCCTTTACCTTAGGTTGTACATTGCTTGGTGCCAGTGGTACTGTATGAAGCTGTGTTTCAGGCAGTTGTAATACACTAATGTGCACTTTTGTTTTGTGGTCAGAAAGCCTTGAGAACCTCATTGGATGCTGCTGAAGAGTGCATTTGATCCACAGGTGAACATGTCTGGTTTGGAAATGCAAGGTACTGGAGAATTTTTTTCTGTTTGATTTTAAGATTACTACCCAGACTAGACTTCATCAACCTGGTGCAATCCAGATGTTTTGAACTACAGCTCTTATTGGCCCCACTCAGCATGGCCAATAGCCAAGAATGATTGGGAGTTGTAGTCCAGCAATAACTGAAAGGCACCTGGTTGGGAACACTTTCAAAGATAGGAATAATAATAATAAATAATAATAAATTTTATTTATATCCCGCCCTCCCCAGCCGAAGCTGGGCTCAGGGCGGCTAACAATAAAATAGTACAACAGCATGATTTTATGCGAATGGAATATCTGCAGATGTTACTCTTGGACTTTAGTTACCAGTGACCGCTAAGCTACAGTGCTACAGGCAAGCATGTGCTTCAAATGTGCTTTAAAGTTATGTAAAGCACATTTGAAGCGCATGCTTTCCTGTAGCACTGTAGTTTAGCAGTTACTGGTAGCTATGAGAGATAAACTACAGTGCCCATAATTCTTTTGAGTGTGTGTCTGTGATTAGAATGTACTTGGAAAGTAAAGTGTTTACACCATGGGTAGGCAAACTAAGGCCCAGGGGCCGGATCAGGTCCAATCACCTTCTAAATCCTGCCCAAGGATGGTTCAGGAATCAGCGTGTTTTTACACGAGTAGAATGTGTGCTTTTATTTAAAATACATCTCTGGGTTATTTGCGGGGCAAAGGAATTCGTTCATTTCCTCCCCAAAAAATATAGTCCGGTCCCCCACAAGGTCTGAGGGACAGTGGACTTGCCCCCCTGCTGAAAAAGTTTGCTGACCCCTGGTTTACACAGCCTCCTTCCCAGTTATGTCTAAGGGAGAAGGCTTTTCTTTATTGAAACCTTACTCTGTTATGGTAAGGTTACCAGATGTCCCCGTTTCTCAGGGATAGCCTCCGGAATACAAATCAGTCCCCTGAGAAAATCCATCCCCGAAATGTCCCTGGGTTTAATTTAATGTCCCCAAATTTATATTTTAAGTGTTGTAGATTTATAAGGTAACTGTATATTACTCCTACATGGCATTCTCTTTGGAAGGAAACAACTCATTCTTGAGTTTCTCTTTGGAATTAGTAGGGAATGATTGTTGTGTGATTGGTTCAACAGCACAAGACACAGCAATATGTATATCGACGTGTGATTGGCTAGCTGCTATCACATAGTTTTATCTCAAAATGTGATTGGCTCCCTGCCAACTCGCGCTTGTTCTCACATCTCACTTCCGTTTTCCTCTTCCTCTTTTATTCGGTTGCTTTTTCCAGTGTTGAGTGTTTGTTTTTGGCAGTATCGGCAGCCTTTTAACACATCCACGTGTACTTTTTGTAATTTATATTGCAGTTATTGAAGCTAATAAGACATCAAAGAAACGAAAATGTGTGGTTAATGATTTGATACTAAAGGATTTTCCATTTATCAGAAGAGGAGTGAAGGAACATTCTGCATTTTGTTCACTATGTGAAGTAACTTTTACCGTTGGAAGTGGCGGGCGAACCTCAGTCGTTGAACACGTTGCAACTAAAAGACATAAAAGCTCCTTGATTCGGGAAAGTAGCAACGCAAAGAATGTATCAGCATACTTTAAGACTATTGTGCCAGATCAAAGTGAAATAAACATTGCCCTTCAAGAAGGAACTTTCGCATTTCATACTGTGAGGCATTACCACAGTTTCAAGTCTATGGACTGTACTTCCAGCTTGGTTAAGAAATTCATGTGTTCCAGAACAAAAGTTGAAGCCATTGTCAAACACGTGATTGCTCCCTGGGCGATTGCCGAAGCTGTAGAAGAAAGCAATAGAGCTTCTTTTGTAACTATACTTCTAGATGCTTCAAATCATTGTAATACAAAATTGCTACCAATTATTGTTCGCTACGTACATGTGAATGCTGAGAAAGCTGTATCCATCTGTAATAAAATTGTGGACTTTGTTCAAATTACAGGGGAAACAGCTGAAATAATATACACGGCCTCATTTCAAACAATCAAGCATCTTGGTTTGGAGCATAAAGTGGTAGCGGTTTCAGCAGACAATACGAACACTAATTTTGGTGGTCTGAAGAAGAAAGGTTCAAACAATGTCCTCACCAAAATGAAGGAAGGTTTGGGAAAGAATATTCTCTGCTTGGGGTATAACGCTCAAATGATACATAACAGTGCACATTCCGCAATAAATTCAATCCCTGTTGATGTTGAAGGACTTGTGGTAAAGATTTTTGGTTATTTCCACATATTTACAGTGAGAGTAGAACATCTAGAAGAGTTTTGCGAGTTTGTAGGACAGGAACACAAGAATATTCTTAGCTATAGTAATGTCAGATGGCTTTCGCTGCTGCCAGCCATCAGAAGGATCTGTGAAAATTATGCTGTCTTGAAATCCTTCTTTCTCTCTGAGGAGAAATGCCCAGCCGTGCTGAAAAAGTGGTTCAGTGATCCTTGCACCTATTTGTGGATGAATTTTGTTGCTTCGACTCTGCCTCTTTTCCATGATTCCATACTCCAAGCCGAAGGAGAGGAAGTAACAGCAGTGGAATTTTGCATGATTCTCAACATTTTGATTCAGAAACTTCAGGCTAGGAGTGATGACAAGTTTATTCCCTTTTCAGTGAGGAAACTTTTGCCATCTCTCGAAGAAGGTGGTTCTTGCACTCAGGAAGAATTTCTCACCATATCAAGAGACTTCTACACTACTGCTGTTGAATATCTAACTGCTTGGAGCTCCCACTCTGAAGATATTAGGTGTATGGAGTGCATTTTGCTTCGGACTTGTCCACAGAGAGAAAACTTTGAAGAGTGTCTCCAATATTTTTCATCAAGGGTAGGAGGAGTTGGTCTAAGTGAGGATCATTTATTTGATGAAATTTCTTCTTTGAAAGAATATGTATCAAAACAAAAGATAACTAAATGGAATGAAGATGGTGCTGATGTGTGTTCAAGATGGAGTGACATTTTCTCATTCTTCTCTCAGAAGATGATCCCCTATCCACAGCTACAAAAGTTGGTTCAACTCTGTCTCTGTCTACCAGGAAGCAATGCTGCAGTGGAGAGAGTGTTTTCTTCCATGGACATGATGTGGACATCTCAGAGATCAAGGCTTGATATCGACACTATCAAAGCTGTGCTAGCGGTCCAAAGTAACTTTGCCATGGATTGCCAGGAATTTGCAACAAAACTGGAGTCAAGAAGAGGTCTTCTCAGCAAGGTGCATTCTTCAGAACAATACAACTAGTTGGGAACAAAGGTAACTCGTTCAATTTCATTAATGTAGTTGTTTTAATGTATTATCTTAGTAGTAAAGGCAGACTTCCTATCGAGCTGTCATTCCAACTGAAGTTGAAAAGTGTCCCCGGATTCATTGAAAAAAATCTGGTATGTTTTGGAGCCCATCAATTGTCTCCAGCCGCAAAAAAAAATATGTTCTGCTCCTTGGACTTTACCCATGGGAGTTGGGAGACCAGTATTTTGAGAGCACTTGTCCCTTGCTGCCCTAGAGACAAGAAATCTAGAAATGGATGCACTTCATCATGCTGTCAACCCAATGGGGATATCTGGAGAGGTTGCTCTTTCTCAGCTCTGTCCATGTGGCATATGGGAGCGTAGGCCTTTGGGCTCTGTGACGTATAGTCCCCTTCCACACCATTGGAGAGCAAGCTGGGCCCTCTGAGTTCCGCAACCTGCATATTCCTCCTTCTGCTCTGAGTCTTTGCACAGTGACTGAGGAGATAAATCACTTGGGTAGTGTTTGCTTACTGTAACCGATGCTTTGTGCTAGTGGCATTGTTAAAAAGTTGTGTTCAATCCAGTGCTGCTTAAACCTTTGGGAGTGAGGTCCACTTATAAACATAATTTACTTAGGAACACAGGAAGCTGCCTTATACGGTCTCGGTCCAGTATTTCTGAAGGAGCGTCTCCACCCCCATCGTTCTGCCTGGACACTGAGGTCCAGCTCTGAGGGCCTTCTGGCGGTTCCCTCCCTGCAAGAAGCCAAGTTATAGGGAACCAGGCAGAGGGCCTTCTCGGTGGTGGCACCCGCCCTGTGGAACGCCCTCCAACCAGATGTCAAAGAGAACAACTACCAGACTTTTAGAAGACATCTGAAGGCAGCCCTGTTTAGGGAAGCTTTTAATGTTTGAGGTACAGTGGTGCCCCGCAAGACGAATGCCTCGCAAGACGGAAAACCCGCTAGACGAAAGGGTTTTCCGTTTTTGAGTTGCTTCGCAGGACGAATTTCCCTATGGGCTTGCTTCGCAAGACGAAAATGTCTTGCAAGTCTTAAGATTTTTTTCGCTTTCGCCCCTTTATCTAATCTGCTAAGCCTTTAATAGCCTTTTAGCAGCTAATCCGCTAAACCTTTAAGCCTTTAATAGCCGCTAAACCGCTAATAGCGCTAATCCGTTAAGCCGCTAATAGGGTTGCTTCACAAGACGAAAAAACCGCTAGACGAAGACTCTCGCGGAACGGATTAATTTCGTCTTGCGAGGCACCACTGTATTACAGTATTTTAATATTTTTTTGGAAGCTGCCCAGAGTGGCTGCGGAAGCCCAGCCAGATGGGCGTGGTATAAATTACAAATTATTATCATTATTATTATTATACTGAGTTAAGAACAGGGGTTGGCAACTTAAGGCCCATGGGCCGGAAGTGACCCACAGAGGCCATTTAACCGGCCCATGAGCCGCCTGCTTGGTGAGTCCCCGCATGCTGTGCTAAAGCAGTGCGGCGCAGGGACTCCTCTGTGGCTCTAGCAATCGCTTCTGCACATGCCCAGACGCTGGAAATCTTGTCTGTGCATGTCCGTGGCGCCAGAAATTGCTTCTACGCAGGCGCGATTTCTGGCATCGCAGACACTATTTCCAGCGTCGTGCTGCGCTGGCCTGGCCTGGCCCACAGAGGATCTCCGCGGGAGTGATCTGGCCCATTCCCAGTAAGCCTTGCTGACCCCTGGTTAAGAAGATTGGTCCATCAAGCTCAATGCTGTCTACACTGACTGGCAGTGGCTCCCCATGGATTCAGGCAGTGGTCATTACCAGCCCTACCTAGAGATGCCAAGGATTGAACCTGGAACCTTCTGCAGGCGAAGCAGATAATCTACCACTGAGCTGCGCCCCTTCTATTATTAGTCATTGAACTTATAAGTATCCTGTTACAAGCCGCCTAGCAATATTTTTAAGAGCTTAAGTAAAAAAAAAAGTTTTTATAAAAAGACATCAACATCTTTCCCCAATAACAGCGGCAAAAAGCTCTGGTGACACAAGCAGCTAAGCTTTCTAATCTTATCTCCTCTCGCTGAAAAAGAAAATAAAACACTCTTGTGTTCAAATTTAACACTGGACAATTGCATATTATATATTCCATGTTTTAATTGGCGTGTTGGCGTTAGAGCATATATTGCTTATATAAATAGAGTTTAATAGGCAGGGGGTCAGTAACCAAGTCACTCCAAGAGGATCCACGACAGAAGTGCTGTGGGCCCGTCATGAATTTTCTTTAAACTCCCTAGAAATTGGGGGGGGGGGGAGAGATGACACAGACACACACTCATTGTGTGACCAGCCCAGGAATACATTCGGACTCCCAGTTTGAGAAGCAGCTGTCTTAACTCTTGTACAATTTTGTCCTTCCCATTCTAGTGCACTTGAAAGTTCATTGCATGCTGTTGGAATGGCCACATAATCCTGAAGTGGGTATGTACAGCAGTTTTGACTCTCAAGGTGTTCATGAGAATGATTAATTTTTCCTATTTGCCTTTTGCGGGCCGGGGTGTGTGTGTGTGTGTCGGTCGGTCGTCAAGACCGCTGTGGGGTGTTGTCTTTATAAACGCCACTGTGAAAATTATGCTGTACTCTTAGGTTTAGACTAACAGTGCATTGAAATATAAAATGCTGTCTTGGGATAAGCAGTTTTGAAAGAACATCAGCCGTCTTGGACTACAGTGCCTGTTATTCCAGGCCATTGGCAATGCTGGCCTAGAGATTAGACAGCTTTCTACAAATGCACTTGCCATTCATCCTGCTGTCAACCCAATGGGGAAAACTGGAAAGGTTGCATGGCCTTTGTGATGTATAGTCCTCTTCCATACCGTTGGAGAGCAAGCTGGGCCCTCGTGGTCTGCAACCGGCATATTCCTACTGCTTCTCTGAGTCTTCAGGCAGTGATTGAGGAGATAAACCATGAAGGAGACATGTGCCTGTTTACTGCTTCATTCATAAACCCTTATTAAATCTGGTAGGCTTCCTATTGGGGGATCTGATTGGCCACTTGGAGAACAGGATTCTGGATTGGCTGGGCATTTGGACCGATCCAACAGGGCTCTTGTGTTCAATTTTTACCTTGCTCTTTTTTGAGTTTTCGGTACTATGGCACGAGGGGTGTGAAAAATCGAGGCACTTAATGGCCTTGTAAGAGGCATATGCACCAGAGTTTTATGTCATAATTGTGTTAATAAGCCTAAGCTGATGGTTCCCGGTTGGAAGAACCTATGGGAGCCGCAGATATTTCGAGTCTTACTGTTAATATTACGTTTTCATCCTTACCTATGCAAGTGTCATAAACCGCATACTTGGGCTTGTTCAAGTTGGTCCTTGCATATTCTCAGAATTTCAATGTTTGTGCAGTGACTAGTTTGAAGTCTGTACACAGGGGTCTGATTTTTTATTTATTTTTTACATTGGAATGATTGAGGTCCTGCTTTTTATTGGTGCACGCTTGATTGATTTCCCTCCCTCAATTATTTTTTCATTGCTTTCTCCACAAAGTCTCAAAGTGACTTACAAGGTCTGTACAAAACAAAAAAGCCTTAAAATCTGTTTAAAATATTTATATGCTGATTTTATGTTCAGGAAGCTGAGAACCAAAAACAGCCTGTTGTATGTTTCTGTTTATTAGGCCGTTGTGAATGGAAGAATAACAACCTGGGGGGAAAGAGCTGGAGAAGATGCTGAGAATGCGGTCTTGTGAAAGCAGCAGCTATTTAAGTGTAGGTCAGAAGAGAACAGAGTCCTACGGATCAACAGAACAGTCCTGAAGAAATGGCTACCTTTGGTCTCCAGTATGCCTTCAAGACTACAATTCCCATCATCCCTGGTTGCTGACCCTGCTGGAGGGATTCGGAAGGCCCCAACATCGACAGGGCACTATGATGGCCTTCTCTGGCAGCAACAGGGTGGAAGAAAAGCTGCAATGCTGTGAATACTAATATGAGCAGGAATGATCTCCAAAACCTTAATGCGGAGAACTATCATCTTGCTTTCCCCCCTGATTAGCAGTTGCTGCCGTAGCGGTAACAAACCAGCAAGATATGTGACACACTGCTTGTGTGCTGTGAGCAAAGGTGGTTGTGGGAAATACTTGAATGGGGACAAAGATAATGGGACTATATGGAACTGGCGGAAATGACTGGCAGAATCCGAGACCAGGGAGAAGAGTCGATGGAAGAAGATTGGGAAAAGTTTAAAGATTATTTACAGAAATATTGCAAAATTAATGAATGTTAGAATGATGTTGGATTGAAACTAAGTGGTCTTTAGCTGAAATGTTATAAGGGAATATGAAAAAATGGATTATTAATAGGTAAAAATTTAAAATTATAATACTTTACGATTAACGACTAGGATATACAAAGAGGGGAGGGATTTGCTGAACTAACAAATTGAACTGGAATACAAAAAAGGGAGGCGTGAGGAGGTCCGGGAAATAAGCAAATGAAAGATAAGTAATGGAAAGAATGAAGTGTTTTTAACTATTTTTATTTTTGCATTTTTCTTTTTTTATATTGTAATATTTTGAAAACCTTAATAAATATCTTATAAAAAAAAAAAAAGATAATGATCCACAACCAAATTAACCGGTTGGGATGAAGCTGTTTTCTGCACTTGCAGAATTTAACAGCTGGCCATTGGTGGAACATCGGGCGAGTTTTAATTCAGTTGTTTTAGATGCCAGACACGTGTGTTTGTTTCATCACACTTAACTCTGCTAGCATTGCAGTTACCATCTTTCCCCTTCTGAAAAGTGTTGTTTAAAGATGTATATATATTGGAAAAGTAATTGTTTACATTACTTTGTGTTTTGATGTGTCATCTGCCTTCAGAAGTATATGTTACACCCATTTGTAGAAAATCAGTGGTTTGACCAATTCCTCCATTCCAGTGCAATTTTGCCCTTAAGGAAAGGACTCTTTTCCCTCCCACCTCCCTCCATAATCCGTCAAGCGTGAGGACATGATACCTGGGGGAAGTGCCTGGGGTAACAGTTGCTGAGCAGGTAGTTTCCAAAATCCCATCAGCGGACTTGCCCCAGGTTATGGATGTGCAAAGGGAGCTCTATTGCCCTTTGATGGTGGGTACTTGAGAGGTGCCTGGGAATGTTTTGCCTATGCTAATCTTGTACCCAGGACTTGTCTGGACATGTTTGCCAAGGTTGAACTAGTGTAACCCCGGTCTACCCCTCCCCTTTCGTGACATGTCAGTGATGTAAAGATGATGTAGCAATGGTGCTGTACAAACTGTATTCTGGAATGTTGTGGGAAGTTTTAAAAGCCAATGTCACCCCACGCTCTGGGTTCTTACTGCTGTTTGAACCTGTTGTGCAACAATAAAGGATCTAAGTCTGCTGTTTTGCTCCAAATTACTTGGCAGGAACATCCTTCTTTTACTGACCGCATGGACCTGCGGGGGACTTGGACCCTGACAAGCTGGGCTGTTGAGTAGTCTCTCATCCCGGAACTTTTCCTTATCACTTTGAATGTTCCAGCAGAGGAACTGGAAGGCATGACTCCAATCCTGGGCCCACTGGGAGAGATGTTAGGTGGATTGCAGTGAGAAACAAGCCCTCGTTTCAGAAGAGAAGGCGGCAGAGGGGTATATGCACACAGCCTCGCCCCCCCCCCCCGCAGCATCCCAGTTCAGAGGCAAGGAGCACAAAGAAAGTGACTTGCACCCCTGTCTCTTCCAGGAATCGCCAGCCTCATAAACGTCATCCTCCAGATGGAGGAATATCCACCCATCAAATGGAGGTCATTTGCACAGCTCCTCCTCACCTTCCTGGGGCTGATCTCCACCTCCCTGCAGGAGAAGACCTTCCTCATGAAAAGAGGGGTCCTGATCCCCACCATCTGTGCCAATGACCCTCCTGCTAACTCTGCCACTGTCTTGGTTTCAGAGAGGCACAGCTGCTTCTCAGCACTATGGAGGCACATGCTGAGATGGCCACCTTGGACCTCCTTTTGTACCCTGACACCTTTGACCAGGGATTGCCGTATTTTTCGCTCTTATAATATGCACCCGACCGTCAGGCTATCCCTGAAGCCAGGAGAGCAAGAGGGATAGCTGTGCAGCCTGCATTCACTCCATAAGACGCACACACATTTCCCCTTACTTTTTAAGAGGGGAAAAGTGTGTCTTATAGAGCGAAAAGTACGGTATATGCCCTGGTGAGGTAAGAGGAAGAGCATAGTGATCTTCAAACATTTTGGCAAAGAAGCAGAACTCGTTCGTTGCATGGCGTGTGAATGTGCTCTTTGCTGGGGTTTCTGGGGTGCCCTCGCCTTCGCTCACAAGATCCTGTTAGTTACACATTTCAGGGGCTCCAGCAGTGCTGGATTCCTGGGTTGGCTGCATACATCATTTCAGCTCCGAAAAATAAGCGCTTTGCCGGGGTGCCAGAAGTCGCTGCAGCCATCTTCCTGGAGGTGAGGGGATTTGGTGTTGAAGGAAGAGTGCAGACAAATGTGTAGAGCAAAGAGCCCCATGTTCCGTGTCTGCCGAATGTGGGCTGTGGAGTCTTTCTCCTGTGTCTTTCCTAGAGGGAATTGCTTTTCCAGTAACGGAAGCATTAGCCCTAGGGTCCCACCCCCCTCTCCATCCTCCATGCAAGAAGCAAGAGGCATCATCACCACTCAAAGGCACACCCAAGCAAAATCTCTGCAGGGCAGGGCCAGTGGAGGGGTTCCCTGTTGGAATGGGAAGGGAGTTAGCCTCAGGACCATCCCAAGGACCAGCTAGATATCTCTGGAGGGCCACATTCAGCCTCTGGGTGTGAGGTCCCTCTGCTCTATGCCATGGTCAGGGCGACATGCCTCCGTCTCCCAATGCCTGCGCCACTCGCAGCACACCTAGACTATGTCAGGAGTTCAGCCTACACTCGAGTAGGACTCTGGCAGAGACACATGTCCGACTGGCATGTTCCCTCACTCCTGGTCGATCATTTGGGAGCTTCATAAGCTTTCTTCAGCCCGAACATCACAGCGACTGATGCCAACTGACACCGGCACACTTAGGGACCCACAGAGTTTGCGCAACGTGACAGACCTCAGCAACTCAGTATTTGGCTAATCTACTTTATTTACATATAAACACACACGGACAGACAGCGACAGACTAGCATCAGACAGCGAAGAGAAAAAGAACAAAGGACAATAGTCCCCCTTCACCGAACACAGTAACACAAATATCCTGTCTTCGTCATTTCCCACTCTGTGGAGTCAAAACATACACCATCATGTGATAGACAACAATCCCATGACTGCAATCATGGAGCAGGAATTCTAACAGACTAGACCTAAGCTAAGTCCACTGGAAATGTTCGTGTTCACTTACTGCCAGGAAACCATTGGAAGCCATATTCTCCACTAAATTAGAAAAGGGTAAGCACAGCAAAGCTATGTACACCTTGTACGCACCGGGGATCAGAGAACCTCAGTTCAAACAGTTGCACATTCTGTTGCAGGGCAACCACCATTGCTAGCCTAGAACGCACGGCCACCATGCCCAGGTTCTAGGAGAGTCCGTGTGGCGGAGTGGTTAGAGTGCTGGACTAGGACCCAGGAGACCAGGGTTCAAATCCCCACAAGGCTCACTGGATTACCTTAAGCCAGTCTGACTCACTCTCAGCCTAACCTACCTCACAGGGTGGTTGTGAGGATAAAATGGGGAGAAGGACCTTGAGCTGCTTGGAGAAAAGGTGGGATAGGAATGTCATAAACAAACCAATAAACTACCAGTTGTAGACAGTTTACCCAAACAGCCACACCATATTCTACAGGGTTTTTTTTCTTGATGTTCACCTCTGCTTGCTTGTACAACTAAATTGGGAATATCACTTCCAACTTGCCTGCATTGGGACACACCTGCTAGATTAAAAGCTGCTTTATATATAAAAAAGGTTCCTGTTTTAGCTCAACCACAGTTTAGCATGTGAAGCGACTGGCTTTATACTGAAGCTGACTTGCTTTAAAAGAGCATATCATGCTCTCCAGTATTATCTAGGATTATTTATTGTTGCTTGATACCTGGGTCTTGCTCCTCAGGAAGCAGACTTGGCAATGCCACCTGTTCATTTTTCCATAAGTAAACAAAGTGTTCCTTTTGGCTGTACCAGAACAGCAAAGAGCAAATTTAACTCCACACACAACATGGATGGCATATATTTTTTTTAATGTACAGTTTAATATTTTTATTCTATGTTCTTTCATGAGTGGGCTCATTCAGTCAGTCAGAAACAGGGAGACAAGTCCTGTCCTCAGGCTTGAAAACTAAATAAGTCAAGACACCCAGCAGAAGGGATATCGAGGAAGAAAGTAGAGGAAGAATAAATTTTAACAATGCCCAAAGACTTGAGATGTCGACAGGCAATCGTGTCTTGTATTTAGACAAAGCTGCAGCAACTGTCCCAACAGCCCTTCATCCCTCTGCTGATGGAAAGGGCAGACAGAGAATGATTGCCTTCAGCCCTGCAGTCCCAGAGCAAGTGGTGACTGGAACCTTTTTGTTTACTCTGGCACACATGATGATCTCAGTGGGAACAGCTGCTGAGGAGCAGAACTGCCCCCCCCCCTCTGCTTTGTCATATTTGTGATGGGCTCGGGCTTGGAACCAGAGGAGACTCAGTCTGCACCGGATCCCCTGCCTCAGGCATCACCTAAACCAAGTCTGGGGCTTGATCCTGAAGAGTCCCAGTCGGCACAGGTTCCCCTGCAACAAACACCAGCTGGGCCAAGTCAGGGGCCTGAGCCTGCCCTGGCTCCAGATGTGGGGGTTCCCTCGTTGCCTCCAGCTGGGCCATCACTTACAGCTGCTCCACTACCGGTTTGGTCAAGGGAGGCTGAGGCGGCCCCTGGGTCTAGTAACCCACCAATGTCTCCAGAGCTGCAGAGACTGAGGTCTGAGAGAAGGAGAGACCTTAGTATTCGCAGGAGGAGTGCTCGCGAAACAGGGAGGTGAATCGCCGGGGGATCAGGACCGGCCACTACCCCGCCAAAGATAAAAGGCTGTTGGACCCCTCCCCAGGTTGTGGGAGCAACATTGCTATATGCTAGATCCTGCCTGAGATCCTGTACCTGTCCTTGCCTGGTTTCCTGCCTCATGTCCTGCCTTGGCCCTGCCGGACTGACTCCTAGCAGAACCTTTGGATTCTGGACCAGTCCTGGACTGCATTTCACGGGTTGCCCCCGGGCCCAGCACAATATTACAATTTCCATTATTCTTTGGGACATTGTTGGTTTATGAAGAATTTATAAACTGCTTACCTATGGCCCTCAGAATGTGGCTCATTTCATAACCCAGGTGCCACCTACTTTATTTTTTCGAGCAGCAGACTCGAAGCCCTCAGTTGGGTGCAAGAGACTGCAAAGCTGTGAAGTAGACTGGACTAGGGAGTCTAGAGCCTCTCCTATATGAAATATAAATACAATCTTCAATGGATTTTACAGGGACAATAAAGATTTTGTCACAGTTCAATTGGGGTGCCACAATGAAAAGCAACAAGAAAGAGTCTGTTGGACTTTGATGAGTGGTTTTATTATAGTAGAAGCTACTGTAGGCCAGAGCTGCCTTCTTACTTCCTGTTTTATATAGATAGGTCCGGTCCCCAGGCCATGCCTCCCAGGCGGCAGCGGATTGGCTGGATTGAATATGAGGCATGGTGGTGACCAGAGATGCAGCTGTGGCCAAAGGGGAAATGGTGCGGCTCACAGGGGTGTCTTGGAGGCACTGTGGAGGTCCGCAACCACCGCTCACCCCAAAGTTGGGTAAGCGGCCATTCAAATCTTCCTGTCCCAGTGTGATTAGGCTGCAGCTGAGATGCATCTTCATTTTCGATTCATCTGTTCTTTGTGTTTTTTTTAAAATGATATTTATTAAAATTTCAGAAAAAAGAGTTACATAAAAACAAGAAAAGCAAAAACAAAAGACAGAAGTAAAAATACAAGAAAAATACAAAATACAGAATAAAAGAATAAAAAAACACTTAAAAAAATAAATAGATCAATCTTTCCATGCCTTACATTCATATCCTTGTTTCCCTGACCTCCTCATACCTCCCTTTTTTGTATTCCAATTCAATTAGTTAATTCAGCAATTTCTTTCCCTCTTTATTTTCTCTTAATCCTTTAACTTAATATACTATAACTTTAAATTTTCACCCGTTATCAATCCATTTTTACATACACCTTTATAGCATTACTACTTAAACCACCTAACTTCATTCTAACATCATTCTAACATTCATTAATTTTGCAATATTTCTGTAGATAGTCTTTAAATTTCTTCCAATCTTCTTCCACCGACTCTTCTCCCTGGTCTCGGATTCTGCCAGTCATTTCCACGAATTCCATGTAGTCCATCACCTTCATCTGCCATTCTTCCAGAGTGGGTAGTTCTTGTGTCTTCCAATACTTTGCAATAAGTATTCTTGCTGCTGTTGTGGCATACATAAAGAAAGTTCTATCCTTCTTTAACACCAATTGGCCCACTATGCCCAGGAGAAAGGCCTCTGGTTTCTTCAAGAAGGTATATTTAAACACCTTTTCAATTCATTATAGATCATCTCCCAGAAAGCCTTAATCCTTGGGCACGTCCACCAAAGGTGAAAGAATGTACCTTCAGTTTCTTTACATTTCCAACATTTATTGTCGGGCAAATGATAGATTTTTGCAAGCTTGACTGGTGTCATGTACCACCTGTATATCATTTTCATAATATTCTCTCTTAAGGCATTACATGCCGTAAACTTCATACCTGTGGTCCATAACTGTTCCCAGTCAGCCATCATTATGTTATGTCCAACATCTTGAGCCCATTTAATCATAGCAGATTTCACCGTTTCATCCTGAGTATTCCATTTCAACAGCAAGTTATACATCTTTGACACATCTGTTCTTTGTGTTGGGAGGTGTTGCAGGGCAGTGGCCAAGACCTATTCTGAAAAAAGACACAAGACTTACCCACACTGGAGGAATGGCAGATGAAATTGATGGACTACATGGAATTGGCGGAAATGACTGGCAGAATCCGTGACCAGGGAGAAGAGTCGGTGGAAGAAGACTGGAAGAAATTTAAAGACTATTTACAGAAATATTGCAAAATTAATGAATGTTAGAATGATGTTGGATTGAAGTTAAGTGGTTTCTAGCTGAACAGGTACAAAAGAAAAGGGAAAAATTGGTTTATAATATGTAAAAATTTAATGTTATAATATATCAAGATTAAAGATTAGGATTAAAAAGGAGGGAAAGGAATTGTTGGATCAACAAAGAATTGGAATACAAAAGAGGGAGGTATGAGGAGGTCCGGGAAACAAGTAAATGTAAAAGAAGTGATGAAAAGATGGAATTGTTTTTAACTGTTTTTTCTTTTTTGTACTTTGTATTTTTTCTTTTTATTGTTAATTTTCTTATTAACGTGATTTTTCTTTTTTTTGAAACTTTAATAAATATTATTTTTTTTTAAAAAAAGACCTGTTCTGAAAAATTGCTATTGCGCAAACACACCAATCTTGGGGAGCCTGCAGTAACCCAGACTTTGGTTTCCTTGCAACTGCCTGAGCCCCACTCTGACAGGGGAGCATCAGGAAGTTGGCCATGGTGGCAAGGACTGCGTTGGCCAACTGCTCTTGGCGAGCTTCAACTAGGACATCTTCTAAGCGAGGGCGTTAGGGAAGAGCAGCTGGCTCCTCTGAGTAGCTGAGGACATGTTGCTGCCTTGCGAGGAACAGGCAGTGCCTTCCGCCCCGGACCGAAAGGAAGGGAGAACTGGTCCGCCTCGATGGTTCCCAGTCCTGCTCTGCTCCCTCGGAAGCACCTTGCATGCTCTCCAGTTGTAGTAATCGTGGGCCACTATCCACCTCCCCCCAACCAGTCCTCCAAACGCCGCAGGACCTGGCAGGGAGAGGGAGAGTTCACTAGGTGTTCCAAGTCACAAGCCAAACGGTAAAGCTGCCACACCTCCTTTTCTGGGTCACCCTCGAATGGGGTCCAAGGAGGAGAACCCCCCTTCGATATTTACCAGGTTGCCCAGTCCTGTGTCACTGTACCATGACGCAGACAGAAATTCAACAGGTAGAACAGGTAGGTGTCCAAATAACCAGGCACCAGTTTAGCTTCTCCGGGCAAACAGCACAGAAGACAAAAGGCAAAAAGTCCTTTTCTGACTTTATTGAAAAAGCCACACAAAAAAGTAAAAGCTTGCACATTTCTTGAAAGGTTACAAACAGAAAATAAAAATGTTGTACAATATAACTAGCTAAAAACCATACACAACGCAACAGTTCAAAGCACAGCGGGTAGTCAAAGTCCCTTTATTGGTTGAACACCCTCAGGTGCAAACACCAGGGCAAGATGTTCTGCAATTTGCATCTGAATTCCCCAAACCTTTAGCCTTGAAGAAACCCATGTGGAGTACAGGTTTAGGGACCAATCATTTCTTTAGGTTAATTACCAATTTACCAATGGCTGTATGATGAGACAATATCTCCTGATGGGCAGGAGAGCAGCGCAGTTGAACTTTGTTTATACTCAGAGGCCTTGAGATCAAAAGACTCCCTCCTTGTTCCCAGACTTCTCTGACACTACCAGGCTCTTGAGCTGTAAATTATTTGATAGCCTCCTGCACTTTTCACACCCAATCCACATTCGAGGCCCCAGCTGCCAGGATCTGTAAATCAGATACAGTGGTGCCTCGCAAGACGAAAAGAATCTGTTCCGCGAGTCTCTTCGTCTTGCGGGTTTTTTCGTCTTGCGAAGCAAGCCCATTAGCGGATTAGCGCTACAGTATTAGCGGCTTAGCGGGCTTAGCGGATCAGCTGTTAAGCGGCTTAAAGATCAGCTGTTAAGCGGCTTAAAGATCAGCTGATAAGCGGCTTAGCGATCAGCTGTTAAGCGGCTTAGCCAATCAGCTGATAAGCGGTTTAGCGGCTTGGGAAAAAGGGGGGGGAAAGGAAAAAAAACCCGCAGGAACTCGCAAGACATTTTCGTCTTGCGATGCAAGCACATAGGAAATTCGTTTTGCGAAGCACCTCCAAAACGGAAAACCCTTTCGTCTAGCGGGTTTTCCGTCTTGCGAGGCATTCGTCTTGCGGGGCACCACTGTAACATCTCATCCTGCCCAGAGCCAGGATGCAATTTGATTCACACTTCTAGAGACAGGGAGTTTTATATTTAAAAAGACCAGGCATCCATTTCCCAGAAGGCCACAGTTTTAACTCTCCCACAATGCCGTACTCCTGCATGAACCAGCGGTTAACATACCAAGGTTTCCCAACTTCACTACCCCAGTTGTAGCTGGGGTTCATTGTGCCTGCCTGGCCATCCCAGCCCCTCTTCCCATCACCCTCCTTCTCACGGTGCAGGCTTGGGGCACAACAACGTCATGCTAGTGCCCCTTTGCACTGGGAACGAGGCACTGGTGATGGCCGCTGCATGGAGGCAGCTGCAGCATGGCGGTGGACACTGAGGAGAGGGGAGAATGGACCTGTTTAAAGAAACGCGTTTAGAGAACCAACAGCTTCTGGGTCTCTCTTGAGGAGGGTGTGAAATGTCACCTGGTTTGTTCGCATCCAGAAGTGAATGCAATCCACGGGTTGCGATTCGCCGCTTCCATGCATGTGCGTGACATCATTTAATTAATTAAAAATGATTGGGAAACAAAACAAGTGATACCAGAGAAATGAAGTTTCTACATAGGGTTAGAAAGAGTTTTACACAAATTTATCTAGAGGTTCTACAAGTCACAATTAGCATTGTCTTTCTTTTGGAAAGTAGCAAATACTAAAAGCAAAAGGCTTTATTAGGAAGAAAAAATAAGAGTAATGCTGAATGAAATGGGGCAGGGAAGAGCCGCACTGCTTTAAGACAGTGCTCGACCTCAGAGTAAAGGCTGCATTGCCTTATTTCTTGCTTGAGGTGCAGTTTACACCAAAGTAAAGCCAGGCTGGTGCCCGGAAAGTTTGTTGCAGAGCCTCTCCCCCTCCGGGCCTTTCGTGCTCCTCCTGCTCCTGTTTCCGAGGGAGGGAGCAGCTCAGAAGCCAGCCCAAAGGTTCCCCCAAATAAGACACCCCCTTCTGGGTGCAGGCCATGCCCGGCTCCGGCTTCGGGGGGGGGGGGGAGCTGGGTGCGCCCGGCTCGCCAAGGGTTAAAAGGAACGGAGCTAGATTCCTAGAGAGGACAGGAAATAAAGGGAGCAGGTTCTCTCCCATCCCTTCCTGCAAGGAGGAGGGCTGTTGTCTCAGCTCCTTCTGGGATCCGGTGAGTCTCCTTCCTCTTCTGCTTAGGTTGTCTTGGGGAGATGGGGGAGTCCCCGGGGGGCAGGGCAGCCAGGAGGGTCCCCCAAGAAGAGAGGGAAGGGGGCCTGGGGAGCCCCGCTTTGCAAGGGTTCCAAGGAACAGCGCAGAAGGCCAGCCACGGGGGCCAGGGAGTCATCCTGCTTAGGGACCCCCAAAGTCATCTAGCCCAACCCTCGGCCTCGCAGGAATCTCTTGCCCAACCTGGGGCTCGAACCCAAGACCCTGAGATCAAAGGGACTCATGTTCTACCAGCTGAGCTCTCCTGCCTTATTCCGGTTTATTTCTGCAATTCACGTGGCTCCTCAGAGAGAGAGAATGTGAGCTTGGTTTGCTCCACCTTGCAAGGGTTAAAAGGAACAGAGATGCATTCCTAGAGAGGACAGGAAATAAGTGGGGGATGCGGTCCTCCCGAGCAAAAGCCCCTCCCACTCCCTGCAAGAGGGGGAAGGTGGCTTTTGTCTCCTCTGCAGGAGCTGCCTCAGTTTCCCTTCAGGGACCTGGTGAGTTTCCTCTCTTTTCTGCCTTAGGGTGCATTGGGGAGAAGTGGGGCGGGTCCAGGAGGTCTGCAACTCTCTTCTTCCTTAGCATCAAGACGCCGCACGCTCCTTTGGTGAGGGGTGTGTGTGTCACAGAGTCAGGAAGAAAAGGGCATGCAAAGGAACCCCGATGGGATTGAGGAAACAGTCACGTTCATTAACGCAGGTGGCAGCCAGACAGACACATTTGGAGGTAGAAATAAATAGTCCTCCCATGTCACAGTGCACAGTTAGACCCATGGAACTCCCATCCACAGGAGGAAGGGATGCCCACCAAGCCAGATGTCTTGAGAAGAGGATGAGGCCAATTCAGGGAAGAGCAGAGGGCTAGCGATGGCTCCAGGCCCCCACAGTTGGGGGCAGCCATGCAGGGGGAGAGAGTTGCCCTGGGCTCCAGCCCTGCTGGTGGGCTTCCAAGAAGCGGCCCCAGGTTGGCACCTGAGAGAACAGGAGGATGGACTGTCTGCAGCCAAAAGCAAAGCAGAGCCCAACCTGTTGATAACAGAATAAAGGATGCAAGGAGGGAGCTGCATGGACTATTAGGAAAAATATAAAATTATTACAATCGCAGACCGTAGGCAAATCCTACATCTCTCTTTTTTAAAACACTGTCCTTTGGCCCCACCCACGTTATTTGGTCCCACCCACCTGTTCTTTGGCACCACCCACTTTACTCTCAGGGTTGGCCAGGTGAAGCCCTGGCCCTCAGAATAAAGAAAGAGGAACCCACCCCAGGAGTCTTGAGAATGTGGGAGATTGCAAGTGCTGCAACATGAGGCAGAAGCAGGAAAGAAATGTGGCCTGACGTTTGGGGGTGGGAGGGACCCCCACTATTGCCTTGGGTTCCAGTTACACTTAGTAAAGATGACTCACTCATCCATTCTTCCTTCCTTCCTTCCTTCTTCCTTCCTTTATTTTTTAAGGAAAGCTCAGTCTGAGTTGTGGTGCAGTCCAGCCCTGGTTCCTAGCAAGACTCATCCACGCTTGTCCAGGGAACATTTCTATTCACCTGACTGTGTATAAGTTTTATATCAGAAAAATATATTTGCTTTTTAGGATTTGCTAAAATCTCTCATTGGGACAGACAGAATTTGGCAGAAGACGTAGTGACTTCTTTCGATTTCTTGGAGGTGTCCTGAGAACAGAGATGGATGAGCAAGACTCAGCTGGGCCTGAAGCAGGAAGAGGCCATTCCATCCAAATTCTTAGCCAGAGAATAATCTGGGGAAAGTCTGCCCAGAGGATCCTGAGTGAGGAGGACACCCTCCGCTCAGATGTGCAGAGCCAGCAGCTCGGGCGGCTTTGCTACCAGGAGGCCAAAGGACCCCGAGAGGTTTGCAACCGACTCTACCACCTTTGCCGTCAGTGGCTGAAACCAGAAACCCACACGAAAGCTGAGATGCTGGACCTGGTGATCTTGGAGCAGTTCCTGGCTGTCCTTCCACCAGAGATGGAGAGCTGGGTGAAGGAATGTGGAGCGGAGACCAGTTCCCAGGCGGTGGCCCTGGCCGAAGGTTTCCTGCTAAGTCAGGCAGAGGAGAGAAAGCAGGCAGAGCAGCAGGTGAGAGAGACTTTCCTCTGGATACTCCCAAGGGGCTCCGAACTTGAGGGAGAGTATCCCCCAATTCTCTACTAATTTTGTCATCCTTTTTTTGGAAAGGATCCGAGGAATGAAATCTGATACCCCTAAAGTGTGTATGTCCTTTGCCATTCCAGTTCTAATCTAATAGTTTTGATTGCTTGTTGCTCTTGCAGGAGAAGGATCAGTTTCCAGAAATGGGTCTGGATTCCTCTAAGGTCGAGAGATCTCCGTTGGACTCCAGAGTAAGGCCACTGGGTAAGGAGGAAGGAGTTTTTTCTTCCCCATTTTGTCACATTATGTTTTTTTTTGAAACTAATTTGTGAGTTTTCTACATCTTTTTTGAGAAGACACATGAAGCCCAGAGGAGGGGAGATGTATTTTAGCACAACTAATATGTGAAATGGTTACTAACGTCCACATTAACGTGGCTGTTCTTACTTTTTGGAAGGCCCACCTATAGCTTTCTTTCTAAGTGAAGCATGCACTTACCTTTTTCTCTCGTAGGAGACCGAACGATACCAGCAAGACCTGTTTATCCATCTTTTCTTGGTGGCAAAGGGGAAGCTGCCCCTGTGGAACCAGAGCAGGTAGGAGGAAGGAGCCATGTGGGGAAAGAGGATGTCATGGACGGGTTGGACACAGAGGAAAGGTGGGAGGGACCGCCAAGGAAAGAAGGGTTGAATGCTAAAATCGCCTTCTAAGCAGTTTACACACCACACCAAACCCCATCAGTCGCATAATGGGGCTTTCCCCCACTCATCCCCCTGTCATTGCCCCCCTGCGCACCTTGAAGTTGTCTAAGAGGACAACCTTTTTTGTTTTCTTTTAGGATCCAGTGTGCTTTGAAGATGTAGCTGTGCATTTCACAGACGAGGAGTGGGCGTTGCTGGATCCTGACCAGAGAGCTCTGCACAAGGAAGTCACGGAGGAGAATCGTGGGATCTTGGACTGTCTCGGTAAGGCGTCCTCTTGGATCATCCTATCTGCTTTGAAATTCAAGATATATCTCTATGGGAGGAACCTCTGATTTTTCGATGGGGCTCAACAGCACCACCCACAGCCCCTGGGATTCTAACACTCCCACAGAAAACCTTGGATGGAAGACTATTGACTGTTTTCCCTGTGAATATTCTTCCTCCAGTTCTGCCTTTTCAAAGCATGAAACCCAGCCAGATGGGCGGGTTATAAACAATAAAATTATTACAATTATTATCATTATCTCAATCATGCCTCCCCCCCTCCAAGATGGCTCCCCTTTTGGTCTTGAAGGGCTGGCCTGTCTGCAGCCCCACAGCCTCCCATCAGGGCCCCTTCACCAGGGGCAGCAGTAGAGGAAGGGCCTCAGGAAAGCAGCCATGACTCCAACAGGACTGGGAACCATCTGGCCAGATTCAGAGGAGCAGGAGAAGAAGGAAGGCTGACCCCTCTCCTTCCCCGCATAGGGCCAGGGCCGCCAGAGGCGCAGGGTGCTGAGCAGGGGGAAAGGAGCTCAGCTAAAGAGCCTCTGGGGGAGATAAGATAACCCTCCGTATTTTTCCCAGGCTCCTCTGAACTGCACAAGGCCTTCTTAAATGTAGGCTTCAAAGTGATTCATGAAGTTCAAGTAGCTTCTGTCAGATTTTTTGTTTCCGTTCTTGCTTCTTTCTGTCCTGGGTTGACCAAAGAGACGAGTGACATTGGAGGTGGCACAGATCCCATGTTTGGGCCAAACAAAATCCATCCCAGAAAATAACCAGGCTGTTTGAATCTCAGGCAGTGAACCCTGCAGGAAGACCTCACATCTAACTCCTTTCAGTTCTTCCTGAATCACAAACATTAATTAGCACTGCTCCCTGATTTGGGGCTCCATTGCTTCCTGAGGCTCCAATCTGTTTCTCTCTCAGTTCCAGGTGGTGATGAATTGGAGCTGAAGAACGAAGGAGACCACGACAAAAGTTACAGAGTGGGGAAGTCATATCCATATTCAGAGTGCAGAGAGAGCTTCAGTCAGAGCTCCCATTCCACTTCAAATCAAAGAAATCCCCTTGAGAAGAAACCCTATCAGTGCTTGGAATGTGGAAAGAGCTTCAGACAGAGAAGCAAGCTCACTGTCCATCAGAGAATTCATACAGGGGAGAAACCCTATCAGTGCCAAGAGTGTGGAAAGAGCTTCAGTCAAAAGGGCAGCTTAACTACCCATCAGAGAATTCATACAGGGGAGAAACCTTATTATTGCTTGGAATGTGGACGGGGCTTCATTGACAGACGCCAGCTCACTGTCCATCAGAGGATTCATTCGAGGGAGAAACCTTATCAGTGCTTGGAATGTGGAAAGAGCTTCAGTAAGAGCAGCCAGCTCACTTCCCATCACATACTTCATTCCGGGGGGAAACCATATCAGTGCTTGCAATGTGGAAAGAGTTTCACTTGGAAAATAAGTTTCACTTCCCATCAGAGAATTCATACAGGTGAGAAACCATATCACTGCTTGGAATGTGGAAAAAGCTTCAGCCACAGAGGCCTTCTCAATGTCCATCAAAGAATTCATACAGGGGAGAAGCCATATCAGTGCTTGGAATGTGGAAAGAAATTCACCCAGAGTTCCCATCTCACAACCCATCACAGAATTCATACAGGGGAGAAACCCCATCAGTGCTTAGAATGTGGAAAGAGATTCATTGAGAAGGCCAAACTCACGATCCATCAAAGAATTCACAGCGAGGTGAAAATATTTCAGTGCCAAGAATGTGGAAAGAGCTTCAGACACAAAGGCCAGCTTAATGTACATCAAAGAATTCATACAGGGGAAAAACCCTATCAGCGCTTGGAATGTGGAAAGATATTCGGAATAAAAAGCCAGATCACCTTCCATCAGAGAAGTCATACAGGGGAGAAAACCTATCAGTGCCAAGAGTGTGGCAAGAGCTTCAGAAAAAAGAACAGTTTTACTTCCCATGAGAGAATTCATAAAGGGGAAAAACCTTATCAGTGCTTGGAATGTGGAAGGGGCTTCATTGACAGACGCCATTTCAATGTCCATCAGAGGAGTCATTCGGGGGAGAAGCCCTATCAGTGCTTGGAATGTGGAAGGGGCTTCGTTGACAGACGCCAGCTCACTGTCCATCAGAGGATTCATTCAGGGGAGAAACCCTATCAGTGCTTGGAATGTGGAAAGAGTTTTACTTGGAAAACAAGTTTCACTTCCCATCAGAGAGGTCATACAGGGGAGAAACCATATCAGTGTTTTGAATGTGGAAAGAGCTTCATTCTCAAAGCCCTTCTCCGTGTCCATCAAAGAATTCATACAGGGGAGAAGCCATATCAGTGCTTGGAATGTGGAAAGAAATTCACCCAGAGTGCCCATCTCACAACCCATCACAAAATTCATACAGGGGAGAAACCCTATCAGTGCTTGGAATGTGGAAAGAGATTCATTGAGAAGGCCAAACTCACGAGCCATCAAAGAATTCACAGCAAGAGAAAACTATTTTAGTGCCAAGAATGTGGGAAGAGCTTCAGTCACAGTGCCCGCCTCGCTTCCCATCAAAGAACTCACATTGGGGGCAAATCATAGTAGTGGCTGTATACAGATTTAATTTCAGGAGACTTTAGTTTGTATGAGGTGAGGATTGCAGTTGGGTTCTTTGCCACATCTGGTGCCCCATAGCTATTTCTACTACCTACCCAGATCTGTGACTTTCATGTTCTTGGCCAAGGTGTTTAATAGCTTCTTCAGAGTTTCCTTTCTCTTGGCAGATCAAGATGAGCAGGAGACAGCAAAGGTTGCAATGTGAATTAGGTTGCAACGCTGGGACAATTAGAATAAGATCCACTATTTGACTATTGACTCAAAACCCTACAATGCATTTTATATAACAGACTTTTTATTTTTATTCTTTGTATATCGTATTGTTTTATTGGTATGGCCGGTGGCTGACGCAAATAAAGATTTATTCATTCACTGAACATTTTCTTCCCGTCATGCCTGGGGTGAGGGATAAGAGTGATTTGGCGACACTGATGAGGTTGCTGTCCACGCTGAGCTTTCCTAGGAAGGACTTGGGCTACAAATTGTGATAGTTGATTGAATATTAGATATAGATTTTGATTCTGTTTGAAGTGTCCTAATACTTATTGCATTTAACCTTTTTGATAGAATGTATAAGGCATGACTTTTGTATGCCTGTATTTTGTAATCCTCATGCCACCCTCCTGCACTGTGTAAAGCTGTGATGTGTACATTGCCTACCGCTTCCAGCCTTATCTGACCCTAGAAGGGCAGGTGATGTTTGGAGAAAGAGGAAGGAATTGAGCCAGCATCCGTGTGAGAACTTGCATATCTCCTCAAAGGTCTTTGGCATCTTTTGGTACCAGGGAAGTAAGATATGGGATTGAAATGTCAACAGTCCCATGGAAGTCCTGGTTGCCATGGGCATGGTGTCAAAGTGAGACGTATGAGACCCAAATGACCTGGGCACTCGGGGACACAGCAAGGTAATTTCAGAGGAGTCGATATCCGCAAGAAGCCAGGCATCCCATGACCTGTAACTTTTCTTGATGCAAGTGGAAGAGTGTTGTGGCATTTTATCAGTCTTTCTGTGCTGTGTGTATAATCTTCTAATATGCATCCTGTCAGCCTTTTCGAACTAGCCACTCTGAAGAACAGCTGGTTAGCAAGGCCCTCCTATTGCAGTAGTTTGAATAAGCCAGGTCCCTGCAGGATGCTGAGATTGCTCTCATTCTCTTGGTTCTGAGTTTTTGTTTCAGGTATTCCTTCCACTGGGTCATGAACCTGTGATATAGAAGCAAATTCTGATCACATGAGCAATTCACATACTTTATATTTTCCTTTCTTCTGTGAGAATCTTAAGTCAAGGATTCCCTTTCTGCTGTCCTCCGATCATTCACAATGGGCGTATGCCAAGAGGAAAGAATTGTTTCCATGAGGAAGCAGAGTTCTTGGTTTATCCTAGGCCAAAGGGAGTTGGGAGCAAGAGAAGGACAAGTTTGTTTCCTTATTGTACTCCAGGGTATCCCTTCAAAGATGGAAGGAAGAAGATGAAGGGAAGAGCTAAGGGCAGAAATGCGTTTAAGAGGGAATAGAATCTCATTGCATTGTTTCAATAAAATGTTGCATCCCAGGTACAAAGTTTCCATCCTCATTTCCGTCGCTGATTGTGAGGCGGGAGAAGCAAGGTTATATAGTGACATCTAAAGGATACTAGACAAATAAAGCTTATTTGATATACAGCGGAAGCTGGTTTTTTAGCATCTTTGAACCTGAATGTTTCGGTTTTCGAATGCCGAAAACCTGAAAGTATTGTAATTGCTTCTGTTTTTGAACGTGCCTCAGACGATGAACATCTTCCGCTGCGTGTTTTTCCATTTTTTCTTTTGCGCCTGAATTTTCAAATGTCTTCCGGAACAGATTGTAGTTCTACATGGTGATACAAATACTTATATGTAAGTTTATCTTGAGCTTCCACATATCACAAGAAGGGTTGTCTTTCTTTGGGAAAATAGGAAATATTAAAAGGAAAATGAAGGAGGTGAGGACAGGTGCCCCACCTAGGCCCGAAGTCACCCCTCCTCAAATCAGGCCTCAAAACTGTCCAAAATTCCTTTTCTGTTTTCTAAAAATCCACAGCTAAAGTTTTCCTCTGCTTTCTCACAAGATGCTGTTGCAAAGGCAAACCGTTAATTTTATCAGTACGAGAGAGCTTCAAAAGGCTAATGAATAGGCTCTGTCATTGCCAAGAATACTCAGGCCTGGGAACTGACTCTTATCTCATTCGGTTGTAACACATCTTGAACACGCTGAACGCAAGGCTCCTCGACCCCCTTGGCTTCTCATCCCCCTGTCCTGGGAAGGGTGCCAAGAGTCCAAAAGAGTCCCAAGACAGGAGCTTTCTGTTCATGCTCAGGGGAACTCATGGGGCAGGACTCCTGAGGAGGAGGAGAAAAGGGAGGGAACTGAAGGGAAATATATGCTCTGTGCAAATGGCTGTGAACTCGTGCTTGTTTTGTGAATCTGTCACACTTGCTCCTTCTACCAGCCCGGATGGTAGAAATAAAGCTTTTTCTCTGAAACTATTCCTTGAGTGTCTGTTGACTATCATTTTCCCGTCCCGGGCGCAAAGCTCTTCTCACCCGAGGCTAAAAAGGCTACATTTCGCTTTATCATGGGACCTCGGGTTACAAACACCTCAGGTTACAAACACTTCAGGTTACAGACTGCACTAACCTGGAAGTAGTACCTCGGGTTAAGAACTTTACCTCAGGATGAGAACAGAAATCGCACGGCGGCAGCGGGAGGCCCCATTAGCTAAAGTGGCACCTCAGGTTAAGAACAGATTCGGGTTAAGAACGGACCTCCAGAACGAATTAAGTTCGTAACCCGAGGTACCACTGTATTAGGAAGAAAAAATAAGAGAGTAACGCCGAAGGAAATGGGGCTGGGAAGAGGAAGGTGCGGTTTTAAGGCAGTGTTTGGCCTCAGAGTTCAGGTCTCGGTCCTTTCAAGGTGCTGCTGGCATCAAAATGAGAGCCAGGCTGGTGGCGAGGAAAAGGCCCGACAGGAGGATGTCCTTGCAGGACCTTTCGTGCTCCTCCTGCGCCTGTTTCCGAGGGAGGGAACAGCTCAGAGGCCAGTCCAGGGGGTCCCCCAAATAAGCCCCCCCTGGGTGCAGGCCATGCTTGGGGCTCCGGCATTGCAGAGGGAGAGAGGGGGGAGCTGGGGCGCCCGGAGCGCCAAGGGTTAAAAGGAACGGAGCTGGATTCCTAGAGAGGACAGGAAATAAAGGGAGAAGGTTCTCTCCCATCCCTTCCTGCAAGGAGGAGGACTGTTGTCTCAGCTCCTTCTGGGATCCGGTGAGTCTCCTTCCTCTTCTGCTTAGGTTGTCTTGGGGAGATGGGGGAGTCCCCGGGGGGCAGGGCAGCCAGGAGGGTCCCCCAAGAAGAGAGAGAAGGGGGCCTGGGGAGCCCCGCTTTGCAAGGGTTCCAAGGAACAGCGCAGAAGGCCAGCCACGGGGGCCAGGGAGTCATCCTGCTTAGGGACCCCCAAAGTCATCTAGCCCAACCCTCGGCCTCGCAGGAATCTCTTGCCCAACCTGGGGCTCGAACCCAAGACCCTGAGATCAAAGGGACTCATGTTCTACCAGCTGAGCTCTCCTGCCTTATTCCGGTTTATTTCTGCAATTCACGTGGCTCCTCCTGGGCTCCTCAGAGAGAGAGAATGTGAGCTTGGTTTGCTCCACCTTGCAAGGGTTAAAAGGAACTTAGCTGCATTCCTAGAGAGGACAGGAAATAAGTGGGGGATGCGGTCCTCCCGAGCAAAAGCCCCTCCCACTTTCCCAGCTTCCTCCCTGCAAGAGGGGGAATGTGGTTTTCGTCTCCTCTGCAGGAGCTGCCTCAGTTTCCCTTCAGGGACCTGGTGAGTTTCCTCTCTTTTCTGCCTTAGGGTGCATTGGGGAGAAGTGGGGCGGGTCCGTGGGGAGCCTGCTCAGCTCCTGCAGGGGGATCCCCATGGCTTTAGAAGAGGATGAGGCCAATTCAGGGAAGAGCAGAGGGCTAGTGATGGCTCCTGGCCCCCACAGTTGGAGGCCGTCATGCTTCTGAATGCCAGCTGCTGGGAAATGCAGGGGGAGAGAGTTGCCCTGGGCTCCAGCCCTGCTGGTGGGCTTCCCAGAAGAGGCCCCAGGTTGCCTCAGTGAGAACAGGAGACAGGACTGTCCTCACCCAAAAGGAAAGCAGAGCCCAACCTAGTGATAACAGAATAAAGGATGCAAGGAGGGAGCTGCATGGACTAGGTAGGAACAGAGGAATGGTGAGGGGAACCAGCTGGGAACCCACAAGGGAAGGAGGCTCTGGGCCAGAGGAGGGGTTGGTGGGGCAATGATGAGTCGTCAAAGGGAGGAGGAGGTGTCTGAAGAGGTAACGGGGCTTAGTGAGCGAGGGGAATCTGTGGCAGAGAGCAATCTAGATCCAGAGGCAGGAGATTCAGATGAAGGAGGCCAAGAGGTAGGGATGATTCTAGCTGGTGAAGAGGAATAGGGGTCTTCCCTCCTCCTGTGACAAGCTCCCCCCCCCATCATCATAAACAATTACTTGATGTCCACCCAAAACTCCCATGGCAGATTAAAACAGTAATTCACTATTATGAAGAATGTAAAATTATTACAATTGCAGACAGTAGGCAAATCCTACATCTCTTTTTTTAACACTGTCCTTTGGCCGCACCCAGAAGTTATTTGGTCCCACCCACCTCTTCTTTGGCCAGGCAAAGATCTGGCCCTCAGAATAAAGAAAGAGGGACCTAGCCCAGGAGTCTTGAGAATGTGGGAGATTGCAAGTGCTGGAACATGAGGCAGAAGCAGGAAATAAATGTGGCCTGACATTTGGGGGTGGGAGGGACCCCCACTATTGCCTTGGGTCCCCGTTACACTTAGTACAGATGACTCACTCATCCATTCTTCCTTCCTTCCTTCTTCTTCCTTCCTTTATTTTTTAAGGAAAGCTCAGTCTGAGTTGTGGTGCAGTCCAGCCCTGGTTCCTAGCAAGACTCATCCACGCTTGTCCAGGGAACATTTCTATTCATCTGACTGTGTATCAGATTTACCGGTATATTAGAAAAATATATTTGCTTTATAGGATTTGCTAAAACCACTCATTAGGACAGGCAGAACTTGGCAGAAGACGTAGGGACATCTTTCGATTTCTTGGAGGTGTCCTGAGAACAGAGATGGATGAGCAAGACTCAGCTGGGCCTGAAGCAGGAAGAGGCCATTCCATCCAAATTCTTAGCCATGGACGAATCTGGGGAAAGTCTGCCCAGAGGATCCTGAGTGAGGAGGACACCCTCCGCTCAGATGTGCAGAGCCAGCAGCTCAGGCGGCTTTGCTACCAGGAGGCCAAAGGACCCCGAGAGGTTTGCAACCGACTCTACCACCTTTGCCGTCAGTGGCTGAAACCAGAAACCCACACGAAAGCTGAGATGCTGGACCTGGTGATCTTGGAGCAGTTCCTGGCTGTCCTTCCACCAGAGATGGAGAGCTGGGTGAGGGAATGTGGAGCGGAGACCAGTTCCCAGGCGGTGGCCCTGGCCGAAGGTTTCCTCCTGAGTCAGGCAGAGGAGAGAAAGCAGGCAGAGAGAAAGCGGGTGAGAGAGATTTTCCTCTGGATACTCCATACTCTGGGGCTCCAAAGTTGAGAGTATCCCCCAATTCTCTACTAATTTCTTTTGGAAAGGATCCGAGGAATGATATCTGATACCCCTAAAGTTTTTGTGTCCTTTGCCATTCCAGTTCTAATGTAATTCTTTTGAATGCTTGTTGCTCTTGCAGAGAAAGGATCAGTTTCCAGAAATGGGTCTGGATTCCTCTGAGGTAGAGAGAATTCCGTTGGACTCCAGAGAGAGGCCACTAGGTAAGGAGGAATGAGTTATTTCTCCCCCATTTTATCACATTATGTTGTTTTTGAAACTAATTTGTGAGTTCTCGACATTTTTTTTGGAGAAGACACGTAAAGCCAAGAGCCCAGAGAAAGGGTGATATATTTTTGCACAACTAATATGTGAAATGGTTACCAACGTCCACGTTTACATGGCTACCCTTAATTTTTTGAAGGCCCACCTATAGCTTTCTTTCTGAGTGAAGCATGCACTTACCTTTTTCTCTCATAGGAGACCGAACGATGCCAGCAAGACCTGTTTGTCCATCTTTTCTTGGTGGCGAAGGGGAAGCTGCCCCTGTGGAACCAGAGCAGGTAGGAGGAAGGAGCCATGTGGGCAAAGAAGATGTCATGGACTGGTTGGACACAGAGGAAAGGTGGGAGGGACCACCAAGGAAAGAATGGTTGAATGCTAAACTAGGCTTCTAAGCAGTTTACACACCACACCAAACAGTGGCCAGGATTCACCCCATCAGTCGCACAATGGGGCTTTCCCCCTCTCATCCCCCCGGTCATTGCCCCCCTGCGCACCTTGAAGTTGTCTATAGGGCATCAGGAGGGTCCTCCCCACCTGGCAAGAACAGCACACAGGGAAAGAAGGAAGGGGATCCTTCCATGTGGCAAATGGGGATGTGTCCATAATGAAATGTGCAGAAGAAGAATCCCATTAAAACATAACATCAGTTAAGAGGCAGAAGACAACAGAGCAAAGTGTAACTGTTCACCTTGAAGTTGTCTAAGAGGACTACCTTTTTCTTTTAGGGTCCAGTGTGCTTTGAAGATGTAGCTGTGCATTTCACAGGCGAGGAGTGGGCGTTGCTGGATCCTGACCAGAGAGCTCTGCACAAGGAAGTCACGGAGGAGAATCGTGGGATCTTGGACTCTCTCGGTAAGGCTTCCTCTTGGATCATTCTATCTGCTTTGAAATTCGAGACATATCTCTATGAGTGGAGCCTCTGAATTTTTGATGGGGCTCAACAGCACTACCCACAGCCCCTGGGATTCTAATACTCCCACAGAAAACTTTGGATGGAAGAGTATTGCCTGCTTTCTCTGTGAATATTCTTCCTCCAGTTCTGCCTTTTCAAAGCATGAAACCCAGCAAGATGGGCGGGTTATAAACAATAAAATTATTACAATTATCATCAACCTCATCATCATCATGCCTACCCGCTCCAAGATGGCTCCCCTTTTGCTCTTGAAGGGCTGGCCTGTCTGCAGCCACACAGCCTCCCATCAGGGCCCCTTCTCTGGGGGCAGCAGCAGAGGAAGGGCCTCAGGAAAGCCGCCATGACTCCAGTAGGGCTGGGAACCATCTGGCCAGATGCAGAGGAGCAGGAGGAGAAGGAAGGCTGACCCCTCTCCTTCCCCTCATAGGGCCAGGGGCGCAGGGTGCTGAGCAGGGGGAAAGGAGCTCAGCTGGAGAGCCTCTGGGGAGGATAAGATACCCCTCTGTATTTTTCCCAGGGTCCTCTGAACTGCACAAGGCCTTCTTAAATGTAGGCTTCAAAGTGATTCAGGAAGTTCAAGTAGCTTCTGTCAGATTTTTTGTTTCAGTTCTTTCTTCTTTCTGTCCTTAGTTGACTTAAGAGACGAGTGACATTGGAGATGGCACAGATCCCATAATTGGGCCAAACAAAATCCATCCCAGAAAATAGCCAGGCTTTCCTGTAGGAAGACCTCACATCTAAGTCCCTTCAGTTCTTCCTGGGTCACAAGCATTACTTAGCACTACTACTGCATAATTGGTGGTTCCATTGCTTCCTGAGGCTCCAATCTGTTTCTCTCTCAGTTCCAGGTGGTGATGAATTGGAGCTGAAGAACGAGAGAGACCACAACGAAAGCCACACAGTGGGGAAGTCATATCCATATTCAGAGTGCAGAGAGAGCTTCAGTCAGAGCTCCCATTCCACTTCAAATCAAAGAAATCCCCTTGAGAAGAAACCCTATCAGTGCTTGGAATGTGGAAAGAGCTTCAGGGAGAGAAACAAGCTCACTGTCCATCAGAGAATTCATACAGGGGAGAAACCTTATCAGTGCCAAGAGTGTGGAAAGAGCTTCAGTCAAAAGGGCAGCTTAACTACCCATCAGAGAATTCATACAGGGGAGAAACCTTATCACTGCTTGGAATGTGGAAGGGGCTTCATTGACAGACGCCAGCTCACTGTCCATCAGAGGATTCATTCGAGGGAGAAACCTTATCGATGCTTTGAATGTGGAAAGAGCTTCAGTCAGAGCACCCAGCTCACTTCCCATCACATACTTCATTCCGGGGGGAAACCATATCACTGCTTGCAATGTGGAAAGACTTTCACTTGGAAAATAAGTTTCACTTCCCATCAGAGAATTCATACAGGGGAAAAACCATATCAGTGCTTGGAGTGTGGAAAGAGCTTCAGGGAGAGAAACAAGCTCACTGTCCATCAGAGAATTCATACAGGGGAGAACCCCTATCAGTGCCAAGAGTGTGGAAAGAGCTTCACTCAAAAGGGCAGTTTAAATTCCCATCAGAGAATTCATACAGGGGAAAAACCATATCAGTGCTTGGAGTGTGGCAAGAGCTTCTTTCGAAGAAGCCAGCTCACTGTCCATCAGGGAATTCATATAGGGGGAGAACCCTATCAGTGCTTGGAGTGTGGCAAGAGCTTCAGGGAGAAAAACAATCTAACTGTCCATCAGAGAATTCATACAGGGGAGAAACCCTATCAGTGCCAAGAGTGTGGAAAGAGCTTCAGTCAAAAGGGCAGTTTAAATTCCCATCAGAGAATTCATACAGGGGAAAAACCATATCAGTGCTTGGAATGTGGCAAGAGCTTCTTTCGAAGAAGCCAGCTCACTGTCCATCAGAGAATTCATACCGGAGAGACACCCTATCAGTGCTTGGAATGTGGAAAGAGCTTCAGTCACCAAAGCCAGCTCAGTGTCCATCAAATAATTCATACAGGGGAGAAGCCATATCAGTGCTTGGAATGTGGCAAGAGCTTCTTTCGAAGAAGCCAGCTCACTGTCCATCAGAGAATTCATACTGGAGAGACACCCTATCAGTGCTTGGAATGTGGAAAGAGCTTCAGTCACCAAAGCCAGCTCAATGTCCATCAAAGAATTCATACAGGGGAGAAGCCATATCAGTGCTTGGAATGTGGAAAGAAATTCACCCAGAGCGCCCATCTCACAATCCATCGCAGAATTCATACAGGGGAGAAACCCTATCAGTGCTTGGAATGTGGTAAAGGCTTCAGAAAAAAGCGCAGTTTAACTTCCCATCAGAGAAGTCATACAGAGGAGAAACCCTATCAGTGCCAAGAGTGTGGCAAGAGCTTCAGAAAAAAGAACAATTTTACTTCCCATGAGAGAATTCATAAAGGGGAAAAACCTTATCAGTGCTTGGAATGTGGAAGGGGCTTCATTGACAGACGCCATTTCAGTGTCCATCAGAGGAGTCATTCGGGGGAGAAGCCCTATCAGTGCTTCGAATGTGGAAGGGGCTTCGTTGACAGACGCCAGCTCACTGTCCATCAGAGGATTCATACAGGGGAGAAGCCATATCAGTGCTTGGAATGTGGAAAGAGCTTCATTCAAAGAGGCCTTCTCAGTGTCCATCAAAGAATTCATACAGGGGAGAAGCCGTATCAGTGCTTGGAATGTGGAAAGAAATTCACCCAGAGCGCCCATCTCACAACCCATCACAAAATTCATACAGGGGAGAAACCCTATCAGTGCTTGGAATGTGGAAAGAGATTTATTGAGAAAGCCAAACTCACGAGCCATCAAAGAATTCACAGCAAGAGAAAACTATTTTAGTGCCAAGAATGTGGGAATAGCTTCAGTCACAGGGCCTGCCTCGCTTCCCATCAAAGAACTCACATTGGGGGCAAATTATAGTAGTGGCTGTATACAGATTAATTTTAGGAGCCCTTAGTTTGTATGAGGTGAGAATTGCAGTTGGGTTCTTTGCCACATCTGGTGCCCCATAGTAATTCCTACAACGTACCCAAGAACTGATTTGCAAGTTCTTTGCCAAGGTGTTTAATGCCTTCTTCACAGTTTCCTTTCTCTTGGCAGATCAAGATGAGCAGGTGACAGCAAAGGTTGCAATTTGGATTGGGTTGGAGACCTGGGACAATTAGAATAAGAGGCACTATTTGACTATTGACTCAAAACCCTACAGTGCATTTTATATAATGGACTTTTTATTTTTATTCTTTGTATATCGCATTGTTGTTTTATTGGTATGGCCGGGGGCTGACGCAAATAAAGATTCATTCATTGAATATTTTCTTCACATCATGCCTGGGGTGAGGGATAAGAGTGATTTGGTGACACTGATGAGATTGCTGTCCACGCTGAACTTTCCTAGGAAGGACTTGGGGTAAAATTTGTGATAGTTGATTGAATATTAGATATTAAAGATTTTTATTCTGTCCAAAGTGTCCTAGTACTTATTGCATTTAGCCTTTTCAATAGAATATATTAGGCATGATTTTTATATGCCTGCATTTTGTAATCCTCATGCCATGCTCCTGCACTGTGTAAAGCTGTGATGTGTACATTGCCTACCGCTTCCAGCCTTATCTGATCCTAGAAGAGCAGGTGATGTTTGGAGAAGAAGAAGGAGCTGAGCTAGCCTCCGTGTGAGAACTCGCATATCTCCTCAAAGGTCTTTGACATCTTTTGGTACCAGGGAAGTATGATATGGGATTGAAATGTCAACGGTCCCTTGGAAGTCCTGGTTGCCATGGGCATGGTGTCAAAGTGAGACGTATGAGACCCAAATGACCTGGGCACTCTGAGACACCGCAAGGTATTTTCAGAGGAGTCGATATCCACATGAAGCCATGTGTCCCATGACCTGTAACTTTTCTTGATGCAAGTGGAAGAGTGTTGTGGCATTTTATGATTCTTTGTGTGTTGTGTATATAATGTTTCTTTTAATATGCCTCCTGGCAGCCTTTTCAAACTAGCCGTTCTGCTGAACAACTGGTTAGCAAGGATGTCCTATTGCAATAGTTTGAATAAAGCAGGTCCCTGCAGGATGCTGAGATTGCGCTCATTCTCTTGGTTCTGAGTTTTTATTTCAGTTATTCCCTCCACTGAGTCACGAACCGGTGATATGGAAGCAAATTCTGATCATACGATGAATTCACATACTTTATATTTTCCTTTCTTCTGTGAGAAGCTTAAGTCAAGGATTCCCTTTCTGCTGTCCTCTGATCACTCACAATGGACGTATGCCAAGAGGAAAGAATTTTATCCAGGAGGAAGCAGAGTTCTTGGTTCATCTTAAGCCAAAGGGAGCTGGGAGCAAGAGAAGGACAAGTTTGTTTGCTTTAGGGTCCTCCAGAGTATCCCTTCAAAGATGGAAGGAAGAAGATAAAGGGAAGAGCTAAGGGCAGAAATGCGTTTAAGAGGGAATAGAATCTCATTGCACTGTTTCAATAAAATGTTGCATCCCACGTACAAAGTTTCCATCCTCATTTCCGTCGCTGATTGTTAGGCGGGAGAAGAAAGGTAGTGACATCTAAAGGATACTAGACAAATAAAGCTTATTTGATATACTGCGGAACCTCAGTTTTTTAGCATCTTTGAACCAGAATGTTTCGGTTTTCGAATGCCGAAAAGCTGGAAGTAATTGCTTCTGTTTTCGAACGTCCCTTGGACACTGAACAGCTTCCGCTCTGTGTTTTTCCATTTGTTCTTTTGCACCTGAGTTTTCAAATGTCTTCCGGAACAGATTGTAGTTCTACAAGGTGATAAGCTTACTTAGAGCTACCACATATCACAAGAAGGGTTGTCTTTATTTGGGAAAATAGGAAATATTAAAAGGAAAATGCCTTGCTGTGGTACCTCAGGTTACAAACACCTCAGGTTACAAACACTTCAGGTTACAGACTGCACTAGCCTGGAAGTAGTACCTCAGGTTAAGTAATTTACCTCACGATGAGAACAGAAATCACAGGGCAGCAGCGGGAGGCCCCATTAGCTAAAGTGGTACCTCAGGTTAAGAACGGACCTCCAGAACAAATTAAGTTCGTTCCCAGAGGTACCGCTGTATTAGGAAAAAAATATAAGAGAGTAACGCCGAAGGAAATGGGGTTGGGAAGAGGAAGGTGCGGTTTTAAGGCAGTGTTTGACATCAGAGTTCAGGTCTCGGTCCTTTCAAGGTGCTGTTGGCATCAGAATGAGATGGGGGAGTCCCCGGGGGGCAGGGCAGCCAGGAGGGTCCCCCAAGAAGAGAGGGAAGGGGGCCTGGGGAGCCCCGCTTTGCAAGGGTTCCAAGGAACAGCGCAAAAGGCCAGCCACGGGGGTCAGGGAGTCATCCTGCTTAGGGACCCCCAAAGTCATCTAGCCCAACCCTCGGCCGCGCAGGAATCTCCTGCCCAACCTGGGGCTCGAACCCAAGACCCTGAGATCAAAGGGACTCATGTTCTACCAGCTGAGCTCTCCTGCCTTATTCGGGTTTATTTCTGCTATTCGCGTGGCTCCTCGGAGAGAGAAAATGTGAGCTTGGTTTACTCCACCTTGCAAGGGTTAAAAGGAACTTAGCTGCATTCCTAGAGAGGACAGGAAATAAGTGGGGGATGCGGTCCTCCCGAGCAAAAGCCCCTCCCACTTTCCCAGCTTCCTGCCTGCAAGAGGGGGAATGTGGTTTTCGTCTCCTCTGCAGGAGCTGCCTCAGTTTCCCTTCATGGACCTGGTGAGTTTCCTCTCTTTTCTGCCTTAGGGTGCATTGGGGAGAAGTGGGGCGGGTCCATGGGGAGTCTGCTCAGCTCCTGCAGGGGGATCCCCAAGTCAGGGATAAGAGGTTCTGCCCCCCTTCTTCTCTGCAAAACCAGGGAGGCTGCAAGTAACAGGAGGTCTGCAAGTCTCTTCTTCCTTTGCATCAAGATGCCGCTTGTCCCATGAGTCAGGAAGAAAAGGGCATGCAATGGAATCCCGGTGGGATTGAGGAATCAATTACATTCATTAGCCCAGGTGGAAACATTTTGGGGTAGAACTAAAACTTTGGCCTCTATGATAAACAAAGTCCTTCCATGTCACAGTGCGCAGTTAGACCCATGGAACTCCCATCCACAGGAGGAAGGGATGGCCACCAAGCCAGATGGCTTTAGAAGAGGATGAGGCCAATTCAGGCTCCTGGCCCCCACAGTTGAAGGCCATCATGCTTCTGAATGCCAGCGGCTGGGAAATGCAGAGAGAGAGAGTTATCCCTGGGCTCCATGCCCGCTGGTGGGCTTCCCAAAAGGTGCCCCAGGTTGGCAGCTGAGAGCAGGAGGCTGGACTGTCTTCACCCAACCTGGTGATAACAGAGTAAAGGATGCAAGGAGGGAGCTACATGGACTGAATGGGCACAGAGGAATGGTGAAGGGAACCAGCTGGGGAACCCGCAAGGGAAGGCGGCTCTGGGCCAGGGGAGGGGTTTGGGGGCAATGATGAGTGGTCAGAGGGAGAAGCCTGGGGGGAGGAGGTGTCTGAAGCTGAAGAGGTAACAGGGCTTAGTGAGCAAGGGGAATCTGTGGCGGAGAGCAGTCTAGATGCAGAGGCAGCAGGTTAGGATGAGGGAGGCCAAGACGTAGGGATGATTCTAGCTGGTCTCCCCTCCTCCTGTGACAAGTCCCCCCCCCAATAACCATAATCAATTACTTGATGTTCACCCAAAACTCCCATGGCAGATTAAAACAGTGTATCACAATATTAAGAAGAGTATAAAATTGTTACTATCACAGAAAAAAGGGAAATCCTATATCTCTCTTTTTTTAACACTGTCCCAGAAGTTATTTGGTCCCACCCACCTGTTCTTTGGCCAGGTGAAGAGAATGTGGGAGATTGCAAGGGCTGCAACATGAGGCAGAAGCAGGAAAGAAATGTGCCCTGACATTTGGGGGTGGGAGGGACCCCCACTATTGCCTTGGGTCCCAGTTACACTTAGTACAGATGACTCACTCATCCATTCTTCCTTCCTTCCTTTTATTCCTTCCTTAATTATTTAAAGAAAGCTCAGTCTGAGTTGTGGTGCAGTCCAGCCCTGGTTCCTAGCAAGACTCATCCACGCTTGCCCAGGGAACATTTCTATTCACCTGTGTATAAGTTTTATATCAGAAAAATATATTTGCTTTTTAGGATTTGCTAAAATCTCTCATTGGGACAGACAGAATTTGGCAGAAGACGTAGTGACTTCTTTCGATTTCTTGGAGGTGTCCTGAGAACAGAGATGGATGAGCAAGACTCAGCTGGGCCTGAAGCAGGAAGAGGCCATTCCATCCAAATTCTTAGCCATGGCGGAATGTGGGGAAAGTCTGTCCAAAGGATCCTGGGTGAGGAGGACACCCTCCGCTCAGATGTGCAGAGCCAGCAGCTCAGGCGGCTTTGCTACCAGGAGGCCAAAAGACCCCGAGAGGTTTGCAACCGACTCTACCGCCTTTGCCGTCAGTGGCTGAAACCAGAAACCCACACGAAAGCTGAGATGCTGGACCTGGTGATCTTGGAGCAGTTCCTGGCTGTCCTTCCAGAAGAGATGGAGAGCTGGGTGAGGGAATGTGGAGCGGAGACCAGTTCCCAGGCGGTGGCCCTGGCCGAAGGTTTTCTGAGTCATGCAGAGGAGAGAAAGCAAGCAGAGAGAAAGCAGGTGAGAGAGACTTTCCTCTGGATACTCCCAAGGGGCTCCGAACATGAGGGAGAGTATCCCCCAATTCTCTACTAATTTTGTCATCCTTTTTTTGGAAAGGATCCGAGGAATGATATCTGATACCCCTAAAGTGTTTGTGTCCTTTGCCATTCGCGTTCCAATCTAATAGTTTTGAATGCTTGTTGCTCTTGCAGGGGAAGGATCAGTTTCCAGAAATGGGTCTGGATTCCTCTGAGGTAGAGAGAACTCCGTTGGACTCCAGAGTAAGGCCACTGGGTAAGGAGGAATGAGTTTTTTCTCTGTTTAATCACATTTTGTGGATTTTGAAACTAATCCGTGAATTACTCTCATCTGTTTTGGAGAAGACTCGTGAAGGCAAGAGCCCAGAGAAAGGGTGATGTATTTTTGCACAACTAATATGTGAAACTGTTACCAACGTCCACATTTACGTGGCTACTCTTACTTTTTTGAAGGCCCACCTGTAGTTTTCCTTCTGAGTGAAGCATGCACTTACCTTTTTCTCTGGTAGGAGACCGAACAACGCCAGCAAGACCTGTTTGTTCATCTTTTCTTGGTGGCGAAGGGGAAGCTGCCCCTGTGGAACCAGAGCAGGTAGGAGGAAGGAGCCATGTGGGGAGAGAGGATGTCATGGACGGGTTGGACACAGAGGAAAGGTGGGAGGAACCGCCAAGGAAAGAAGGGTTGAATGCTAAAATCGCCTTCTAAGCAGTTTACACTCCACACCAAACAGTGGCCAGGATTCACCCCATCAGTTGCACAATGGGGCTTTCCCCCTCTCATGCCCCCGGTCATTGCCCCCCTGTGCACCTTGAAGTTGTCTATAGGGCATCAGGAGGGTCCTCCCCACCTGGCAAGAACAGCACACAGGGAAAGAAGGAAGCAGATCCTTCCATGTGGCAAATGGGGATGTGTCCATAATGAAATGTGCAGAAGAAGAATCCCATTAAAACATAACATCAGAGCAAAGTGTAACTGTTCACCTTGATGTTTTCTAAGAGGAGAACCTTTTTCTTTTTCTTTCAGGGTCCAGTGTGCTTTGACGATGTAGCTGTCCATTTCACAGACGAGGAGTGGGCGTTGCTGGATCCTGACCAGAGAGCTCTGCACAAGCAGGTTATGGAGGAGAATCGTGGGATCTTGGACTCTCTCGGTAAGGCTTCCTCTTGGATCATCCTATCTGCTTTGAAATTCAAGATATATCTCTACGGGAGGCACCTCTGATTTTTCGATGGGGCTCAACAGCAGCACCCACAGCCCCTGGGATTCTAATACTCCCACAGAAAAAATTGGATGGAAGACCATTGACTGCTTTCCCTGTAAATATTCTTCCTCCAGTTCTGCCTTTTCAAACCGTGACCAGGCTCCTCTGAACTGCCCGGGCCTTCTTAAATGTGGGATTCAGAGTGATTCATGATGTGGAAGTAGCTTCTGTCAGGTTCTTCGTTTCCGATCTTGCTTCTTTCTGTCTCTGGTTGACCAAAGGAGTGTTTGGCATTGGAGATGTCATGATTGGGCCAAACAGAATACATCCCAGAAAATAACCAGGCTTTTTGAATCTCAGGCAGTGAACCCCATAGGAAGACCTCACATGTAACTCCCTTTAGTTTTTACTGGGGCACAAGCATTAATTGTCACTGTTCCATAATTTGGGGTTCCATTGCTTCCTGAGGCTCTAATCTATTTGTCACTTAGCTGCAGGTGGTGATGAATTGGAGATGAAGAATGAGGGAGACCATGATAAAATCCACACAGTGGGGAAGTCCTATTCAGAGTGTGGAGAGAGCTTCAATCAGAGCTCCCATTCCACTTCAAATCAAAGAAATCCCATCAGGAAGAAACGCTATCAGTGCTTGGAGTGTGGAAAGAGCTTCAGTCAGAGAAACAAGCTCACTGTCCATCAGAGAATTCATACAGGGGAGAAACCCTTTCATTGCCAAGAGTGTGGGAAAAGCTTTCATTGTGGGAGCAATCTCTCTTCCCATAAAAGAATTCATACAGGAGAGAAACCCTTTCAGTGCCAAGAGTGTGGAAAGAGCTTCAGTCAAAAGAGCAGTCTAACTTACCATCGTAGAATCCATACAGGGGAGAAGCCATATCAGTGCCAAGAGTGTGGGAAAAGCTTTCATAGTGGGAGCAATCTCTCTTCCCATCAAACAATTCATAAAGGAGAGAAACCCTTTCAGTGCCAAGAGTGTGGAAAGAGCTACAGAAAAAAGGACAGTTTAACTACCCACCAGATAATTCATACAGGGGAGAAACCTTATCACTGCTTGGAATGTGGAAAGAGATTCAGTCACATCCGCCAGCTTACTGTCCATCGAAATATTCATACAGGGGAGAAGCCATATCAGTGCTTGGAATGTGGAAGGAGCTTCCGTTACACCAGCCATCTCTCTGCCCATCAGAGAATTCATACACGGGAAAAACCCTATGAATGTCTGGAATGCGGAAAGAGCTTCAAAACGACCAGCAGTCTCACTTCGCATCAAAGAATTCATACAGGAGAGAAACCCTATCACTGCCAAGAGTGTGGCAAGAGCTTCAGTTACAGCCAGCAGCTATGTGTCCATAAAAATATTCATCCATGAGAGAAACCCTGTCAGTGCCAAGAGTGTGGAAAGAGCTTCAGAAAAATGGACAGTTTAACTTCCCTTCAGAGAATCCATACGGGGAGAAACCCTAGCAGTGCTTGGAATGTGGAAAGAGATTCCTTGAGAAGGACAAACTCACGATCCATCAGAGAATTCACACCGGTGGAAAATATTTCAGTGCCAAGAATGTGGAAAGCACTTCAGTCACAGGGCCACTCTTGTTTCCCATCAAAGAACTCACAGTGGGGGAGAACTATAGCAGTTACTATATCCAGATTTAATTTTAGCAGACTTCAATCAGTGTGAGGTGAGGATTGCAGCTGGGTTCTTTGCCACAACTGGTGCCACATAGCTCTTCCTACTATGTACCCAGAACTGTGACTTCCAAGTCCATGGCCAAGGTGTTTAATACCTTCTTCACGTCATGACTGAACAGAGTGATAAGAGCTATTGGGTGAGACTGATGAAGTTGCCCTCCATGTTCAACTTTCCTTGGAAAGACTTGGTGTAAAAATTGTGATAGTTGATTGAGTATTAAATATTATATATTTTGATTCTGTTCAAAGTGTCCTAGTATTAATTGCATTTAGCCTTTTAGACAGAGCCTAAGGCTTGCCGATCAGAAGGTCGGCGGTTCGAATCCCCGCGACGGGGTGAGCTCCCATTGCTTGGTCCCTGCTCCTGCCAACCTAGCAGATCGAAAGCACATCAGAGTGCAAGTAGATAAATAGGTAACACTCTGGCGGAAAGGTAAATGGCGTTTCCGTGCGCTGCTCTGGTTTGCCAGAAGCTGCTTAGTCATGCTGGCCACATGACCTGGAAGCTGTACGCCGGCTCCCTTGGCCAATAAAGTGAGACGAGTGCCGCAACCCCATAGTCTTCCGCAACTGGACCTAACGGTCAGGGGTCCCTTTACCTTATTAGGATTTATTTTTATGCGTCTGCGTTTTGTAACACTCATGCCACCCTTCTGCACTGTGTAAAGCTTCCAGCCTTATCTGACCTTGGAAGGGCAGGTGATGTTTTGAGAAAGAGGGAGGAGTTGAACTAGCATCCGAGTGAGAAGTCACATATCTCCTCAAAGGTCTTTGACATCTTTTGGTACCAGGGAAGTATGATATGGGATTGAAATGTCAACAGTCCGATGGAAGACCTGGTTGCCATGGGCATGGTGTCAAAGTGAGACGTATGAGACCCAAATGACCTGGGCACTCGGGGACACCGCAAGGTAATTTCAGAGGAGTCAATATCCTCATTAAGCCACATGTCCCATGGCCTGTAACCTTTTTTGATGTTTTATGAGTCTTCAGTGTTGTGTATATAAGTTTCTTCTAACGTCTTTTCGAAACAGCCGTTCTGCAGAACAACTGGTTAGCAAGGCTCTCCTATTGCAATAGTTTGCATAAACTGGGTTCCTGCAGGATAATAATAATAATAATAATAATAATAATAATAATAATAATAAAATAATAATAAATTATTGGTCTCCCCAACCACCCTGGGCGGCTTCCAACAAAGTATTAAAATACAGTGGTCTGTTAAACATTAAAAGTTTCCCATTAAAAGATTGCTCTCATTCTCTTGGTTCTGAGTTTTTTTTAAGGTGTTCCCTCCACTGGGTCACAAACCGGTGATGTAGAAGCAAATTCTGATCACACGAACAATTCACATACTTTATTATTTCTATTGCTATTAACTTTGTATAGCGCCCTTGATCTGAAGATGCCAGGGTTTTCACAGCATGATTAGGGAGTCTCACAGTGCTTCCTCTTTCAGCGCCTGGAAGCTGCAAATTGGTGGTGCTCCTTTTTTTCTCTTGCTCTAGAGGTTAGGATATGAACCAGTGGCTTAAAGATCGTGGAATGGGGTTCTGATTAAACTTCAGGCAGATCTCTCTGACAGTAAGAACTGTTCAACAGTAGAACAGACTCCGTCAGAAGGTGGTGTCCTCTCCTCCTCGGGAGGTTTTTAATCAGATGTTGGGTGGCCATCTCTCATTGAGATTCCTGCATTGTCAGTAGTTGGACTAGATATCCTTTGGGGTGCCTTTCGACTCTACATTTCTGTTCTATTCCTGATTGCCATAGTCATCCTCTGCATGACCAGGATGGTGGCAGTGTCTGCTTGAAGGTCTTCCTTTTAAAAGACAACTGAAGGCGGCCCTGATTAGGGAAGTTTTTAATGTCTGACGCTGTATTGTTTGTAATATTCGGTTGGAAGCTGCCCAGAGTGGCTGGGGACACTCAGTCAGATGGGCGGGGTATAAATAATAAATTATTATTATTGTTCCTGGTATCTTCTGAACACACACATAGCACGTTTGTCATAAAAGACCACAGTCTCAGCCTTTCGTCTGTGAGAAGCTTATGTCAAGTGCTATCCTCTTCATTTTCGAAGTTGAGCAGTTAAGCAAACACTCTGCTCCTTGCACAAGTGTGTGCATACAGAGTGAGAGATAGAAAAACATATACAAAGCAACAATGGATGTGAGGGGTTGAAATGGTTGTAAAAATATGTTGGTGGTTCGGGAAACCCTCTCAGGCTCCTCAGTGGTCGGAAGGATGGGTGAACCCCAACCAAGGAGAAGTGAAGCAAAGGCAATGGTGGTTTATTCTGTTGCAACCGGTTCCCTATACAAGCAGCAACAGGAGCAGGAGGAGGAAGCCCTATGCAAGGCAAATCTGGATTTCATACACCCCTAGGATTGGGGGGTGGGGTGTCCTAAACGCCATGGATCCGTCATTTTGCAAGGTGAGGGGAGTTGTATTGGTGTGGGTGCAAGAAGGTGTAAGGCTTGCGGGCAAATTCATTTCTCCAACCCACGGAGAACCCACACTGATTGTAAGGTGGAAGAAGCAAGGTTATATAGTGACATCTATATAGTGACATTCTATTTGCCAGCACTTGTCCCATCACCTCCTGGCAAATAGAAGGGGAAGAAATGGAGGCAGTGAGAGGTTTTACTTTCCTGGGCTCCATGATCACTGCAGATGGTGACAGCAGCCACGAAATTAAAAGACGCCTGCTTCTTGGGAGAAAAGCAATGACAAACCTAGACAGCATCTTAAAAAGTAGAGACATCACCTTGCCAACAAAGGTCCGTATAGTAAAAGCTATGGTTTTCCCAGTAGTGATGTATGGAAGTGAAAGCTGGACCATAAAGAAGGCTGATCGCCGAAGAATTGATGCTTTTGAATTATGGTGCTGGAGGAGACTCTTGAGAGTCCCATGGACTGCAAGAAGATCCAACCTATCCACTCTGAAGGAAATCAGCCCTGAGTGCTCACTGGAAGGACAGATCCTGAAGCTGAGGCTCCAATACTTTGGCCACCTCATGAGAAGAGAAGACTCCCTGGAAAAGACCCTGATGTTGGGAAAGATGGAGGGCACAAGGAGAAGGGGACGACAGAGGACGAGATGGTTGACTAGTGTTCTCGAAGCTACCAGCATGAGTTTGACCAAACTGCGGGAGGCAGTGGAAGACAGAAGTGCCTGGCGTGCTCTGGTCCAGGGGGTCACGAAGAGTCGGACACGACTAAACAACAACAACAACAAAGAATACTAGATACAGTGGTACCTCGGGTTAAGAACTTAATTCGTTCCGGAGCTCCGTTCTTAACCTGAAACTGTTCTTAACCTGAGGTACCACTTTAGCTAATGGGGCCTCCCGCTGCTGCCTCGAAATTTCTGTTCTCATCCTGAAGCAAAGTTCTTAACCTGAGGTACTATTTCTGGGTAAGCGGAGTCTGTAACCTGAAGCATCTGTAACCTGAAGTTTCTGTAAACAGGTACCACTGTATATAAAGTTTATTTGATATACAGTGGAACCTTGGTTTTTTTGTGTGCTGGACGTCAAATGTTTTGGTTTTCAAATGCTGAAAACCTGGAAGTAATTGCTCCCATTTTTGAACGTGCCTCGGACGTTGAACAGCTTCCGCTGTGTGTTTTTCCATTTTTTTCTTTTGTGCCTCAGTTTTTGAATGTCTTCCAGATCAGATTATAGTTCTACATGGTGATACAAATAGTTATATGTATGTTTATCTAGAGCTTCCACATATCACAAGAAGGGTTCTCTTTATTTGGGAAAATAGGAAATATTAAAAGGAAAATGCTTTATTAGGAGGAAAAAGTAAGAGAGTAACGCCATAGGAAATGGGGTCAGGAAGAGGCAGGTGCGGTTTTAAGGCAGTGTTTGACCTTAGAGTTCACGTCTCAGTCCTTTCAAGGTGCAGTTTACACCAAAGTAAAGCCAGGCTGGTGCCCGGAGAGCTTGCTGCACAGCCTCTCCCCCTCCGGGCCTTTCGTGCTCCTCCTGCTTCTGTTTCCAAGGGAGGGAACAGCTCAAAAGCCAGCCCAGAGGGTCCCCCAAATAAGCCCCCCCTGGGTGCAGGCCATGCCCGGGGCTCCGGCTTTGCAGAAGGAGAGAGGGGGGAGCTGGGGGCGCCCGGCTCGCCAAGGGTTAAAAGGAACTTAGCTGCATTCCTAGAGAGGACAGGAAATAAGGGGGGGGGATGCGGTCCTCCCGAGCAAAAGCCCCTCCCACTCCCTGCAAGAGGGGGAAGGTGGCTTTCGTCTCCGCTGCAGGAGCTGCCTCAGTTTCCCTTCAGGGACCTGGTGAGTTTCCTCTCTTTTCTGCCTTAGGGTGCATTGGGGAGAAGTGGGGCGGGTCCATGGGGAGCCTGCTCAGCTCCTGCAGGGGGATCCCTAAGCCAGGGATAAGAGGTTCTGCCCCCCTTCCTCTCTGCAAAACCAGGAGGGCTGCAAGTAGCAGGAGGTTTGCAACTCTCTTCTTCCTTTGCATCAAGACGCCGCTTGCCCCTTTGGGGAGGGGGGGGGCCCTTGAGTTAGGAAGAAAAGGGCATGCAAAGGAACCCCAATGGGAATGAGGAAACAGTCACGTTCATTAGCCCAGGTGGCAGCCAGATGGACACATTTGGAGGTAGAAATAAATGAAGTCCATCTATGTCACAGTGTGCAGTTATAATAATAAATTATTATTATTATTAGTAGTAGTAGTAGTAGTAGTACCCCACCCATCAGGCTGGGTCTCCCCAGCCACTCGGGGCTCCTTCCAATAAAGATTAAAAATACATTAAAATGTCACACATTAAAAACTTCCCTAAACAGGGCTGCCTTCAGATGTCTTCTAAATGTCAGGTAGTTGTTTATCTCTTTGACATCTGGTGGGAGGGCGTTCCACAGTGCAGGTGCCACTACTGAGAAGGCCCTCTGCCTGGTTCCCTGTAGCTTTGCTTCTCGCAGTGAGGGAACCACCAGAAGGCCATCGGCCTCAGCATCCGGGCAGAATGATGGGGGTGGAAACGTTCCTTCAGGTATACTGACCCATGGAACTCCCATCCACAGGAGGAAGCGATGGCCACCAAGCCAGATGGCTTTAGAAGAGGATGAGGCCAATTCAGGCTCCTGGCCCCCACAGTTGGAGGCCGTCATGCTTCTGAATGCCAGCTGCTGGGAAGTGCATGGGGAGAGAGTTATCCCTGGGCTCTAGCCCTGCTGGTGGGCTTCCCAGAAGATGCCCCAGGTTGGCACCTGAGAGAACAGGAGGCTGGACTGTCTTCACCCAACCTGGTGATAACAGAGTAAAGGATGCAAGGAGGGAGCTGCATGGACTGGGTAGGCACAGAGGAATGGTGAGGGGAACCAGCTGGGAACCTGCAAGGAAAGGCGGCTCTGGGCCAGGGGAGGGGTTTGGGGGCAATGATGAGTGGTCAGAGGGAGAAGCCTGGGAGGAGGAGGTGTCTGAAGCTGAAGAGGTAACAGGGCTTAGTGAGCGAGGGGAATCTGTGGCAGAGAGCAATCTAGATGCAGAGGCAGCAGATTAGGATGAGGGAGGCCAAGACGTAGGGATGATTCCAGCCCTGCCCACAAGTTATTTGGCCCCACCCACTTGGCTCTCGGGGTTGACCAGGTGAAGCTCTGGTCCTCAGGTGGGTGGCCAGGTAAAGATCTGGCCCTCAGAATAAAGAAAGAGGGACCCACCCCAGGAGTCTTGAGAATGTGGGAGATTGCAAGTGCTGCAACATGAGGCAGAAGCAGGAAAGAAATGTGCCCTGAAATTTGGGGGTGGGAGGGACCCCCACTATTGCCTTGGGTTCCAGTTACACTTAGTAAAGATGACTCGCCCATCCATTCTTCCTTCCTTCCTTCTTCCTTCCTTTATTTTTTAAAGAGAGCTCAGTCCGAGTTGTGGTGCAGTCCAGCCCTGGTTCCTAGCAAGACTCATCCACGCTTGCCCAGGGAATATTTCTATTCACCTGTGTATAAGTTTTATATCAGAAAAATATATTTGCTTTTTAGGATTTGCTAAAATCTCTCATTGGGACAGACAGAATTTGGCAGAAGACGTAGGGACTTATTTCGATTTCTTGGAGGTGTCCTGAGAACACAGATGGATGAGCAAGACTCAGCTGGGCCTGAAGCAGCAAGACTTCATTCCATCGAAACTCTTAGCCATGGAGGAATCTGGGGAAAGTCTGCCCAGAGGATCCTGGGTGAGGAGGACACCCTCCGCTCAGATGTGCAGAGCCAGCAGCTCAGGCTGCTTTGCTACCAGGAGGCCAAAGGACCCCGAGAGGTTTGCAACAGACTCTACCGCCTTTGCCGTCAGTGGCTGAAACCAGAAACCCACACGAAAGCTGAGATGCTGGACCTGGTGATCTTGGAGCAGTTCCTGGCTGTCCTTCCACCAGAGATGGAGAGCTGGGTGAAGGAATGTGGAGCGGAGACCAGTTCCCAGGCGGTGGCCCTGGCCGAAGGTTTCCTCCTGAGTCAGGCAGAGGAGAGAAAGCAGGCAGAGCAACAGGTGAGAGAGACTTTCCTCTGGATACTCCCAAGGGGCTCTGAACTTGAGGGAGAGTATCCCCCAATTCTCTACTAATTTTGTCATCCTTTTTTTGGAAAGGATCCGAGGAATGATATCTGATAGCCCTAAAGTGCGTGTGTCCTTTGCCATTCCAGTTCTAATCTAATAGTTTTGATTGCTTGGTGCTCTTGCAGGGGAAGGATCAGTTTCCAGAAATGGGTCCGGATTCTTCTGAGGTAGAGAGAACTCCGTTGGACTCCAGAGTAAGGCCACTGGGTAAGGAGGAAGGAGTTTTTTCTCCCCCGTTTTGTCACATTATGGTTTTTTTTGAAACTAATTTGTGATTTTTCTACATCTTTTTTTGGAGAAGCCAAGAGCTCAGAGAAAGGGTGATATATTTTTGCACAACTAATATGTGAAATGGTTACAAACGTCCACATTTACATGGCTACCCTTACTTTTTTGAAAAGCCACCTATAGTTTCCCTTCTGAGTGAAGCATGCACTTACCTTTTTTCTCTCGTAGACCGAACGATGCCAGCAAGACCTGTTTGTCCATCTTTTCTTGGTGGCGAAGGGGAAACTGCCCCTGTGGAACCAGAGCAGGTAGGAGGAAGGAGCCATGTGGGGAAAGAGGATGTCATGGACGGGTTGGACACAGAGGAAAGGTGGGAAGAACCGCCAAGGAAAGAAGGGCTGAATGCTGAAATAGGCTTCTAAGCAGTTTACACACCACACCAAACAGTGGACAGGATTCACACCATCAGTTGCACAATGGGGCTTTCCCCCTCTCATCCCCCTTTCATTGCCCCCCTGTGCACCTTGAAGTTGTCTAAGAGGACAACCTTTTTCCTTTTCTTTTAGGGTCCAGTGTGCTTTGAAGATGTAGCTGTGCATTTCACAGACGAGGAGTGGGCGTTGCTGGATCCTGACCAGAGAGCTCTGCACAAGGAAGTCACGGAGGAGAATCGTGGGATGTTGGACTCTCTTGGTAAGGCTTCCTCTTGGATCATCCTATCTCCTTTGAAATTGAAGACATATCTCTATGGGAGGAACCTCTGATTTTTCGATGGGGCTCAACAGCAGCACCCACAGCCCCTGGGATTCTAACACTCCCACAGAAAACCTTGGATGGAAGACTAATGGCTGCTTACCCTGTGAATATTCTTCCTCCAGTTCTGCCTTTTCAAAGCATGAAACCCAGCCAGATGGGCAGGTTATAAATAATAAAATTATTACACTTATTATCATTATCATCATTATCATCATCATCATGCCTACCCCCCTCCAAGATGGCTCCCCTTTTGCTCTTGAAGGGCTGGCCTGTCTGCAGCCCCACAGCCTCCCATCAGGGCCCCTTCACCAGGGACAGCAGCCGAGGAAGGGCCTCAGCAAAGCAGCCATGACTCCAACAGGGCTGGGAACCATCTGGCCAGATGCAGAGGAGCAGGAGGAGAAGGAAGGCTGACCCCTCTCCTTCCCCTCATAGGGCCAGGGCTGCCAGAGGCGCAGGGTGCTGAGCAGGGGGAAAGGAGCTCAGCTGAAGAGCCTCTGGGGGAGATAAGATACCCCTGTGTATTTTTCCCAGGCTCCTCTAAAATGCACAAGGCCTTCTTAAACGTAGGCTTCTAAGGGATTCAGGAAGTTCAAGTAGCTTCTGTCAGATTTTTTGTTTCTGTTCTTGCTTCTTTCTGTCCTTAGTTGACTAAAGAGATGAGTGACATTAGAGATGGCACAGATCCCATGATTGGGCCAAACAAAATCCATCCCAGAAAATAACCAGGCTTTTTGAATCTCAGGCAGTGAACCCTGTAGGAAGACCTCACATCTAAGTCCCTTCAGTACTTCCGGGGTCACAAGCATTACCGTATTTTTCGCCCTATAGGACGCACCGACCCATAAGGCGCACCTAGTTTTTTTGGGAGGAAATAAAGGAAAAAAAATTTATTCCCCCCCCCACCAGGCACGGGGCTGGGGCGGGGGAAGCCCGAGCTTCCCCCGACCCCAGCCCCCAGAACAGGCAACTCTCCGCAAGCCGTGGGAGCCCGGTGCCACTCAACGCGCCCAGCCTTCTGCATGCAGGTAACTCTCCGCAAGTCGTGGGAGCCTGGCGCAGGCTCCCACGAATTGCGGAGATCTGCGCGAAGCCTGGAGAGCGAGAGGGGTCGGTGCGCACAGACCCCTCTCGCTCTCCAGGCTTCAGCGAAAGCCTGCATTCGCCCCATAGGACGCACACACATTTCCCCTTCATTTTTGGAGGGGAAAAAGTGTGTCCTATGGGGTGAAAAATACGGCAATTAGCACTGCTCCATAATTGGGGGCTCCATTGCTTCCTGAGGCTGCAATCCGTTTCTCTCTCAGTTGCAGGTGGTGATGAATTGGAGCTGAAGAACGAGGGAGACCACAACAAAAGCCACACAGTGGAGAAGTCATATCCATATTCAGAGTGCAGAGAGCGCTTCAGTCAGAGCTCCCATTCCACTTCAAATCAAAGAAATCCCCTTGAGAAGAAACCCTATCAGTGCTTGGAATGTGGAAAGAGCTTCAGTCACAGAAACAAGTTCACTGTCCATCAGAGAATTCATACAGGGGAGAAACCCTATCAGTGCCAAGAGTGTGGAAAGAGCTTCAGTCAAAAGGGCAGTTTAACTACCCATCAGAGAATTCATACAGGAGAGAAACCTTATCACTGTTTGGAATGTGGAAAAAGCTTCAGCCAACAAGGCCAGCTTACTGTACATCAAAGAATTCATACAGGGGAGAAACCTTATCAGTGCTTGGAATGTGGAAAGAGCTTCACTTGGAAAATGAGTCTCGTTTCCCATCAAATCATTCATACTGGAGATAAACCCTATCACTGCTTGGAATGTGGAAAGAGATTCAGAATAAAAAGCCATCTCACTGTCCATCAGAGAAGTCATACAGGGGAGAAACCTTATCAGTGCTTGGAATGTGGAAAGAGATTCAGAATAAAAAGCCAGATCACTGTCCATCAGAGAATTCATACAGGGGAGAAACCTTATCAGTGCTTGCAATGTGGCAAGAGCTTCAGTCAGAGCAGCCAGCTCACTTCCCATCACATAATTCATTCCGGGGGGAAACCATATCAGTGCTTGCAATGTGGCAAGAATTTCACTTGGAAAATAAGTTTCACTGCCCATCAAAGAATTCATACTGGAAATAAACCCTATGACTGTTTGGAATGTGGAAAAAGCTTCAGTCACCAAGGCCATCTTACTGTACATCAAAGAATTCATACGGGGGAGAAACCTTATCACTGCTTGGAATGTGGAAAAAGCTTCAGTCAACAAGGCCAACTTACTTTACATCATAGAATCCATACAGGAGAGAAACCCTATCAGTGCTTGGAATGTGGAAAGAGCTTCAGTCAGAGCAGCCAACTCACTTCCCATCACAGAATTCATTCCGGGGCGAAACCATATCAGTGCTTAGACTGTGGAAAGAGCTTCACTTGGAAAATAAATTTCATTTCCCATCAAAGAATTCATACTGGAGATAAACCCTATCATTGCTTGGAATGTGGAAAAAGCTTCAGTCACCAAGGCCAGCTTATTGTACATCAAAGAATTCATACAGGGGAGAAACCCTATCAGTGCTTGGAATGTGGAAAGAGATTCAGAATAAAAAGCCAACTCACTGTCCATCAGAGAAGTCATACAGGGGAGAAACCCTATCATTGCAAAGAGTGTGGCAAGAGATTCAGTAGCAGAAGCTACTTTACTGTCCATCAGAGAATTCATACAGGGTGGAAACCCTATCAGTGCTTGGAATGTGGAAAGAAATTCAGAATAAAAAGCCATCTCACTGTCCATCAGAGAAGTCATACAGGGGAGAAACCCTATCAGTGCTTGGAATGTGGCAAGAGCTTCATTCGAAGTGGCCACCTCATGGACCATCAAACAATTCATACAGGAGAGACACCCCATCAGTGCAAAGAGTGTGGCAAGAGATTCAGTAGCAGAAGCCAGTTTACTGTCCATCAGAGAAGTCATACAGGGGAGAAACCTCATCAGTGCTTGGAATGTGGCAAGAGCTTTGTTCGAAGAGGCCACCTCATGGCCCATCAAACAATTCATACAGGAGAGACACCCCATCAGTGCTTGGAATGTGGCAAGGCCTTCAGAAGAAAGGGCAGCTTAACTTCCCATCAGAGAATTCATAAAGGGGAAAAACCTTATCATTGCTTGGAATGTGGAAAGAGCTTCAGGGAGAGAAACAAGCTCACTGTCCATCAGAGAATTCATACAGGGGAGAAACCCTATCAGTGCCAAGAGTGTGGAAAGAGCTTCAGTCAAAAGGGCAGTTTAACATCCCATCAGAGAATTCATACAGGGGAGAAACCTTATCACTGCTTGGAATGTGGAAAAAAATTCATTGTGAAGGCCAAACTCACGATCCATCAAAGAATTCACAGCGAGGTGAAACTATTTCAGTGCCAATAATGTGGAAAGAGCTTCAGTCACAAAGGCCAGCTCAACTTCCCATCAAAGAACTCACATTGAGGGCAAATTATAGTAGTGGCTGTATACAGAATTAATTTCAGGAGACTTTTGTTTGTATGAGGTGTGGATTGTAGCTGGGTTCTTTGCCACATCTGGTGCCCCATAGCTATTTCTACTACATACTCAGAACTGTGATTTGCAAGTTCTTGGCCAAGGTGTTTAATGCCTTCTTCACACTTTCTCTTGGCTCTCTCTTGAAGAGCAGGTGACAGCAAAGGTTGCAAGGTTTTTAGCTGGGAGAATTAGAATAAGAGGCACTATTGACTATTGACTCAAAACCCTACAATGTATTTTATATAACGGACTTTTAATTTTTATTCTTTGTATATTGTATTGTTTTTTTATTGGTATGGCCGGGGGCTGATGCAAATAAAGATTCATTCATGCATTGAATATTTTCTTCACATCCCTGTGGTGAGGGATAAGAGTGATTTTGTGACACTGATGAGATTGCAGTCCACGCTGAACTTTCCTAGGAAGGACTTGGTGTAAAAATTGTGATAGTTGATTTAATATGAGATATTATAGATTTTGATTCTGTTCGAAGTGTCCTAATACTTACTGCATTTAGCCTTTTCAATAGAATGTATTAGGCATGATTTTTGTATGCCAGCTTTTTGTAATCCTCATGCCACCCTCCTGCACTGTGTAAAGCTGTGATGTGTACATTGCCTACCGCTTCCAGCCTTATCTGACCCTAGAAGGGCAGGTGATGTTTGGAGAAAGAGGGAGCAGTTGAGCTAGCATCCGTGTGAGAACTCGCATATCTCCTCAAAGGTCTTTGACATCTTTTGGTACCAGGGAAGTAAGATATGGGATTGAAATGTCAACAGTCCCTTGGAAGTCCTGGTTGCCATGGGCATGGTGTCAAAGTGAGACATTTGAGCCCCAAATGACCTGGGCACTCGGGGACACAGCACGGTATTTTCAGAGGAGTCGATATCCGCATGAAGCCACGCATCCCATGACCTGTAACTTTTCTTGATGCAAGTGGAAGAGTGTTGTGGCATTTTCTGAGTCTTTGTGTGCTGTGTATATAATCTTTCTTCTAACATGCCTCCTGGCAGCCTTTTCGAACTAGCCATTCTGCTGAACAGCAGGTTAGCAAGGCCCTCCTATTTCAATAGTTTGAATAAACCAGGTCCCTGCAGGATGCTGAGATTGCTCTCATTCTCTTGGTTCTGAGTTTTTGTTTCAGGTATTCCCTCCACTGGGTCACAAACCGGTGATGTAGAAGCAAATTCTGATCACATGAGCAATTCACATTCTTAATATTTTCCTTTCTTCTGTGAGAAGCTTAAGTCAAAGGTTCCCTTTCTGCTGTCCTCCGATCATTCACAATATGCGTACGCCAGGAGGAAAGAATTGTATCCATGAGGAAGCAGAGTTCTTCGTTCATCGTACGCCAAAGGGAGTTGGGAGCAAGAGAAGGACAAGTTTGTTTCCTTATTGTACTCCAGGGTATCCCTTCAAAGATGGAAGGAAGAAGATGAAGGGAAGAGCTAAGGGCAGAAATGCGTTTAAGAGGGAATAGAATCTCATTGCATTGTTTCAATAAAATGTTGCATCCCACATACAAAGTTCCCATCCTCATTTCCGTAGCTGACTGTTAGGCGGGAGAAGAAAGGTAGTGACATCTAAAGGATACTAGACAAATAAAGCTTATTTGATATACAGCGCAACCTCAGTTTTTTAGCATCTTTGAACCTGAATGTTTCGGTTTTCGAATGCCGAAAATCTGGAAGTAATTGCTTCTGTTTTCGAACGTCCCTTGGACATTGAACATCTTCCGCTACGTGTTTTTCCATTTTTTCTTTTGCGCCTGAGTTTTCAAATGTCTTCCGGAACGGATTGTAGTTCTACAAGGTGATAAGCTTACCTAGAACTTCCACATATCACAAGAAGGGTTGTCTTTATCTGGGAAAATAGGAAATATTAAAATATTAAAAGGAAAACGGCTTGCTGTGGTACCTCAGGTTACAAACACTTCAGGTTACAGACTGCACTAAGCTGGATGTAATACCTCAGGTTAAGAATTTTACCTCAGGATGAGAACAGAAATCGCATGGTGGCAGCGGGAGGCCCCATTAGCTAAAGTGATACTTCAGGTTAAGAACGGACCTTCAGAACGAATTAAGTTCTTAACCAGAGGTACCACTGTATTAGGAAGAAAAAATAAGAGAGTAACGCCGAAGGAAATGGGGTCGGGAAGAGGAAGGTGCGGTTTTAAGGCAGTGTTTGGCCTCAGAGTTCAGGTCTCGGTCCTTTCAAGGTGCTGCTGGCATCAAAATGAGAGCCAGGCTGGTGGCGAGGAAAAGGCCCGCCAGGAGGATGTCCTTGCAGGACCTTTCGTGCTCCTCCTGCGCCTGTTTCCGAGGGAGGGAGTAGCTCAGAGGCCAGTCCAGGGGGTCCCCCAAATAAGCCCCCCCTGGGTGCAGGCCATGCTTGGGGCTCCGGCATTGCAGAGGGTGAGAGGGGGGAGCTGGGGGCGCCCGGCTCGCCAAGGGTTAAAAGGAACCGGGCTGCATTCCTAGAGAGGACAGGAAATAAGGTGTGGATGCAGTCCTCCCGAGCAAAAGCCCCTCCCGCTTTCCCAGCTTCCTCCCTGCAAGAGGGGTAAGGTGGATTTCGTCTCCGCTGCAGGAGCTGCCTCAGTTTCCCTTCAGGGACCTGGTGAGTTTCCTCTCTTTTCTGCCTTAGGGTGCATTGGGGAGAAGTGGGGCAGGTCTATGGGGAGCCTGCTCAGCTCCTGCAGGGGGATCCCCAAGTCAGGGATAAGAGGTTCTGCCCCCCTTCTTCTCTGCAAAACCAGGGGGGCTGCAAGTAACAGGAGGTCTGCAACTCTCTTCTTCCTTAAAATCAAGACGCCGCTTGCTCCTTTGGGGGGCGGGCGGGCTTTGAATCAGGAAGAAAAGGGCATGCAATGGAATCCCGATGGGATTGAGGAATCAATAACATTCATTAGCCCAGGTGGAAACATTTAGGGGTAGAACTAAAACCTTGGCCTCTATGATAAACAAAGTCCTTCCATGTCACAGTGCGCAGTTAGACCCATGGAACTCCCATCCACAGGAGGAAGGGATGGCCACCAAGCCAGATGGCTTTGGAAGAGGATGAGGCCAATTCAGGCTCCTGGCCCCCACAGTTGGAGGCCGTCATGCTTCTGAATGCCAGCTGCTGGGAAATGCAGAGGGAGAGAGTTATCCCTGGGCTCCAGGCCTGCTGGTGGGCTTCCCAAAAGGTGCCCCAGGTTGGCAGCTGAGAGCAGGAGGCTGGACTGGCTTCATCCAAAAGGAAAGCAGAGCCCAACCTGGTGAAAACAGAATAAAGGATGCAAGGAGGGAGCTGCATGGACTGGTTGGGCACAGAGGAATGGTGAAGGGACCAGCTGGGGAACCCGCAAGGGAAGGAGGCTCTGGGCCAGAGGAGGGGCGGTGGGGCAATGATGAGTCGACAGAGGGAGGAGGAGGTGTCTGAAGAGGTAACAGGGCTTAGTGAGCGAGGGGAATCTGTGGCAGAGAGCAATCTAGATCCAGAGGCAGCAGATTCAGATGAGGGAGGCCAAGAGGTAGGGATGATTCTGGCTGGTGAAGAGGAATAGGGGTCTCCCCTCCTCCTGTGACAAGCTCCCCCCCCCCCCATATCATAATCAATTACTTGATGTTCACCCAAAATTCCCATGGCGGATTAAAACAGTAAATCACAATATTAGGAAGAGTATAAAATTATTACAGTCACAGAAAGAAGGCAAATCCTGTTTCTCTCTTTTTTTAACACTGTCCTTTGGCCCCACCCACAAGTTATTTGGTCCCACCCACATCTTCTTTGGCAAGGTGAAGATCTGGCCCTCAGAATAAAGAAAGAGGGACCCACCCCAGGAGTCTTGAGAATGTGGGAGATTGCAAGTGTTGGAACATGAGGCAGAAGCAGGAAATAAATGTGCCCTGATATTTGGGGGTGGGAGGGACCCCCACTATTGCCTTGGGTCCCAGTTACACTTAGTACAGATGACTCACTCATCCATTCTGACTTCCTTCCTTCTTCCTTCCTTCCTTCCTTCATTTATTTTTTAAGGAAAGCTCAGTCTGAGTTGTGGTGCAGTCCAGCCCTGGTTCCTAGCAAGACTCATCCACGCTTGCCCAGGGAATATTTCTATTCACCTGACTGTGTATCAGATTTACCGGTATATTAGAAAAATATATTTTCTTTTTAGGATTTGCTAAAACCACTCATTAGGACAGGCAGAACTTGGCAGAAGACGTAGTGACTTCTTTCGATTTCTTGGAGGTGTCCTGAGAACAGAGATGGATGAGCAAGACTCAGCTGGGCCTGAAGCAGGAAGAGGCCATTTCATCCAAACTCTTAGCCAGAGAATAATCTGGGGAAATTCTGTCCAAAGGATCCTGGGTGAGGAGGACACCCTCCGCTCAGATGTGCAGAGCCAGCAGCTCGGGCGGCTTTGCTACCAGGAGGCCAAAGGACCCCGAGAGGTTTGCAACCGACTCTACCGCCTTTGCCGTCAGTGGCTGAAACCAGAAACCCACACGAAAGCTGAGATGCTGGACCTGGTGATCTTGGAGCAGTTCCTGGCTGTCCTTCCACCAGAGATGGAGAGCTGGGTGAGGGAATGTGGAGCGGAGACCAGTTCCCAGGCGGTGGCCCTGGCCGAAGGTTTCCTCCTGAGTCAGGCAGAGGAGAGAAAGCAGGCAGAGCAGCAGGTGAGAGAGACTTTCCTCTGGATACTTCCAAGGGGCTCCAAACTTGAGAGTATCCCCCAATTCTCTACTAATTTTTTTGGAAAGCATCCGAGGAATGACATCTGATACCCCTAAAGTTTTTGTGTCCTTTGCCATTCCAGTTCTAATCTAATTCTTTTGAATGCTTGTTGCTCTTGCAGGGGAAGGATCAGTTTCCAGAAATGGGTCCGGATTCTTCTGAGGTAGAGAGAACTCCGTTGGACTCCAGAGAGAGGCAACTGGGTAAGGAGGAATGAGTTATTTCTCCCCCATTTTATCTACATCTTTTTTGGAGAAGACACGTGAAGTCAAGAGCCCAGAGAAAGGGTGATATATTTTTGCACAACTAATATGTGAAATGGTTACCAACGTTCACGTTTACATGACTACCCTTAATTTTTTGAAGGCCCACCTATAGCTTTCTTTCTGAGTGAAGCATTCACTAACCTTTTTCTCTCATAGGAAACGGAACAACGCCAGCAAGACCTGTTTGTCCATCTTTTCTTGGTGGCGAAGGGGAAGCTGCCCCTGTGGAACCAGAGCAGGTAGGAGGAAGGAGCCATGTGGGGAGAGAGGATGTCATGGACGGGTTGGACACAGAGGAAAGGTGGGAGGAACTGCCTAGGAAAGAAGGGTTGAATGCTAAAATCGCCTTCTAAGCAGTTTACACACCACACCAAACAGTGGCCAGGATTCACCCCATCAGTCACACAATGGGGCTTTCCCTCTCTCATCCCCCCGGTCATTGCCCCCCTGCGAACCTTGACGTTGTCTATAGGGCATCAGGAGGGTCCTCCCCACCTGGCAAGAACAGCACACAGGGAAAGAAGGAAGGGGATCCTTCCATGTGGCAAATGGGGATGTGTCCATAATGAAATGTGCAGAAGAAGAATCCCATTAAAACATAACATCAGTTAAGAGGCAGAAGACAACAGAGCAAAGTGTAACTGTTCACCTTGATGTTGTCTAAGAGGACAACCTTTTTCCTTTTCTTTTAGGGTCCAGTGTGCTTTGAAGATGTAGCTGTGCATTTCACAGGCGAGGAGTGGGCGTTGCTGGATCCTGACCTGAGAGCTCTGCACAAGGAAGTCACGGAGGAGAATCGTGGGATGTTGGACTCTCTCGGTAAGGCTTCCTCTTGGATCATCCTATTTGCTTTGAAATTGAAGACATATCTCTATGGGAGGAACCTTTGGTTTTTCGATGGGGCTCAACAGCACCACCCACAGCTCCTTGGATTCTAATATTCCCACAGAAAACCTTGGATGGAAGACTATCATCATCATCATCATTATCATCATCTGTCAGATTTTTTGTTTCCGTTCTTGCTTCTTTCTGTCCTGGGTTGACTAAAGACGAGTGACATTAGAGATGGCACAGATCCCATGAGGCTCCAATCTGTTTCTCTCTCAGTTGCAGGTGGTGATGAATTGGAGCTGAAGAACGAGGGAGACCACGACAAAATCCACAGAGTGGGGAAGTCATATCCATATTCAGAGTGCAGAGGGAGCTTCAGTCAGAGCTCCCATTCCACTTCAAATCAAAGAAATCCACTTGAGAAGAAACCCTATCAGTGCTTGGAATGTGGAAAGAGCTTCAGTCACAGAAACAAGTTCACTGTCCATCAGAGAATTCATACAGGGGAGAAACCCTATCAGTGCCAAGAGTGTGGAAAGAGCTTCAGTCAATCGGGCGCTTTAACTTCCCATTACAGAATTCATACAGGGGAGAAACCTTATCATTGCTTGGAATGTGGAAAAAGCTTCATTCAACAAGGCCAGCTTACTGTACATCAAAGAATTCATACAGGGGAGAAACCTTATCAGTGCTTGGAATGTAGAAAGAGGTTCAGAATATCAAGCCAGCTCACAGTCCATCAGAGAAGTCATAGAGGGGAGAAACTTTATCAGTGCTTGGAATGTGGAAAGCGCTTCAGTCAGAGCAGCCGGCTCATTGTCCATCACAGAATTCATTCCGGGGGGAAACCATATCAGTGCTTGCAATGTGGAAAGAGGTTTACTTGGAGAATAAGTTTCACTTCCCATCAAAGAATTCTTACTGGAAATAAAACCTATCACTGCTTGGAATGTGGAAAAAGCTTCAATCACCAAGGCCATCTTACTATACATCAAAGAATTCATAAAGGGGAGAAACCTTATCAGTGCTTGGAATGTGAAAAAAGCTTCAGTAAACAAGGCCAGCTACTGTACATCAAAGAATTCATACAGGGGAAAAACCATATCAGTGCTTGGAATGTGGAAAGAGCTTCACTTGGAAAATAAATTTCATTTCCCATCAAAGAATCCATACTGGAGATAAACACTATCACTGCTTGGAATGTGGAAAAAGCTTCAGTCACCAAGGCCAGCTTGTTGTTGTTTAGTCGTGTCTGACTCTTCGTGACCCCATGGACCAGAGCACGCCAAGCACGCCTGTCTTCCACTGCCTCCCGCAATCAGGTCAAACGCATGCTGGTAGCTTCAAGAACACTGTCCAACCATCTCGTCCTCTGTCGTCCCCTTCTCCCTCCCCTTGTGCCCTCCATCTTTCCCAACATCAGGGTCTTTTCCAGGGAGCCTTCTCTTCTCATGAGGTGGCCAAATATTGGAGCCTCAGCTTCAGGATCTGTCCTTCCAGTGAGCGCTCAGGGCTGATTTCCTTCAGAATGGAGAGGTTTGATCTTCTTGCAGTCCATGGGACTCTCAAGAGTCTCCTCCAGCACCAGAATTCAAAAGCATCCATTCTTCGGCGATCAGCCTTCTTTACGGTCCAGCTCTCACTTCCCTACATCACTACTGGGAAAACCATAGCTTTAACTATACAGACCTTTGTTGGCAAGGTGATGTCTCTGCTTTTTAAGATGCTGTCTAGGTTTGTCATTGCTTTTCTCCCAAGAAGCAGGCATCTTTTAATTTCGTGACTGCTGTCACCATCTGCAGTGATCATGGAGCCCAAGAAAGTAAAGTCTCTCACTGCCTCCATTTCTTCCCCTTCTATAGTATTTGCCAGGAGGTGATGGGACCAGTGGCCATGATCATAGTTTTTTTGATGTTGAGCCTCAGACCATATTTTGCGCTCTCCTCTTTCACCCTCATTAAAAGGTTCTTTAACTCCTCCTCACTTTCTGCCATCAAGGTTGTGTCATCTGCATATCTGAGCTTGTTGATATTTCTTCCGGTAATCTTAATTCCGCCTTGGGATTCATCCAGCCCAGCCTTTCGCATGATGAATTCTGCACATAAATTAAATAAGCAGGGAGACAATATACAGCCTTGTCGTACGCCTTTCCCAATTTTGAACCAATCAGTTGTTCCATATCCAGTTCTAACTGTAGCTTCTTGTCCCACATAGAGATTTCTCAGGAGACAGATTTGTCCCACATAGAGATTTCTCAGATGAGGTGATCAGGCACTCCCATTTCTTTAAGAACTTGCCATAGTTTGCTGTGGTCAACACAAAGGCTTTTGCATAGTCAATGAAGCAGAAGTATTTGTCTTTCTGGAACTCTCTAGCTTTCTCCATAATCCAGCGCATGTTTGCAATTTGGTCTCTGGTTCCTCTGCCCCTTCGAAATCCAGCTTGCACTTCTGGGAGTTCTCGGTCCACATACTGCTTAAGTCTGCCTTGTAGAATTTTAAACATAACCTTGCTAGCGTGTGAAATGAGTGCAATTGTGCGGTAGTTCGAGCATTCTTTGGCACTGCCCTTCTTTGGGATTGGGATGTAGACTGATCTTCTCCAATCCTCTGGCCACTGCTGAGTTTTCCAAATTTGCTGGCATATTGAGTGTAGCACCTTAACAACATCACCTTTTAAAATTTTAAATAGTTCAGCTGGAATATCATCACTTCCACTGGCCTTGTTATTAGCAGTGCTTTCTAAGGCCCATTTGACTTCACTCTCCAGGATGTCTGGCTCATTCTATCATTTTTGAGATTGCATCCCAGTACGGCTTTCGCCACTCTTTTGTTGACTATGAGGGCAACTCCATTTCTTTTACGGGATTCTTGCCCACAGTAGTAGATATGATGGTCATCCGAACTGAATTCGCCCAATCCTGTCCATTTTAGTTCACTGATGCCCAGGATGTCAATATTTATTCTTGCCATCTCATTTTTGACCACAGCCAACTTACCAAAGTTCATGGTTCTTACATTCCAGGTTCCTATGCAATATTTTTCTTTACATCATTGGACTCCCCTTTCGCTTTCAGGCCCAGCCGCTTCATCAGCTCTGAATCTACTTGTACTTGTCCTCTGCTCTTCCTCAGTAGCATGTTGGACACCTTCCGACTTGAGGGGCTCATCTTCCAGCATCATAACTTTTATATGCCTGTTGTCTTTGTCCATGGAGTTATCTTGGCAGGGATACTGGAGTGGCTTGCCGGTTCCTGCTCCAGGTGGATCACGTTTGGTCAAAACTCTCCACTATGACCTGTCCATCTTGCTTGCTGGTCATTGACCGTATTAAAGATATTTGATTTTGATTTTGACCTGTCCATCTTGGGTGGCCCTGCACGGCATAGCTCATAGCTTCTCTGAGTTATTCAAGCCCCTTCGCCACGGCAAGGCAGTGATCCATGAAGGGGAAGACCAGCTTACTGTACATCAAAGAATTCATACAGGGGAAAAACCCTATCAGTACTTGGAATGTGGAAAGAGATTCAGAATGAAAAGCCATCTTACTGTCTATCAGACAAGTCATACAGAGGAGAAACCCTATCAGTACTTGGAATGTGCCAAGAGCTTTATTCGAAGAGGCCACCTCTTGGCCCATCAAACAATTCATACAGGAGAGACACCGCATCAGTGCTTGGAATGTGGCAAGGGCTTCAGAAGAAAGGGCAGTTTAACTTCCCATCAGAGAATTCCTAAAAGGGAAAAACCTTATCAGTGCTTGGAATGTGGAAGGGGCTTCATTGACAGACGCCATTTCACTGTCCATCAGAGAATTCATACAGGGGAGAAACCATATCAGTGCTCGGAATGTGGAAAGAAATTAACCCAGAGTGCCCATTCGTGCGGATCCCATCACAGAATTCATACAGGGGAGAAACCCTATCAGTGCTTAGAATGTGGAAAGAGATTCATTGAGAAGGCCAAACTCATGATCCATCAAAGAATTCACAGCGAGGTGAAACTATTTCAGTGCCAAGAATATGGGAAGAGCTTCAGTCACAGGGCCCGTCTTGCTTCCCATCAAAGAACTCACTTTGGGGGAAATTATAGTAGTGGCTGTATACAGATTTATTTTTAGGAGACTTTAGTTTGTATGAGGTGAGGATTGTAGCTGGGTTCTTTGCCACATCTGGTGCCCCATAGCTATTTCAACTACGTATCCAGAACTGTGACTTGCAAGTTCTTGGCCAAGGTGTTTAATACCTGCTTCACAGTTTCCTTTCTCTTGGCAGATCAGGATGAGTAGGTGACAGCAAAGGTTGCACAGTTTTTAGCTGGGACAATTAGAATAAGCTCCACTATTTGACTATTGACTCAAAACCCTACAACGTATTCTATATAACGGACTTTTAATTTTTATTCTTTGTATATTGTATTGTTGTTTTATTGGTATGGAATCTTCACCCAGTCCGTATTATATTTAAACCACAATGGCAGCAAAATGCTCTTTCAGGCACGCTTGTGTATTTCAAACAGTTGCCCTTGTCGTAACTAAAGTCTTTCTCCAAATCGAATCCTTCTCAGTGGCTGGTTAAATTAGCAAGTTATTTTATCTCCTCTAGTTCAGAGCCTGCCTGTTAGTTAAGTCCAATTTTTTATCTTAAAAGACAGAGGAGTCCTCCACTCCTGGCGCCGGCTTTGGAGAGTTGCTGTGATGAGCGATACATTGCACCCAGCGTCCCCCTGCCCCCCCCCGCATTCCTTCAGGACAGGCAGCAGGTATCGGACAATCTGCGGGTGGGGTGCTCCCCCCCCAGCCCTGGGGGGGCAGTTGGGAGGATAATTACTCCCATATTATCCTCGTTATCCGCACGAAAGGGCTCCACTGTTATGGGTGAAGCTGTTCACCATGGCAGCCAAACAGGAAGTCCATCATGTCTCCTTTCAGTCTCCTCTTCAGGCTAAACATACCCAGCTTGTTTTCCAGACCTTTTAATTTTTGTGGCTGAACTGTATTCATAGAATACTGTCTCTTGCATTGCCTCATTTTTGAACGGCTAAAGATTGGATTTAAGCTCTGCTAGAGCGGCTGTGTGTGTGCTTGCCTTGCATCCTTTAAAACAGGAAATGGCTGTTTTTCTTTGCTCGCTATCCAACACACGTGCTTCTGTATAGGATTACATATACTTAATATGACTCTCTCTTTTAATAATTAAATGGCCATCAAAATAAACCTGGGAGGTCCGGCCCACAATAAAAGACCACATGACACACCCGACTTTCCCTTCTCCTTCCCACAACCACTTTCCCACAGGTTGGCCTCTAGGGCTCCCTTGCAGCCAGATGGTTCCCTCATTCCACAGCACAAAACAGGTTCACACAGAAAGTAGGAAAATTGTCCCATAAAAAGCTCAACAACTTTAGGGGTGTCCTGGTTTTTACATGGGAAATACAAGATAAACTAGGGGACTCCTGGGCCCCCAAGTTCGAGGGGCCAGAAAGGGAGTCACCAGCCTTGTCTTCCCCCTATTTCTGCAGGTAGACCCCTTCTGCTTGCATTGACTCTTGGGGTGACGAAGCAAGATGGTCCAGGGGTCAAACTCCCCTGAGGGAATCCTCCACCTCTGAGGAGAAAAAAGCCCTTCTTATTATCCTCCTTCTTAGGCCTCAGACACAGAGAGGGGCTTTCCCTCCTTGCCCCCTTCGCCTGTTCTGGCCGCTTGCCTGGGATCTCCCAATGGAGAGGCCTCCGTTGGGCCAACATGATGAGGAGAGACGCTGCCCTGCAGAGGCAAAGCCATCATGGCAGGAAGGCAGCTGAGGACGCCCCGTGAGCGCTGGCACCTGAAGGTGCCACCCTCCTTCAGCTGGGAGGAGAGTGCATGAGGGCCACAAGGCCCATAAGGGAGCCATGGCATCTCGGGGAGCGGCTGGGGCCTCCGGAAGAAACAAAATGGCGTTCCCGCCTTTTTCGGGAAAAGGCGGGAAACGGCATTTGGCCCTCCCACCTCCATGGGCTCCTCCTGGGCCTGCCTGGCCATGTGGGGGGTGGAATCCAGCTGCCCCCAAACTCTTCCCTACCCCAGACAATGGGGGGGGGTGAATGAGAAGCTGGGAGGGGGAGCAGCCAAGAGGGAAACTCGGGGGGCAAACTCCCTCAGGAAACAGGACGAAGGAGAGGATTCTGCCAAGGGAAAATCCTCATAAAACCAGCAACCGTTTCTCTCAGAGACTTGAAGACCCTGCCTGTCTCCAGAAGGGGAGTCATCCCCATCTAGTAAAAGACTCTATGAACTGAAAGTGGAGGCGCTATATGTACTTTTCTTTTGGGGTGAGCTGGCCTGACCAAAAACCCCTCACAGCTATGGGCAAAGGCTGGCTGGGGGGCCTCCCAGCCTGACCCACTCAAGCAGCAGAAGGGGTTGGGTGGAAGCCGAGGGCAGGCTCCCTCAGAAAATGGTGGCCCCTCCTTCCTCAGATGTTTGTCTGTCTGTCTGTCTGTTTGTTTGTATTTTAAGAAATATTTTTATTTGTCCAAAGATATACAAAAGTTCACACCGAATATGAAGTATCTTTTAATGATACAGCAGAATAAAGGTGCTTTTACAATCTAATCTTTTAAAAAAAGGAACAGTAGCAAAAAGAAGAAAGCAAAGAAAGGGGGAAAGAAACAGAAGAGAGAGAGAAAATAAAGAAAATGGAAGGGGGAAAAAAGATTAAAAGACTTCTGGTTCTTTGTCCTGCAGCTAAATACAGTATCCACTCATTAACCTCCAACTATTTTATTATCTACAAGCCAGTGATTTTTTTCAATCTTCAAATCCAGATGTCACAAGTTCATTTTCTCTTTCATGCAAATAATCCATAAGGAGATTCCAAACCTTAGTAAATGTCAATGATTTTTCTCTAATTAAACACATTAGCTTTGCCATCTCAGCTAAGTCCAATAATTTTCTCAACCATTCCTCTACAGTAGGTAGAGCTCCATCTTGCCATGTTTGTGCATATAACAACCTCACTGCTGTAATCATATATTGGAATAATCTTCTACAGTCCTTTTCCAGTTGTGCTTCCTTGGAGGTTTTTAAGTAGAGGTTGGATGGCCATCTGTCAGGGGTGCGATTCTTGCATTGCAGGGGGTTGGACTAGATGATCCTTGAAGTGCCTTCCAACTCTGCAGTTCTAGGAGACTACGAAAGCACAGAGCAGGACTTAGCACCGCTGCAGGAAGAAAGGCTTGGGCCACGAAAATTTCACCTGTTACTGGAATTTTAAGGTGTCATAAATAATATAAACCAGCCCCAAAACTGAGTTCCAATTAGTTCCTGCCTCCGCTCCTTCTTCTCTGGCAGATAATGAACCTAGGGGGATACTGGGTCCCTTGATGGGGAGTTGGGCTGTACAAGCCAACCCCCAAATTTTGTCTAATATCAGACTCAAGGAAGAAGCCACGGGCAGAGCTCCTAGGCTTCCTTGCACCTGGGGAAAGGAGTTGGGATACTCGGGGATAGAAGGGGGGGAGGCTTTGGCCTGCAATGCTCGCTCTTCTCCCCTGCAACAAAAGTGGAGGGTGGAAGTTAACTTGGGGCATAGCCACACTTCCTCTTAGCACTGTTTCCCCTGGGGGAAACCACTCTCTGTCAGCACAAATGACAATTTGGGTTCCCCCCGGATAGCCATTTGTGCCGAATTATCACTAAAGAGCAGTTTTTCCCTAGGAAAGGCGTAGGGGTGGGGGCAAAGGAGAAGCAAGGCACAGCACAAGCGGAAGTTTGGAGGAGCCTTCAGCCCCACAGCCTACTATGAGATGCACATCAATAGATAGGAAGCTGTCTCATAATGAGATCATTCATCCACCTAGCTCAGTATTGTCTAAACGGACTGGCAGCCATAGTTCTCCAGGGTTTCTGGCAGGAACCTCTCCCAGTCCCACCTGGTGACACCATTGGGGATTGAACCTGAGACCACTGCATGCCAAGAAGACGCTCTACCTATGACCGTTCCCCTTTAATGGCAGGTGCCAGTTTGGAAAGACCCAACATATAAACTGTAGGGATGGCCAAGTCGGGGCTAGAGATCCTTTGCTTTTCAGTCACACAACACATGCTCTGAAGGCGGTGTGGGTGTGGAGATAAAGGAAGAACTCCCACCTCCTTACAGACGTTCACCTGAAGAACCAAACTCTTGGCAAGATGTCATCTTCATCCCCATCCATGGACACTGGAGCCTCCTAAAGTGAGGGCTGCCTCTCAAAAGGTATCCATTCAAGACTCAACATGTGGGACCCTGCAGTACAGAATGGTCATATCTCAGGGGTCCTTTGCTAGTGCCTCCCGCTCCCTGGTTTCACATTGGCAGGAAAGCATTTGCTAGCACAGAAAATAAGTGCTGTTGGGGACCCCCTCCATGGAGTCGCCTCCCTCCTCCCACCTCCATAACAGAACCTTCTCAACTTGGCAACTTTGGAACTGAGTGACTGTTGCATCATCTCTCGTTCCGGAGTCAGGCCGGGGTTCTCTTGGCTCCAGGGCGCGGCTGAACCTCTCTTTGCAAGAAGCCACGTTGCACCCGTGTTCCTGAGCTTGGGCGAGCCCAGAACGATGGTCACAATCGAGTCGGAATCGGACTTCTACGACGTGTTTGAGATCCTGGGGAAGGGCACCTTCGGGGAAGTGGTGAAGAGCTGGAAGCGCAGCACAGGCGAGATGGTGGCCATCAAGATCCTGAAGAACGACTCCTACCGGAGCAGGATCATCAAGAATGAGCTGAAGCTTCTGCAGACCATGTCCGAGGTGGACTCGGAGGAGTCCCACATCGTCCAGTTCCACGAGTTCTTCCACGACGAGCTCAAGTTCTACCTGGTCTTCGAGCTGCTGGAGCAAAACCTCTTTGACTTCCAGAAGGAGCACAACTTTTCCCCGCTGCCCGTCCGGCACATCCGGACAGTGACCATACAGGTGTTGAGGGCCCTGGCCAAGCTGAAGGAGCTCTCCATCATCCACGCGGACCTGAAGCCCGAAAACATCATGCTGGTGGACCAAGTCAGGTACCCTTTCCGAGTCAAGGTGATCGACTTTGGCTCAGCCAGCATCTTCAACGAGGTGCGCTACGTCAAAGAGCCCTACATCCAGTCCCGCTTCTACCGGGCGCCCGAGATCCTGCTGGGACTGCCCTTCTGCGAGAAGGTGGATGTCTGGTCCTTGGGCTGTGTGATGGCAGAGCTGCACCTGGGCTGGCCCCTCTACCCTGGCAACAACGAGTACGACCAGATCCGGTACATCTGTGAGACGCAGGGGATGCCTAGGCCCGCCCTGCTCAACGCGGCCAGGAAGGCTCACCTTTTCTTCAAGAGGAGCCAGCACCCTGAGGTGGTCAACTCCTGGCAGCTGAAGACCCCGGCGGAGTACCTGGCAGACACCAAGGTGAAGTCAGTGGAGAGGAGGAAGTATGTGCTCAAGTCCCTGGACCAGATGGAGACGGTCAACGTCCACAGGATGATCTACCCGGACACGGAGGCTCTGGCCGAGTACTTTGACCTGCGCAGCATGGTGGAGCTCATCAAGCGCATGCTGACCTGGGACTCACACGAGCGCATCACGCCCAGCGCTGCCCTGAAGCACCCGTACGTCTCCACCCAGCCGCTGAAGCAGAACTACGACCTTACGCAGTACTACCAGTTCTGCCTGCGCAGCCTCCACGAGTCGCTGCCCAGCCACAGCAAGACCGAGGAGGAGGCGCAGCTCTACAGCGCCATGGAAGAAGAGCGTTTCTACTCGGTGCGCGACAGTTTCCAGGAGGAGAACAGTGCCCACGGCATCCAGAGGACCACCAGCCAGATGGATGACCTCAGCATCGCCGAGGCCGGCCAGGAGGCACCCCTGAAGGTGTGGGGAGAAGGGCCCAGCGGGGGGCTGTATGAGCCGACCCACCCCGGGCCCCCGGAGGCGGCATCCGGCCGGCGCAAGCCTGTCCTGCAGAGCCTACGCTTGCGCCAGGAGCAACCGCAGCAAGAGCCCATCCCGGCCTACTACCGGAACCGCCGCGGCAGCCCCCGGCACCGCAAGGCGTCCCACCATGCCAAGCCAGACCCCACCTTCGAGAACCTGATCCTGCTGGGGCAGTACTCCCCTGAGGAGCCCCCCACGTGGGAGAAGGAAAGCAACGCCAGCACAGCCTCCCTGCCAGAGTCCAACGCCAGGGAAGACCCCGGCTACCCCAGGGGCTTGATGCTTTCGCCCACCACTCAGGTAACGAGGGCTGGGGAGAAGGGGCCACAGCAGGGCGGGGGGACTGACCTGCTGGGGTCTCGGAGGAGCCGTGAGCCCAAAAGTTGAGGCAATGGATGGGTCTCGGCTGAAGATGGGTCTTGGGGAAGAGTCATGGGTCAAAGCAGGGCATCTGCGTTGCAGGTTCAACCGCCGAAAGCAGCTCTGGGTAGGGCTGGGAGAATCATAGAATTGTAGAGTTGGAAGGGACCCGAGGGTCGTCTAGTCCAGCCTGCTGCAATGCAAGAATCTCACCCATGACAGATGGCCACCCAACTTCTGGTTAAAAGCCTCCAAGGAAGAGGAGTGTCCACCACCTCTCATGGGGGTCCGTTCCACTGTTGAGAGCCAACCCTAGAGGGCTATTGCTGCTGGTCCGTGTGGACAATACTGATTAAGATACGCCAAAATGGCCTGACTCAGTATACAGCTGTGTTCCTCTTCCTGTGTACCAAAGTAAGAGCCCAAGGCGTGTCCTCAAGTGTTGGAACTGGGCCACCACCAAGCCTCTGGAGCAACTTCTGCAGTGGGCTGAGCCAGGAGAGGGTGCACCTGTGAAGGAGGAAGGAAGGGTCTCCAAGGATCCAGAAGGTGCTGGAAGGTCCCTTGGAAACTCTGGCAATACTTTAGTTACCAGGGTTAGGCTCCCTTTCCCTCCACCCAGATAGAAAAATCGGCTGCCCACCTGCTCTCAGACCAACCGTGACTCCTTTTGCCCCCTGTATTGCTTTGTTGCTTTCCACACATGCCCCCTTGGTTCCACGAACTTGTCCCTAGTGCCCCCTACCCCACCTGATTAGAAGCATTATTCAGACCAGCGCTTGGTATGACCCCCAGATAAATTATAAACATTCACAATTTATTCAAAAGCCACTTACAACTATTTAGCTGAATTAATTCATCAAAACTTTTTAACTTGGTCCAGAGATGCCTGGTTTTCAAAATCTGACAGTCCTTTGGCAAGAGTCTTGGGTACCACATTCAGCAAATTCAGTAAATTCCTAACACGATGGATGGATGATACCAGTGTCTGGTTTAAAGACCCTTAGCAGGAGCCGTAAATCACCACCCCCAGCACCTCCCTGACACCCACTTGCCTCTTAGCACCCCCACTAGGTAATTCCACTGTCTCCCCAGAGGGTGGGACCACTCCCTTCCTCTGGGAATTGTTGGTCTAGATCAGTGTTTCTCAACCCTGGGTCCCCAGATGTTGTTGCACTACAACTCCCATCATCCCTGACCTCTGGCCTTGCTAGCTAGGGATGATGGGAGTTGTAGTTCAACAACATCTGGGGACCCAAGGTTGAGAAAGGCTGGTCTAGATCTTTCCTGCCTTCCAGACAAGCTTGAGCCAGGAGGAACCTAACATTAAAAGGCCAGGGTGAAGGAAGAGCACCATCAAAGTCAGGGTGGTTTGAAGGTGCAGGGGTCCCTTCCCTCAAGGTCTGCTGCCTTACAGGGAATCCTTTCACAGCATGTGAAGAGCAAGGTAAGGGGGCAGGAGCTTTTCAGAGCTTGGTTGTCAAGAGTTGCTCCCCATAGAAACAACTTGCCAGCCGCTTGCAGGCCTCTGACCTCCCCCTCCCGCCCCAAATGCAATGGGGCAAGGGGCATTCCCAGCCTGCCTCCCCTTTCTGCCTGGCACATGGTGACTGCAGCACAGACATGCTCCTTGCCAACCTGCCAGGGCCACGGCTTCACTCGCCTTGCTGCAGTTTTGGCTTGGAGGCCAGTGCTACCTGACAGCAGCTGGTCGGAAGCCTGGAAGTGAGGGTTTGGTGCCAAGAGCCAGGGGTGGCGTTGTGGTTAGAGTGTTGGGCTAGGACCTGGGAGAAACCAGGGCTCAAATCCCACCCCCCACAACTCGGCCATGCTGCTGATCTGGAGCCAGGCACTGTCTCTCTCCGCCTTGCAGAGTTGTGGTGGAGATTAAATGGAGGGGAGAAGGATGAACATCACATTGAGCTCCCTGGAGGAAAGATGGGCTATTAAAATGAGTGAACGAGGCTTGGAGGTAAACGGCTGAGAAAATTATGTGAAGGTGGAAATATATGGGGGTGTGGTGGGGAGTGAAGCCTAACACCAAAATATTCAGCAGGGAAAAGCAGAATTTCTCCATCTCTCGATGATGGTGAAAAGGACACAGATGTCCTATTATCACAAAATCCAGGTGAGATTCAGGTCACAGCGCCAGGTGTGGGGTGAAACCATCCCACCTACTCCAGTGAACCAGTGGGTCTTGTGGGGAGAGAATTTTGTGCTGCAGCAGCGAAAGAGGCAAAGCCCATCCTCTGGGAAGAGATGCAGAGCGAAACAAGTATCTCGCTGCTGTGAGCTGCGCATGGGCATAGGCACATCAGGAAACGGGTTGCAGTTCCGACGGCCCCACTTCCCAGTGGGTATAGCAGGGCTGGGGAAAAGGGCCAACTGCCTTACTCCCCACCTCCAAAAAAGGGACAGATAAACCAACAGGTGTGATAAGGTGGGGGAGTCTGTAATAGGGGATAATACGAGAAAAGGTTAGGGAGGAGTGAGAGAATATTATTATTATAGAAAGGTCGCAGTGCTTGGGACTTAAATTTAGAGAAAACGTAAGTGAAAGAAGCTTCTAAAACTATTCATGCTATGGGGAAAATTCATAATGCTCGATAGAGCTCCCAGGCAGATAGCCACTGGTCAGGGATTCTGTAGCTATGATTCCAGCACTGCAGCGGGTTGGACTAGAGGACCCCTGGGGTACCCCTTCTATATAGCTATTATCTCCAATCACCTAGAGCTACTGCTTCACAAGTGCCCTGAAACATATCCCCCTCCCTGCTGACCACCAGGGCTGCTTGCACCATGAATGCAGAACGAAACACAGAACCACAGAGCTGGAAGGGACCCCCATAGCCACCTAGCCTGCAGGGAACCGGGGGCTGGTGTTGGGACGTGGGTCCAGTAATGCAGTGCCGTCTTTCTCTTTGGCAGAGAGCGCAGCCAGAGGTGTACGAGCCAGCCGCCCAGCTGCCTGGGCCCCCCAGCTGGCTGCCGAAGGAGAACTGGCTGGCAGAGCATGGCATGGAGCGGGGCCCCCTCAAGGCAGTGCTGCATGCTTCCCGGAACCGCCACCAGCTGCAGCCGTATCTGCAACACATCGCCAGCCACCACTGACCCCGCGGGCCCTCCCCACCCCCCCACCCCGGAAGAGGGCAGGCGCAGCAGAGAGATGGCCCCAGCCGGGGGCCTTCAAAACAGATTCCTTTGTAGCCACTAAATATATAGACTGTTCCTCGCTGCCCAAAGCTACTTGCTTTAATAAAAGCCACCTTACTCTTACTGAACTATGCGGAGCCCTGATGGCAGTGCGACAAGGTGCACCAGGCTGGATGGGGCGGAGGGGGGGGGGAAGTCCCCTCTATTCCAGAGCAAAAAAAGGCCTGCCAGTCTGTCTTGGCAAACTGCAGCCTGCCCCCCCCCACCGCCTCTATCCTCCCAGCAGCGCCAGATGCACACAAACACACTTGACCACAGCAATAATAAACTCTTTATCCAATTGCAGAAGGCGTTGGCGGCACGTTTGTCTAGGGACCGGTCCACGCCCCACCCAGACCAATGCATGGCTTCCCACCCTGGGCGATGGAAGGGTCTCAGTCCCACGGGGCAGCTTCTGCTTTTTAGGCCAGCCACTTGCTTGTGGGCCCCATCGGCCCATCTGCTAGTTGGGTGCTCATTCCCCTACCCTCGCCCTATGGTGGTTCAGACCGGCACAGCTCCTTGTGGGGCTGCCTATGGGGTTTGTGACCAAAGGGAGCGCCCAACAGAGGCTTCTCGCACCTGCTGCACTGTCCCACTTGCAACACAACAGCCCTGTGTTGTAAACAAAAATGTGCCCTTTTCCCCCTTATGGGTATCCAAGAGCCCATATAGAGTCCTTACGTAGGTTCCCTATTGGTAAGAGAAACTAACAGAGGCCAACCAGAGAATATTGAGAAGCAAAGCCTGATCTTTATTGATCTGTTGCAACAGGGTCCTCACTCACCACACACATGCAGGAGGGAGGAGGAACCTCGAACAATGGCACGCAAGGCCTTTTATAGACATTTGAAATTCCCTGCCCTGAAGCTCAAGACCACCCCTCCATGCACCATGCATACATCACAGAACAGGTGTAGCTAAAGACCACCACCCCCAGATACATCATACCTACATCACAGAAAGGGTGGTCTACAGCAGAAATCTGAGTGCTATGTTTACCTCCTGTCTGCCAGGTTACCTGTTTAATGGTCACTTGATTGGATTGCCTGGGGAGCCTGGCCAGTCTTTTGTAATGATAAATACTTAGTTCCTGAGCCAGGTCACAGGCTCATATCTTAAATGTGCCCTTAAGACAGGATTTGTGAAGGAAAAGACAATGGGGAGGCTTTTCCATTTTCCTTTGACCTGGCAGAGAAAACATTTGGGAAATGGTTTCAGGTCGGTCTTCCTGTGCTGATCTATGTACGTGCTTGGTTGGTACACTTATGAACATTTAAAATATATCTAAGACCTCAAAATTCCTATCACACCTGCAGGGCTACCAGGGGTTTTACAGCTGCTGCTACAAACCTGCTCGTTCTCTTGCAGCCCCAGGTGGGAACCTGGGACGAAGGGATGGCTTTTTGAAAGGTCCTGAGCCAGGGCACCCAGCACTGCTCCGTTCAACCGACAGCCCTGCGGTTTACTTGGGAGTATAGAAGCAGCCCACACTCTCTCCCAGACCTCAGAAGGGTGTGATGGTCACTTACAACTGCAGTCCTGAATTCCCAGTAGCCTGAATGCCAGGCAATCCTAAAGCCCTGAGGGTGGCCACTGCACACACGTTTCAGCTTCAAATTCAGGCACTTGCTGGGGAATAAAAGGAAAGGGAAGGGGGGAAGCAGGCAGAAGAGAAAGGCAGAAGATGAAATAACCTGAGCTCTGCCTCTGCAATGGAACAAATCCAAGCCGATCCACTACACTCCTTGTTCAAGTATCAGCAAGGTGGGTTGACTTCACAGTTTTTATTGTTTGACATTTTATTATGTTTTTATATTTTGCTGGAAGCTGCCCAGAGTAGCTGGGGAAACCCAGCCAGTTGGATGGGGTATAGGTAATAAAACTATTATTAATATTATTATGGAAGATCCTGCCTTGGATCCCTGATGTTGGAAAGGGAAAAGGGTCCCTTGATGTTGGGAGGGGCAGGAGCTGAAAGAAGCAGCCCAGCTTTGGAAAGGCTCCTTGCTCCCTTTCTCATGGGAGGAGGTGACTGTTGGCTCTGTGTGGTTAGGCTTCTCAATCCCTCAGGTACTCACTTTAAGTGCCCTCTTTGCCCATGAAGAGGCTTGGCAGGAGATCCCTGACACACAGGAATTGTGGGCAGCTGCCCTTTCTTTGCAAGTGCATTGGCAGGCAGCCACAGAATTATTAGAATCGTAGGTTGGAGGGGACCAACCTATGGAGGGGATCCCAAGGGTGATTTAATCCAACCCCCTGAAATGCAGGAACCTCAACTAAAGCATCCATAGCAGAGGGCCATGGAAGAGTCCTGGCAGGGAGAGGGTGTGGCAGGCCTTGGAAATGGCCTCTCTGGGGCACACAGAGAAGGAAGTTTCCCTGAGAGGACAGAGTCTCAAAGATGCGCATTCCCAGCATGTTTGCATTTCCGTCCCAATGATGTCTACGCTGGCTTGGTCAAGGCCGCAGAATGGAAGACAGCAGGATCCCCAAGGTGGGCTCTGTGGGGAGATGGCGTCAGGCACTAGGCTCACTGTGGTGTAGTGGTTAAGAGCGGTAGTCTCGTAATCTGGGGAACCGGGTTCGCGTCTCCGCTCCTCCACATGCAGCTGCTGGGTGACCTTGGGCCAGTCACACTTCTTTGAAGTCTCTCAGCCCCACTCACCTCACAGAGTGTTTGTTGTGGGGGAGGAAGGGAAAGGAGAATGTTAGCCGCTTTGAGACTCCTTAAAGGGAGTGAAAGGCGGGATATCAAATCCAAACTCTTCTTCTTCTTCTTCTTCACTGGCAGACCAAGTCTGCACTACAAAGATGTCTGCAAACATGACATGAAGACTGGTAACATCCATCATGTGGGAATCCCTTGCAGACAACCACCGTGCCTGGAGACAGACAGGTTGTGTGCCATAGCCATGACCAGAGGAGGAATGGCCGCTGGGAGGAACACAGAAGAAACGCCCTGGTGCATCTGCAGCAGCACAACAGGACGCCTTCCTCTGCCCCGGCTGCAAGAAAACATGTCTCTCCCGTATCGGTCTCTGCAGCCACAGCAGGTGCTGTGATTCTCCAACTGTTTGACTTCACCCCTGAAGGCGCACCCCTCCACTGTCTCTCGAGACAGACGGATGGCAACCATATCTCATACTTTCCAGTTAATTTCCCCATCACATTTTTTGTGGGGGTGGAATTGGTTTGTTGCCCAAGAGCCCTAAGTTGCAAAACCTGAATTTGGTAGTATGGGATTGAATCCCATCACGAAACAGCGACAATCTGGAAGCACCCCTACATGGTGGACAGGTTCAATTTTGGTATTTATTTTTATTATTATTATTATTATTATTATTATTATTATTATTATTATTATTGGATTACAGGGCAACTCTCGCTTCCTGCGGCTTCCAGCAACTGGTTTTCAGAAATACTGTACTGCTACCTTCGACCGCGGAGGCAGATCAGTTTCCAAGATTGCACGGCCATTGCCATTTGCAAATGACACAAAGGCAGCACTGCGGACGAGGGGGAGCCCAGTTTCGATCTGGGCTGCAGGAAGGACCCAGAAGAGTCAGGCAAAAATCTCTGCAGGCAGAATCAAAGAAGAAACTAACGCAGCAGTTTGGGGCATTCTCCTCCGGCCCTCGTCGCGGCCACCTAAGAGTTAATAGAGCAAGGGGAGGTACCATCAGACACCTTGGGGGACGGACGGATGCAGAGCAGAGGATTCTGACCTCTTTTCCCAGGGCACAACAAAAAAAAACCTCCACCCACTTTTTATCCCATTTTATTCCTTACTATTCAGGGCTACTGGGCCCACTTCCTTCCCTTGCCGCTTCAGAGTGCCCCCCTTCACTGGCTATAATGGTTCGTCCTGAGGGGGGTCGCGCCTCCCTTTGTCTCTGCCGTCCTGGGAAGGAACCATTCTCACAGAGGGGGGAAAGAGAATAGAAGAATTCGTTTTCCAAGGGCGGCGGTCAAAATCAAGCTGCCCACCCCCCGTCCGCCACAGAATAATTTTAAGTCAGGGGCATAAACTGGGAGCAGCGCTGCTCGGCTTTTCCGCGCTGTGAAGAACAGGCTTTCGCCGCCTCCTCTCCCGAGGGCAGATGGTACGGTCCCAGGTGGTGCTTAGGAGTTCCATTCAGGGGGCGGAGCCTCTGCCTCTGCTTTTAACTCGTTCTTTGCCGGCGAGGAGCTCGCAACCCCGGGGAAAAGGGGTGGGATGCTGTGAACCGCTCTGTGATTTTCAGGGCGAAGGGCGGCATATGTTAGTAAATAACCACAACAATAACCATAACCTGCTGGGCAGGGTCCCCCCGCCACCTCCGTCCTCCCACTCACAGTCTGGCTGCTGGGATCGGGTGGGCAGCAGGGAGGCGCTCTGCACGTGCTCAGAGGCGCAGCCACCACCCAGCAGGTTCCGGGGCGGAGGGGGCGCATCGTGAGCGGGAGCCCCGCCTGGGGGCCGTCTGGCCGGCTGCCGCGTCTCCGCCCCGCCCGGGGCTGCCGCTTGTCCCCGTCCGGAGGAAAGCGCCGCCGCCACGACAGCTGTTGCTCCGCCGGCCCGAGGTAAACGGGGGTGCGCGGCGGTGGGGCCGGGCCGGGAGTCCCTGGTGGGGCGGAGCCGCTTTTGTGGGGCGCACAGATTTCCGTCCCGACGAGACGCATTGAATTCCGATCGGGGCGCGTCTGGGGCTCTCCCTTGAGCTGGCCTGGAGGAGATCCCCCCTGTTTCTTTCTCCCACCCCAGCTTCCTATTCAGAAACAATCGGGCCCCGCCTGCCTTGCACCTGCGGGCTCCCGCGTCACGTCGGAATGGCGCCCTGGACGCGCGGGGGGCACCCCGGGTGCCCAAGGGCGTAGCACCCAGTCAACCGAGCGGGCGCGCTTCTCTTCCCCCGAGCCGGAGTCCAGCAGAGGCCGCCTCCCTGGAGCAGGTGGCAAGGTCAGGCCTTGCCCGACTCTCGTCAGCCCCACACGGCCAAAGGTCAGGCAGTTCGGCAGCATTGGAGGGCGCCACGTTGGCTACCGCTGCGAGGCTCTCCGAGCATCTCCCAGGTCTGAGAAGCCCCGAGCTGGAAGCGGGTTTGGGTCCCGCGACCCTCTGGGTGTCTCCTCCCAATCCGGATTACAGAAAGTGTCCTCCAGCTGAGTTCAGACCCATAAGGCAAAGACCACTGGGCAATCTAGGTTAGTATTGTCTGCACTGACTGGCAGGTGGGAGGACCATCCCAGTTTCCCCTGGAGATGTTTGAGGCTTCAACCAGAGAAGGGCCGTAGCTCAGCCGGAGGACACCTGCCTAGCATGCAGAAGGTCCCAAATTCAGTCTCCAGGCAGGGCTGGGAGAGTTCTGCTGCTGTCAATCAGTGTAGGCGATACTGGCTAGATGGCCTCACTCTGTATTCCTACGTTCCTGCATGCAGAGTGGATGCTGATAATGCTGAACTGCTTGGGGCTTCTTCCCCCAAAACCATGTGATTTGTTCCTGATAATTTTCGCTGTGTGTTGGCCTTCAAGACAGCAGTGTCAGCATTTCAGGAGAGAAGCCTTAGCTCAGCCGCAGAGCCTGGCTTCGTGTGAAGAAAGTCCCAGGTTTGGTTTCCAGCACTTCCAGTTTAAGGAAAAGGGCGGGGTTGGGAAGGCTCCCTTTCTCCTCTCCTAAGATAATTCTAGAGAGCTCAGCTGCTGCCAGCCACAGCATGCAATGCAAGGCTCAGTGGGGAAGTATGCTTCGCAAGTGAGGAAGATTTTTCAGTTTGAGGGCCGCATTCCCTTCGGGAATTAAATTTCTATACCGCCCTTCACTCCAAGACCGCAGGGCTGTTTACAATATAAAAACACAAAAATCAAAATATACAAAAATACAAATAATACAAGAAGAAGAAGAGGAGTTTGCATCTGATATCCTGCTTTATCTCTACCCTAAGGAGTCTCAAAGCGGCTAACAATCTCCTTTCCCTTCTATGTGGGGCTACCTTTGAAGGTGACCCGGAAACTGCAATTAATCCAGAATGCGGCAGCTAGACTGGCGACTGGGAGCGGCCGCCGAGACCATATAACACCGGTCCTGAAAGACCTACATTGGCACCCAATACGTTTCTGAGCACAATTCAAAGTGTTGGTGCTGACCTTTCAAGCCCTAAATGGCCTCAGTCCAGTATACCTGAAGGAGCGTCTCCACCCCCATCATTCTGCCCCGGACTCTGAGGTCCAGCACCGAGGGCCTTCTGGTGGTTCCCTCGCTACGAGAAGCCAAGTTACAGGGAACCAGGCAGAGGGCCTTCTCGGTAGTGGCACCCACCCTGTGGAACACACTCCAATCAGATGTCAAAGAGAAAAATAACTACCAAACTTTTAGAAGACATCTGAAGGCAGCCCTGTTTAGGGAAGCTTTTAATGTTTAATAGGCTATTGTATTTTGGTGTTTTGTTGAAAGCCGCCCAGAGTGGCTGGGGAAACCCAGTCAGATGGGCGGGGTATAAATAATAAATTATTATTATTATTATTATTATTCCTCCACCACAACAAACACTCTGTGAGGTGAGTGAGGCTGAGAGACTTCAGAGAAGTGTGACTGGCCCAAGGTCACCCAGCAGCTGCATGTGGAGGAGCGGAGACGAGTCCACCGCTCTAACCACTACACCACACTGGCTCATAAGATAGAGACTCAAGAGATTGCCTTGCCAGCACCCTCAGGGAAGAAGAAGAAGAGTTTGGATTTGATATCCCTTGCGCACCATTGTTCTGGGTTGTTCCTTCCTCCTTCGTTGTGGTGAGTGAGGACCCTGTTGCAACAGATCAATAAAGATCAGGCTGACTAGCTGCTTTGCTTCTCAATATTCTCTGGTTGGCCTCTGTTATTTTCTCCTACCAAAAGGGAACCTACGTAAGGACTCTATGGGCTCTTCGATACCCCATAAGGAAAAAAAGGGCAGATTTTTGTTTACAACAATTTGCATCTTTTAGAAAAAGAAGGAAAAGAAGGGGGGGGAATGTAAATTATGGGCATGGTGAAATACGAGAAAAGAAATTGCATCAATATAGATTTTATGATACGAAGCGTATTTGTTTTCTGTGGTCTGCCTTGCCAACTGCCCCATCAACACAATTGCTCCTAAGAGGCTGTTTCTGGTTAGTACAGCATGAATTTTTAAAAATGTAATAATTACAGTTATTTATATATATTGGTCCTTTACTAATAATCCCAGCGTGGTTTGACATCCAACCCAACCCTGCTTTTTCAAGTGAAATATGGGTCTGTCTGAAATGCCAACATTGTGGCATGAAACCCCAGAGAACATGGGCAGGAAGGCTACTCACTGGAGAAGACAGTGCACTCTGCACAAACTCAGAGACCCTCTCTTCCATGGCTGTACTTAATGGGTCCCAGGGCTGAGCCCAGAGGTTGCAAACTCGGAGTAAGTCCTAATTTTGAGAGCCACTGGCACAGCTGACCCTTCCCTCCTTCATTCCTTAACTTACTTTTTAAAATGGGTCTCTCTGTGGGCAGCTGCTGAGTTGAAGTAGGTTTGAACTGGGCAGCCCCTTGGTCTGCGGTGCTTTCATTTAAAAATATATATTAAGTTCCTCACACAACCTTGATGGCAGAAAGTGAGGAGGAATTAAAGAACCTTTTAAAGAGGGTGAAAGAGGAGAGCGCAAAATATGGTCTGAAGCTCCACATAAAAAAACCAAGATCGTGGCCACTGGGCCCATCACCTCCTGGCAAATAGAAGAGGAGGAAATGGAGGCAGTGAGAGATTTTACTTTCCTGGGCTCCATGATCACTGCAGATGGTGACAGCAGCCACAAAATTAAAAGACACCTGCTTCTTGGGAGAAAAGCAATGGCAAACCTAGACAGCATCTTAAAAAGCAGAGACATCACCTTGCCGACAAAGGTCCGTATAGTTCAAGCTCTGGTTTTCCCAGTCGTAATGTATGGAATTGAGAGCTGGACCATAAAGAAGGCTGATCGCCGAAGAATGGATGCTTTTGAATTGTGGTGCTGGAGGAGACTCTTGAGAGTCCCATGGACTGCAAGAAGATCAAACCTCTCCATTCTGAAGGAAATCAGCCCTGAGTACTCACAGTGTTCTCAAAGCTACCAGCATGAGTTTGACCAAACTGCGGGAGGCAGTGGAAGACAGAAGTGCCTGGCGTGCTCTGGTCCAGGGGGTCACAAAGAGCCAGACACGACTAAACAACAACAAATCCTGTTGCTCACAGCCTTAACCCAGCCCTTGTGACCCAGATTAGAGCAGGAAGTTACACTCCTTTAATCCAGCTGCTGGTTTTGCATTTTGGAGGAGTTTTTGCTCTCCTCTATAATTGCCTGGGCTGACTCACAGTGCCTGCCTGCCCGCCCTGCAAGCCCTTCCCACCCCCACTCTCCTTGGGACTTGGCCAAGCCTTTGTCCGAACCATGTGGAGGGCACCAGGTTGGGAAAGCCTGCTTTAAGGGCATGCAAAAGAAAAGGGGGGGGGGTGTTTTTCTGTGCAGAATTTCAAGTAGCTCCCTTGGTCTACTTCACATTCTTCTCCTCCTCCTCCTCCTGCTCCATAGGCATCTGTTTGCTTCTGGCAGAAGCCCAAACCTCACCTGTGTTTTTGCTTCATGCTTCCATTCTTTGCCAGGACAGGGGGCAGGGATTGAGAATGCTGGAAGTTTCAGGACAGATAAAATGAAGTATTTATTTGCGCAGCACATAGTTGGGTTTTTGTTTTTTTTGTTTTTGTTAGTTTTATTTTTGTCTGTGTTTCGCTGGGTATTACATTAATTTCATTTTCATAATATGCTCTTATTTTTTTATGAAATATTCTCTTGATTTACAAAAGTCTGTGCAGTGTATCTCTCTTGTATATTCCCCCTCCCCCCATGTAACATTTTTACAAATCAGTTTCATTTGTTGAGACATTGGGAAGAAAAGGGGGAAAGAGGTAGAGAGGGGGAGATGTGGTCGTGTGGCGATGTTTCTATTTTGCTTAATGTATGTAGGATTTGCTGTCAGCGTCGCTTGTGCAGGTTCTCTGCTGTTCGCTTGTGTTCCTTTGGTGGTGAGAGAGGTTGGGGTTGGCCATGGGTGGTTTTTTTTTGTGATTGGCTGTTTTGGTCCTTGTTTTCATGTGTGAGTGGGGTGGGTGGGTGTTTTGGATCAGGTCAGCCATATTGATTTGTAGAGAAGTAGAGAAGATGGGCAGAGATGCAGAGGCTTGTGGGCTGTTAGCAGAAATTATTGTCAGTGACTCAAGCCCAGTCAAGCAAGGCTTTCATCGTGGACACAATGGCGTGTTCCATTTTTCATAATTCCTCATAGCAATCCCACCTGACCGGAGGGTGCCTCCTTGGTTCTGGCCCTCCCCAATTCCCCCCACAGTCAAAATCCAGCACAGCTGCTGAGTCCCTTGCTGACCTTGCAGAGAATGCTGGGGCTCTGGGCTGCCCAGGTGTGATCCTGCGCTTGAGGCCGCATGAGGCATCTTGGCCAGTTGTCGGTTTGCCTTTGGCTACCAGGGAGATCCGGCCACAACTACAGCTCTTCCGTGACGCTGTAGCGGCCTTCACTCTCCTCCTTGTCTCCTTCCCAGGCCTCCTGAGGTTTTTCCTGCTCGTTCCGCCTCGGCCATGAAGCCCCATGTCACCTACCACCAGGTAAATCCTTGCTTGCCTAAATCGGGTGTGTCCAAAGGGATGGATCACACTAAACAGTTGTACCAGCAGGAGCCAGTGCAAAGAGTTCCACTGCTCCCCCAGAACAGTGCACAGGGGGCAGGAGGGAACCTCGTTCTGTTTGGTACCCTCAAGAGCTGGGATAACTCAGTTGGGAGAACGTGAGTCTCTTAATCTCAGAGTCGTGGGTTCAAGCACCACACTGGGCAAGAGATTCCTGCGTTTGAAGCGGGCTGGACTAGATGACCCCAGGGTCCCTTCCAATGCTATGATTCTAAGTGCTTGCATTGACAATCATAAAAGTGCGACACTGAACTCCTCCCAAAGGCTGGACGTACAGCAAGTGTGTCCCTGCCCCCCAGCCTAATGAATGAATGAATCTTATTATTTCGGTCACAGACCAGTTCCAGCCCACATACAATATCAAGGAAGTCATAAAACACGATAGGGATACATTTGAATTTGAAATTAGGTATAACAGGGACAAAACAGATATAGGAACAGTTAAAAAATATATACATTAAAACTTAGTCATTAACATATAACCTAAAATTATCATTTCAAACCTTAATCATTATGATAGCACAGCTTGTTCCCTAAGTTTTATGGCAATCGCACAGAATTTAGCTACCCTTAAAGTGATCTCAGGCTCCTTGTCCCCTACCAGGGATTTTAGACAGGGATCCATTTGGAGATTTTTGCATAGCAGGGGTAATAAATACCGAGCATATATCCCCATAGAAATGACAGCATAACAAGGCATGAGAGACAGCAGCCTAATGATTTGTTTGTTTATTTTGTAAAATATATGCACTGCTTTTTTGCAAAAGGGAAAAAGCCCTCAAAATTTGCAAAAAAAGTTAAAACCATAACATTATCATCATTCATCATTTTTAATTTGTATACCGCCTTTCTATCTTACAGTACTCAAGGCGGTTTACGCGCTGAAGAAACAAAAAATGTACATCTTATAACAATCTAATGCAATACAAAAATGTGATAATAAAACATAACTTTAAAATAGGCAACCTACATCAAAAAAGTAACATTCAATAATAATTAGAATATTATAAAATAATATCAGCATATAAAAGTTAAACAGAAATCCACTCAACAGTTACAATAATATCTAAACTATAAACAATAAAACGGCAAGCCACAGTACATAAAACAATACAATACGCATTGAGAAGCAGAGGATAGAGCAAGGCAGGTGGAAGGAGGCCTTGCCTGATGGAGTCTCTCCCCTCACCGTAAGGGAAATTAACAGCAGTGATTTAAGGCTCTCAAAAAGGTAAAAGCACCAAGTAGGGTAAAAACAGACTAGAGCTCGCATCTCAGGGTTGTGTGTTCAATCCCTATGTTGGGCAAGAGATTCGGGGTCCCTTCTAACTCTACAATTCCATGATCACCATTCTAAGCATCTGGACAGGCTTGTCTAAAGGAAGATGCTTTCAGCAGGTGCCGAAAAGAGCACAGAGAAGGCGCCTGCCTGGTGTCAAGAGGCAGGGAGTTCCGAAGGTTGCAGTCTGCCACGCTAAAAGGTCAAAGTTCTAACAAAGGCAGGACAGGGATCGTGTTGCATCTGTGACAGGGACAGGTCTGCCAGTTTCCTCCCTTTCCTCTCGCATCAGCTCCACTGTGATGAATGGGAGCCGGGGGAGCTAGTTGCGCAAGCCCCATTCCCCTTGAGGAGGCAGGCCTCCCCCTCGTAAATGTGTGGGGAAAGGGGAAGCCAGCTGGGCTTCCTGCCTCCAGCTCTGACGTGGGGCTGGATGTCCGCAAAGGGGTCGCAGGTGAGTCCATCTGCACACACGGCGGATCCTGAGATCCTGCTGCCTGGAGTTCCCAGGGTGTTTCATCTCTCCGTTTCCTTCCTTTCAGCTGAAGTCGCTGCACAGCCCTGAGGAGCCCCCACTGACCCAGCAGCCCAGCTTGGCTCCAAAGAAGGTTAGTCTCCTCCTCTTCCTCCCCTTCCAGGTTCTGGTGACGAGCCTGAGCTGGGATAAAGTCCCATCTCCCCCCCCCCCCTCAAAACACACCTCTCAAGCCATGGAAAAAGAGGCACAGTCCTATAAATGGATCAATAACTGGTTAAGGAACAGTTTGGCCCACAGAAGAATGCAGAAACTGGAGTCCCCCAAAGATTAGCATTGTGACCTGTGCAGTGGGGACCCCCCTTCACTCCAGACCTGGGTCTGGCTGCAATTATTATTATTATTATTATTATTATTATTATTAACCCTGCCCATCTGGGCAGCTCCCAACAGAAAATTAATAATAATAAAGTGATAAAACATCAAACATTGAAAACTTCCCTAAACAGAAATTATTATTATTAGTAGTAGTAGTATACTGCCCTATACCCACAGGTCTCAGGGCGGTTGACAAGATAAAATTGCAATATGAAAACAAAAAAATACACAATCAAAATAAAAACAAGAACAACCCAATAATCTCCGGCTTCCACAACACATTTCAAAAGGGCACTGGATGTCAGTCAGCCAAAGTCCTTGTTAAAGAGGAACGTTTTGAATCAGCATACACAAATTTATTGGTTGATAGCATGGTAGACAGATAATGTAAAGATATGTATAATTTTATAACATGCAGAGAATAACATGTGCTGAGAAATCAGAGAGGAACTGAGGGAAGTTGGGGGGAGGGGGTTTGAGGGGGTGGTGGGAAAAAATGGGGAAAGAATAATGAATATGATATGTTTTGATATTTTGCTTTGGTGAAATTGTTAACAAAAACCTTAAAAAGAAGTAGTGCCGGACGCCCATTTCCGTCCCTCTTTCTCCTTCGCAGGACTTCCGCTGTATCCTCGTGGTGGCCATCCTCTCGACGATGCTGGCGACCGCCCTCCTTTTCCACATGTTCATCCTCCCCTTTCATGGTCTGACCTCGGCAGGGAAGGAGGCGGCTGCCGGGCCTTACCTGGGCAACAGGTGCAACGATCCCTGCAGGTGAGGGCTCTGCCTGCGGCGAGGTTGTTCTGGGCCTCTTCTTGGCACAGTTATTGCCCTTGGAGGGGGTTAAGGTTAAGGTAAAGGTAAAGGGACCCCTGACCATTAGGTCCAGTCGTGGCCGACTCTGGGGTTGCAGCACTCATCTCGCTTTATTGGCCAAGGGAGCCGGCGTACAGCTTCCGGGTCATGTGGCCAGCAGGACTAAGCCGCTTCTGGCGAACCAGAGCAGCGCACGGAAACGCCGTTTACCATCCCGCCAGAGTGGTACCTATTTATCTACTTGACTTTGACGTGCTTTCGAACTGCTAGGTTGGCAGGAGCAGGGACAGAGCAATGGGAGCTCACCCCGTCACAGGGATTTGAACCGCCGACCTTCTGATTGGCAAGTCCTAGGCTCTGTGGTTTAACCCACAGCACCACCTGCGTCCCTGGAGGGGGTTATAATGAATTACGGTAATTCAATTTGTATAATGCCCTGTGCCCATAGATCTCAGGGTGGTTCACAACATAAAACGACAATATGAAAAACAGAAATGGCATAATAAAAAATTTAAACAAAGCATGAGCTGCTTCTCCACTGAGACTGTGACTTACGGAGTAAATGCTGTTCTTTTTTCTTTTCTTTTTTTCATAATATTTTTATTAAATTTTCAACAAAAATAACAAAAACAAAAAACACACACTAACAAATGCAGTAACAGCCACAAACAAAGAAAAATATACATAAAAACAATATCAAATCCCGTGATTTGCCTCCCCCACCTCACCCCTGGTTCCTTAAATTTTCTTTTCTGCTGTGTATCATTTCTACTCCAAATTAGTATTTTTTACCTCAGATTCCTAAAATTACAAGTGTTTTTAAAATCCTTCCAATGTATTAACCTGTTTCCAATACTTTTGCAAATACATAATAAACATTTCCCATTCTTTTTTAAATTTCTTGTCATTTTGATTTCTGAGCTTTCTGATTAGTTTCGCCATTTCAGCATAGCCTATTAACTTGGGTTTGCCAGTCTTTTTTGGTCGGGACTGCTTAAACGTTCCAGAGTAAACGCTGTTCAACTCTCTGAGATTTATAGCTGAGGGACAGGGCAGCGCATGGGGGCCATGTGGAAATCTCTGGAGGCCGGGATGGCGATAAGCACAATTCATTCTCAGCTTGGCAACCTTGCAAAAAGAAAAAGGTGCCTAGACTAGGGTTACCAGACATCGCCTGTTCCTGGGGACAGTCCTCGGATTTGCCAATCTGTCCCCGAACAAACTCCGTCCCCGGAATGTCCCCAGATTTGCAAATCTGTCCCCGGGAAATGTGGCAGCCTCAGCAGCCTGGAGCCAGCCTCATAGCGCAGTTGGCTCTGGCTGGCTTCAGGAGCTGCTCGCTGCTGTGGCGCCCACCATTTTTCCTCAGCAGAAGTCCCGATATGATGTGTTGCACACAAGACACATCATATGTGTACTTCCAGTGAGGAAAAATGATGGGCGCCACAGCAGTGAGCAGCTCCTGAAGCCAGCCAGAGCCAACTGCGCTACCAGACTGGCTCCAGGCTCCTGACTGCCGCTGCTGCCACCACTGCCAAAGGGGAACTGGAGACGTCCGGTGGTACAGATCTCCTGCCCCCTTCCTCCTTTGTTTTGACTGATAAGGGGAGGCTCGGGAACTGTGGGTGGGCGGGCGGGCATTGCCCAGTTTTTAAAAAACTCTGTACATTTATGTTTCACAGGGTGCGAAAGAAGGGCTTTGCACCTTTATACAATATGCATGTTTGCTTGGGTCCAGGGTCTTTTGCCTCACCATCCCCACTACTGACTCCCCGTTGCTACACAGCTTAAAAAAACAAAATAGTGTCCCCGGATTCATTGAAAAAAATCTGGTAGCCATAGCCTAGACATTGCATTGTGGCAACTGTAATCTGGGTTTTAAGGTGTTGTTTGGCGAATAGCTTACGTATCTGAGTTTCTAACCCTGCCTGCAATAATAAAACACCCGAGAAAGTTTAGATTGGCATGCACACGGTTGTGAATCATAGCTGTCAACTTTTCTTGTGAGGAATCCTATTCGGAATAAGGGAATTTCCCTTTAAAAAAGGGAACAGTCGACAGCTATGTTGTGAATCTTCCAGGCCAACCAACCTGCAGCCCAAGGAGACTTGCAAGGGGAGAGGATGTCTTGCCCCCCCCCCACTCTTGCAAAAACTGCCCTTCCTCTCCTCTTCTTCCTCCTCAGGAGTGTCCTGGTGGAGAGCATCCCCGAGGGTCTGACGTACGACGACAACAGCACCCTCAACCCTTCCATCTTCGACGCCTGGAAGACCCTCCTGGGAGACGCCAGCCGCAGTGTGGACATCGCCTCTTTTTACTGGACCCTGAGCAACAAGGACACCGGTACCCAGGACCCCTCGGCCAGCCAGGTGAAGAGCTCTCTCTGGAAACGGCCTGGGTCAAGGGCCATCATGGCTCAGGGGTGGGGGGCACCAGAGGGTCCTGGGTTCGGTCCCCGGGGGCATCTCCAGGTGGGGCTGGGGGGGCAGCCCATCTGACACCCTCGAGAGGCGCTGCTGCTGCTGCTGCCAGCTGGTGCAGGCAGTCCTGAGCGAGGTGGAGCGCTCTGTGCCCGCTGCTTCCTTTGCTGTAGAATGGCTTTCCGAAGGGTTGCTCTGCCTTCTTCCAGCAAGCCTTCCCAGGGGTTGCAAATAGGAATATGGAGTCTTTTCCACACTGGCCTGGTGGAACGCTCTGCCTCATGAGACCAGGGCCCTGCTGGATCTGATTTCTTTCTGCAGGGCCTGTAAGACAGAGTGGTTCTGCCTGGCCTTTGGCTTGGAACCAGCCTGATCCCCTCTTTCCTTTTCCTTCTGTGATGGAACCCCTATTTGGGGACTTCCCTGGCTTTTTTCTGGCCACGTAGGACCAGTCTGGATAGTTGGCCTTGGTGAAGATTTGACGTTTTCATCCCCCCAAACAGTTTTTGATCAGGGCTTCCACCGAAATGAGGCTGCATTTGAAGTAGTATTTTAATTTTGTTTTTAAGTTGTATCTTAGGGATGTGGGTGGCGCTGTGGGTTAAACCACAGAGCCTAGGACTTGCCGATCAGAAGGTCGGCGGTTCGAATCCCCGCGATGGGGTGAGCTCCCGTTGCTCGGTCCCTGCTTCTGCCAACCTAGCAGTTCGAAAGCACGTCCAAGTGCAAGTAGATAAATAGGTACCGCTCCGGTGGGAAGGTAAACGGCGTTTCCGTGCGCTGCTTTGTTTTGCCAGAAGCGGCTTAGTCCTGCTGGCCACATGACCCAGAAGCTGTACGCCGGCTCCCTTGGCCAATAAAGCGAGATAAACGCTGCAACCCCAGAGTTGTTCGCTACGGTCAGGGGTCCCTTTACCTTTACTAAGTTGTATTTTAATCAATTGGTTTTATACCTGATATTAGCCGCCCTGAGCCCGGTCTTGGCCGGGGAGGGCGGGGTATAAATAAAATTAATAAATTAATAAATAAATACCCAGCACATTCCCTATTTCAACACGAAAAGTACCCCTTGGTTGATCAATCCAGACAGCCCCCCCCCCGGCTGCTGCAGCTGTTTTTTTGTGGTGAAGTTAAACCATTCACTCTTACGTGTAAAACGAAGCCGAAATGGGATCCGTAGTATTTTATGTACTGTATTTTTTGCTGTATAAGACGCACCAGACCACAAGACGCACCTAGTTTTTGGAGGAGAAAAACAAGAAAAAAATATTCTGAATCTTAGAAGCTAGAACAGCAAGAGGGATCGCTGCGCAGTGAAAGCAGTGATCCCTCTTGCTGTTCTGGCTTCTGGGATAGCTGCGCAGCCTGCATTCGCTCCATAAGACGCACACACATTTCCCCTTACTTTTCAGGAGGGAAAAAGTGAGTCTTATAGAGCAAAAAATACGGTACTTATCGCATTTCTAGCTCACCTTTTTTCTCCAAGGAGCTGTCATGGTCCTCCTCCTCCTCTTCCTCATTTAATCTTCCCAGCGACCCTGTGAGGTAGACCAGGCTGAGGGTCAGCAACCGGCCCAAGGTCACCCAGTAAGATTCATGGCCGTGGGGGGTGGGATTTGAACCCTGGTCTCCCAGATCCTTCTCCAACACTCTGATCCTCACAACAGCCTTGTGAGGTAGGCCAGGCTGAGAGGCAGGGACTGGCCCCCAAGGTCACGCAGGGAGTGGGGGGTTTGGACCTGGTCTCTCCCAGGGCCTAGTCTGGCTCTCTAACCACTACACCACACTGCCTGCTGGTGTGTCTGAAAAGGTGGCTGCCTGCCTGTGCCAAAATATGCAGCAGCGAAGGCACTCAGCGCCTGGCAGACCCTGTCAAACCCGCTTGCAAACAGGCATCTAATTGCCTGGGGTGGCGGCGCCTCCTTCAGCCTCTGTGCCCATCAAAGGGCCCTTTGAGGAAAGCAAAACATCCGTTTTTCGCATGTCGGTCACGGCCTGCGCCTGCGGGCGTCTTGGAGAGGCAGGCGCTAAATCGCAGAGCCTCCCAAGTTGCAGATGATCTGAAAAAGGCAGCTCCAAACACAAACGCAGCGTTGGAAATTATTACATTGGGGGGACAGTGGCGGTTCAGTGGTTAGAGCAACCTGCTTTCCGGGGCAGCCGATGTAGTGTCATGTTTAGAGGGCTGGACTTGGACCCGAGAGAGACTAGGGTTCGAATTCTCGCCCCTTGCCCCTGCAGGTCACTGGGTGCGACCTTGGGGGCCAGTCACTCCTCCCGGCCGACCTCACAGGGTCGTTGTGGGGCTTCAATAAGAGGAGGAGAGCCATGGATGTTGCCTGGAGGTCCTAGGAGAAGAAGGTGGAATAGAAAAGTAATAAATGTGGTGGATGACAGGTTCATCCCCCTGGGGGCGACTGGGAAAGGCTCCCCAAGCCTAAACCCTGGGGAGCTGCTGCCAGCCAGTGTGGAGCTATATGGGCCAACGACATGTCCCATAGGCAGTGTATTTTGCTTTGATGAGCATTGAACACAAAGCCTCCCTGTGGGGTCCGGCTTGTTAGAGATTTGGCTGGTGGCTGCCTGGCTCTCTCGTCAGCAGGGGAACAAAATGGGTGCCCCCCCCCCCATGCACTAGCCAACCTGAGATCTAAGATGCGCAGTCCTGGCTTGCAGCCTCAAAACAGTTGCAAACTAAGAGGATTTAGCCTCTGGCTGGATGAGGGGCACGTTTTTGAAGAGCTCAGCTTCCAGTTTCCCCATTTGGGTGGGTAATGTGCAAATTCATGATGTTCCTCTCCTGCCCCCAAAATTCAAGATGTCTCTATCCCACCGCAAAACAGAATCATAGAGTTGCAAGGGACCTCCAGTGGTCATCTGGCCCAACCCGCAGTTGAAGGACTCATCCCAAACCATTTGAAAGGGTTCAATCGGCGGGACAGATCCTGCACCTGGGAATGGGACGGCCTGTCCAGGAAGGGCCCTGTTCACCTGGCCTGGATCGTGGCCGCTGACAGACCCCTCCCTTTTCCCACAGGGGGAGGAAATCCTGGCAGCGCTGAGGGAGGTGCCCAGCAGAGGCGTCACCTTGCGGATAGCCGTCAATCCTCCTTCCTCCCGGATGCCCTGCTCTGACCTGCAGCCACTGGAGGAGAGCGGTGAGAGAGAGAGAGAGAGCGCGCCCGGATTTCAGCACGGGGGTGGTGATGGGGGGCGGGGTCTCCTTTCTGCACCCCCGAAAAAGACAGTAATAATAATAATAATAATAATAATAATAATAATATATTCTTTACACCCTGCCCATCTGGCTGGGTTTCCCCAGCCACTCTGGGCGGCTTCCAACAAAATATTAAAAACACAATAAAACATCAGACATTAAAAACTTCCCTAAACAGGGCTGCCTTCAGATGTCTTCTAAAAGTCAGATACAGTGGACGCTCGGGTTGCGAACGTGATCCATGTGGGAGGCACGTTTGCAACCTGCAGCGTTCGACACCCGCAGCGCCGCGTCTGCACACGCGCGGTTTGTGATTCGGTGCTTCTGCGCATGTGCAAAGTGCGATTTAGTGTTTTTGCGCATGCACAAGTGCCAAAACCCGGAAGTAACCCGTTCTGGCGCAGTGCGCAACCCAAAAACATGCAACCTGAAATGTCTGTAACCCGAGGTATGACTGTAGTTATTTATTTCCTTGGCATCTGATTTTACTGATGGTTTTAATGCAACTACCAAAAAAAAGGGGGGGGGGAGAATTCAGAAAGGAGGGACAGGAATTCAATAAGAAAAGGTGTAACGAAACAAAACAAAAGATGCATGTTTGGAGTTATGTAATAATGGGGGAGATTTAATAAAATCCAGAATCAAAAGGCTTTGAATTCAGGGGCTGCTTTAAGCTTAGAAGATGACAGAGATGGGTAAAATTATGTAAGAGACTTTCCCCCCTTGCTTGTAATGCTAGGACAAGGAGCCCCCCCACCATAGAAGGGGCTTTCTCTTGCAAGAGATTCAGGCCAGACCTACTGAAAGGGCTCAATTACTATTGGTCGCTTGCAGGATCAGAGAGGCAGGTCCTCGCCCCGAGGAGCTTACACTCTTAAAACCAAGTGTATGGGCTGGATTTGCGGGCGAGGCTGTAAAAGGTGCTGAGAACTAGCAGCTCCCTTCCTTGTCTTGTTCCCAAACTCCTCCAGGCGCCCAGATCCGCAAAGTCAACTTCCCGGAACTGACCGGGGGCGTCCTGCACACCAAATTCTGGATCGTGGACCAGCAACACATCTTCCTTGGCAGCGCGAACATGGACTGGCGTGCCCTCACCCAGGTGATGCCCGCGACCCTCAGGGAGGGGTGGGGGCCCCCTGTCCTGGCCTGTGAGGCTGGGGCCAGGGTTATTATCTTTACGGGACGGTTGGGACCTGGCCTGATAGTTTCTGTAGTCACCTGCTAGAGAGAGTCCACCTCTCTCATCAGAAGTGGGGGCTCAGGGGTTCCCCTCGGCTGCAGCAGCACCCCAGTTCCGGAATGGCTTCCCCAAGGAGGGAGGGAGGGAGGCCCACCTGGAGGCCAACATGATGTTGTTGTTGTTTAGTCGTTTAGTCGTGTCTGACTCTTCGTGACCCCCTGGACCAGAACATGCCAGGCACTCCTGTCTTCCACTGCCTCCCGCAGTTTGGTCAAACTCATGTTAGTAGCTTCGAGAACACTGTCCCACCATCTCGTCCTCTGTCGTCCCCTTCTCCTTGGGCCCTCCATCTTTCCCAACATCAGGGTCTTTTCCAGGGAGTCTTTTCTTCTCATGAGGTGGCCAAAGTCCTGGAGCCTCAGCTTCAGGATCTGTCCTTCCAGTGAGCACTCAGGGCTGATTTCCTTCAGAATGGATAGGTTTGATCTTCTTGCAGTCCATGGGACTCTCAAGAGTCTCCTCCAGCACCAGAATTCAAAAGCATCCATTCTTTGGCGATCAGCCTTCTTTATGGTCCAGCTCTCACTTCCATACATCATTACTGGGAAAACCATAGCTTTGACTATATGGACCTTTGTCGGCAAGGTGATGTCTCTGCTTTCCAAGATGCTGTCTAGGTTTGCCATTGCTTTTCTCCCAAGAAGCAGGCGTCTTTTAATTTCATGGCTGCTGTCACCATCTGCAGTGATCATGGAGCCCAAGAAAGTAAAATCTCTCACTACCTCCATTTCTTCCCCTTCTATTTGCCAGGAGGTTATGTTGGGAGGCCAACATAATATATAATAATTTATTACTTATACCCCACCCATCTGGCTGGGTTTCCCCAGCCACTCTGGGCGGCTTCCAACCGAATATTAAAAACAATACAGCATCAGACATTAAAAACTTCCCTAAACAGGGCTGCCTTCAGTTGTCTTTTAAAAGTAAAATAGTTGTTTATTGCCTTGACATCTGCTGGGAGGGCGTTCCACAGGGAGGGCGCCACTACTGAGAAGGCCCTCTGCCTGGCTCCCTGTAGCTTGGCTTCTCGCAGCGAGGGAACCTCCAGAAGGCCCTCAGCGCTGGACCTCAGTGTCCAGGTAGAATGATGGGGGTGGAGATGCTCCTTCAGGAATACAGGACCGAGGCTGTTTAGGGCTTTCAAGGTCAGCACCAACACTTGGTTCGCCTCCAGGTGTGCAGGGGAAATTCTTTTTACTCGCCCGGACATTAGGCAATCATATGAGCAGCTGCTTTTAGTAAATAAAAATAAAACCAGCATCTTATCTCCCGCCTTTACTCTGGGTGTCTTTTTCGACGTATTTGTGTTCATGCTGTTGTGAACTGGCCTCCTATCAAATCCAGCAAGGTGAACGGTGGCATCTTGGCATTTTTAAGTCAGCCTTTGCCAACCGGGCACCCTCCATGTGTTGTTGGGCTGCAGCTGCCCTCCTCCCCAGCCAGGATCACTGTGCTGCTCCAAACCTTGGCGTCCTACGGCTTTGCTGCAGATAATAGCCCAAAGGAGCAGCTCGGAGTTAAACTGTGGAACTCCCCGCCACAGGAGGCAGCCATGGCCACCAACTTAGATGGCTTTAAAAGAGGAATAGACCAATTCATGGAGGAGGCGATGGCTCTCGAAGGCTCCTAGCCAGGATGGCTCTGCAGTCGGATGCAGCAATGCTTCTGAATGCCAGGTGCTGGAAACCACAGGAAGGGAGAGTTTCTCTTCTATTTTAATCCTGCTTGTGTGTTTCCCATTGGGGCATCTAGTTGGCCCCTGAGAGAACAGGGTGAAATAAGGCAATGACAGTTAAGGATTTGGGAATATTGGATCTGTTTTTAAATGTTTGTGGTTTACTTTTGTTTTTTGGATTTTGATGTGTTTTGTCTTTGTCTATTTTTTTTTATTGATTTGTATTGTTTGACTGCTGTTTGCTTTTCCCTTGTTTTCTCTTCTTCTTTGTCTCTTTGTTTTTTCTGTAACTTTAAAATGCTTAATAAATATCATTTAAAAAAAAAAGAGAGAGAACAGGGTGCTGGGCTACATAAGCCATTGGCCTGGTCAAGCAGGCCGTTCCTATGTTCTTATGGAACCTCCAGGCCCAGAGCATAGATGTCAACTTGCAGATTTGAAAATAAGGGACCAGCAGCCTCAAAAATAAGGGATCAGCAGCCAAAATAAGGGATTTTGCGAACACAGGTATGTTCAGCTTCTGAGCCCCTCCGAGCCAAAGGCAGAAAGCCCTGCCAGCAGCCAAACGAAGCCTCAAGCGGTGATTCCCACAGCGCAGCAACCCGGCAAAGGGGATGCAGCAAGGAAAACCACCGTCACCTCTCCGCTGGGAAGCGCTGAGCAAAGGCAAGTCCCCAGGCAACGCAGCCGATTTGATTGGCACAAGGCATGCAAGCTCCACCCCCCCAGCCGTTCATAGACTCCTTATTGGGTGAGCAACGCAGCCAAGCAACACAGTTGGAGCCTCCCTCCTCCCTGGCCGGCAGGCAGGGAGGGAGAGGAGCTGCTTCCTTTGAAACCCGGGAAATTTAAGGGACATCATCAATAAGGGACAGCAGCGGGACACGGCGCTGGGATAAGGGACTTTCCCGCCAAATAAGGGACGCTTGACAGCTATGGACCAGAGGCAGTCTGTCTCAATTTCTTGGTTCTTAGGGGCGTTTGGCCTCTGGGAGGCCAGACTAGATGGAGGCTCTTTGGCTTGATCCAACAGCTGGGCTCCTCTTATCTTCTTATCAGGGCACCAGGTTGCCAAAGGCTGCTTGAGTCAAGGTGGGACTACTACCCTCTGGGGCTGATTTCTATATATATATATATATATATATATATATATATATATATATATATACACACACACATTATTATTATTATTATTTAACACATCATTTCCAACAATCATATAACATAACTTCTTATCTTACACAATATTTTAGACTTCCGTCAACACCTCTGATGATTTTCCGTTCTTTACCACTTTCTCTGCATTTCTTAATTTCTCTTTTACTCTTAATTATCATTAACTAATAATTCTCCTCATAGTCTTTCTTGCAATATTTCAAATAGTCCTCCTTACAGAACATCTTGCAGTCCTGCTAGCGTAATCTGTTCATTACAATTGCTTTTCAAATAGTTCATGTATTTAGTCTTCTAAGAATCTCTGGTCCCGCAGCTTTCGAATCCTTTCATTAATTTATCCAATTCTGCATAGTCCATCAACTTCATCCACCATTCTTCTTTTGTCGGTAATTCTTCTTGCTTCCGTTTTTCCTCTGGGGCTGATTTCAGGTGTCCCGGCTGCTTCTCCCCATAGATCCTGCAGCCTGCATCAACTGCGCCTGGGCTGTATCCCGTGGCCTCCTGCTAACCTCTCCCTTTCTCGGCCCCTAGGTGAAGGAGCTGGGCATGGCTATCTACAACTGCAGCTGCCTGGCCCAGGACTTGGGGAAGATGTTCGAAGCCTACTGGGCTCTGGGTCTGTCCAACGCCACCATCCCGTCGCCCTGGCCGGCCAATTACTCCACCTCCTATAACAAGGAGACGCCGCTGGAGCTGGAGCTGAACGGCACGGAGGCCGGGGTCTACTTCACGGTGAGATGGGAAGGCAGGGGCTCCCTCTGCTCAATACCCCCTGCTCCAGTCTCTGCTGGCATCCTTTGTGCTCAGATGCCGGGGGCCGACTCGCGGGGGTTTCCTTTACGATACGATACGATACCTTTATTGTCATTGTCCCATACAGAACAATGAAATTGAAAAATCTACATAAGACATTCAAAAACCCCTAAAAACTCTGAAACCCCACTTTAAAATACAATATACTCCCATAGAGACTCCTTATACCAGAATTGCATTTGGGTAGAAACTGTTTCTCAGGCGGCCAGTCCTAGTCTTTATAACCCTGTACCTTCTTCCAGAAGGCAGAAGCTGAAAGAGATCATTTCTGGGGTGCGCACTATATAATAATAATAGTAGTAGTAGTAATAATAATAATAATAATTTATTATTTATACCCCGCCCATCTGGCTGGGCTTCCCTAGCCACTCTGGGCGGCTTCCAAAAAAATATTAAAATATTAAAATCCTGCGCTATCTCTGCAGCTTTCTTATGACACCTGGAAGCTTAGATTTGATCCAAGGTGGGAAGAGTGCACCCAATTATTCTCTCTGCAGTCTTTACAACCCTGGACAGCGTTGTTTAGTCCCTGACCGTGCAGCTCCCAAACCAGACCATAAGTTAATACACTCTCCACACTACAGTGGTAAAATGCCATCAACAGGTCCTTTGAGAGCTTGTTTTTCCGGAGGATTCTCAGAAAATATAACCTCTGCTGTGCTCTGTTCATCAGGTTTTTTTGCTGTTTTCTCCTTTAACTGTTTGGTTCCGTAAAACAATTTTTTATTATTTCTGAGAAACTGACATATATCGGGTTGCAGCTAAACCTATGGATTCTGCCTCCATTTGCCGGCCATTTGTTCCTTACCCAACAGGAAAGTCACAGAGGTGGCAAGTCCCTATGAAATGTGGCTTTGTTTGGCGTTCATAACATTTGGTTTGCACTCTTTCTGTATCAGGTTTTTGCCGTAGCAAATAATTCAGTCATTGGTCTCTAAAGAACACACATTATTTCACAAGGTAACGGCATTGGCCCCTGGTTAGGTTTTTCGGTGCTTTCCTCCCTTTATTTCATATTTCCTCCTGGATTGTTACTTTAGCTCATGGGTAGGCAAACTAAGGCCCGGGGGCTGGATCCGGCTCAATTGCCTTCTAAATCCGGCCCGCAGATGGTCTGGGAATCAGTGTGTTTTTACATGAGCAGAACGTGTGCTTTTATTTAAAATGCATCTCTGGGTTATTTGTGGGGCATAGGAATTTGTTCATTCCCCCTCAAAAAAAATATAGTCCAGCCCTCCACAAGGTCTAAGGGACAGTGGACCAGCCCCCTGCTGAAAATGTTTGCTGAACCTGTGCTTAACTCCATAGCAAAGTCCTGAAGATTCAATAAAAAATTAAAAACCTCATTCTGAAAAAAACCCTGCCCAGGCAGCCCAGGATGTCAACCGTGTGCCTGACTTTTGGGTACCGGTCCTTCTCCTCCTTTCCTGAGTCTCTTTTCCCTCTGCCTGCCTCCAGAGTGCCCCCCCTGCGCTGTGCGCCACGGGGCGGACGGAGGACCTCCAGTCCCTGGTGAGCATCATTGATGACGCCGATGAGTTTGTTCACATTGAGGTGATGAGCTACCTGCCCACCATGGAGTTCTCGCACCCCAAGAGGTAAGTGTGTAGCTGATGGGGCAGCTCTTCTCCCTCCCCTCCCTTGGCTGTGGGAAGGATAAGCTTTACAAACCAAGAAGCACCAGCCGGGAAGCCGTTGCAGAGGCTCCTGCTGATGCAACAGGGCTTCTCCTTCTGCCTGCCTCCCCCAAATCCACTCTGGGGAAGAGCCAGAATATGGGGAGGTCATTCCGCCTGGCAAGCAGAAATGAATTGTACAGTTGGGTGGCCAGGTAATGGTAAAGGGAGCCCTACCATTAGGTCCAGTCGTGGCCGACTCTGGGGTTGCGGCGCTCATCTCACTTTATTAACCGAGGGAGCCGGCGTCCAGCTTCTGGGTCATGTGGCCAGCATGACAAAGCCACTTCTGACGAACCAGATCAGCGCACAGAAAGAACATTTACCTTCCCGCTGGAGTGGTACCTATTTATCTACTTGCACTTTGACGTGCTTTTGAACTGCGAGGTTGGCAGGAGCAGGGACCAAGCAACGGGAGCTCACCCCATCGCAGGGATTCGAACCGCCGACCTTCTGATCGGCAAGTCCTAGGCTCTGTGGCTTAACCCACAGTGCCACCCGCGTCCCTTATGGCACCATAGCACCTCTCAATGTCCATCTTATGCTGTCCCCGTTCGAGGGGTGCTAGACCAGTTGGCAGGCTGCCCCACGTCAGAGGTGGCAGTGCAGGATGTGGCCCCGACACTCTTGCTTCCTTCTTCCCGTTCAGGTTCTGGCCAGTGATTGACGACCACTTGCGGAAGGTAGCTTACGAAAGGAGAGTCCGTGTGCGACTATTGGTCGGATGCTGGAGGCACTCCAAGGCCAATATGTTCCCCTTTCTGCGCTCCCTGGCTGCCATGCACGACGTCCGCACCCACTACAACATGGAAGTGGTAAGGACACCCCCAATGGCTGGGACGGGGCTCCCCAGCCCTGGAAGACTGGGCTCCAGGGCCGTCTTAAGCATATCCGGCACTGTGGTGCAAAAATCCCTCCCCCTCCCTCCGTTTCCCAGAGTTGTTGACCTTTTCCCAAGCCTCTGTGAGGATTGCTCTATTGGTAAAACCTATTGGTGTTTCGCAACTTTCTGACTAGTTGCAGGACCTTAGCCAGACCTAGCAGAGTAAACGCAGAATCCATGGAAGCAATTGGTGACTTGGCTGCAGACAAGATAGATGAAGCAGGAAGCAGGAACTTGTAGTTAGGTGTTTATTATATACAGTGGTGCCTCGCAAGATGAAATTAATTCGTTCCGCGAGTTTTTTCGTCTTGCGGTTTTTTTCGTCTTGCGAAGCACGGTGTCGGAAAAGTTTTGGAAAAGCTTCAAAAATCACCAAAGTCTTCAAAAACCTCAAAAAAGGCTACCACACCGCGTGCTATGAGTTGCTCCTCGAAGTCAAGTCGCAACTGTATTAACGGTTTTAAGAAAAAGGAAACAAACTTGCAAGACGTTTCCGTCTTGCGAAGCAAGCCCATAGGGAAAATCGTCTTGCGAAGCAACTCAAAAAACCAAAAACCCTTTTGTTTTGCGAGTTTTCCGTCTTGCGAGGCATTCGTCTTGCGAAGTACCACTGTACAGTGGACTATTTACAGGAACAGAACACGGATCTTTTGCTAGCTCTCTCTGACACGACTCACAACTCCTACACTGACACACTTAACCACTGAACTCACGAACTCCGAACTAACGCATTCCAGTTAGTAGGCCATTAATTATCATTCCCTTGAGAGAGCTTGACCAATCAGGGAGCGGTCTCCATGTCTCTGTTATCTCCAGGCAGACTTACTCCTTCAGATTGCCTTCTGGCTGTCTGCCAAACCTTAACTGACTCTTTGTGAGTAGCTGCACGTACACAGTTTCCCAACACGCTCTCCTCCCGTGTAGGCTTGGGAAGGAAGCTGCACGTCGGCCAGCCATATACTTGGTGGGGTGCAGCTTCTATCCTAAGGCTCCGCAGGAGGAGAGCCATACCTGCAAAGGCTTAGGATGGAAGCTGCGCCCCATCAACTAGAGGGCTGGCAGACGTGCAGCTTCCTTCCCAAGACAATCTGGAAACAGTGGCTCATGTTCTCCTGTCCCCTTTATAAAGATCTGAGGAATGAGATCATCACCCCACTCTTACTTACCATCCCAGGCCGCCCATCTGCGGCCACATTGTTCTTTTTTTTATCAGATCAAAATGATCAGACTACAGCAAAGGTTGCTAGGTTTATCGAGGGTGCAATGAGATTAAGGGCCACTATCTGAACGATAAGCTTGGTCTTTTGATTGCCCTTTTTACCCATTTCCCCCCCCCCCCCCCAATTTTTAAAATTAATTTTCAAAAATTTAAAACAAACAAACATAGAGACACACATACATGCATCCTGTTAAAATATTGCTAACATAATTAAGTGACTTCCTCAAATCCCCTTGGTTGAATTTCATTATATATCATTTTAACAATTTTCCAAAATCGGTTTTCTCAAAAAATTAACTTGGTCACTTAACATCTTTCATTCTTTCTAATTTAACTTTAAACACCTAAAATCTTATCCTTACATATTTAAATCCTAAGCCTATCTATTATTTGCAAGCTTTCCCAATTAAGTTATCTTAACATATTTAGCTAAATAGTCTTTGAATTTCATCCATTCTTCCTGATACCTTTTTACCCATTGTTGTCTTTTTAATTGTATGTATTGCTTGTTTTATGTTGCTATGGCCGTTGGCTAATGTGAATAAAGTTTATCTATCTTCCTTCCCAAGTCTCCGCGGGAGGAGAGTGATCCTCGCAGAGGCTTAGGATGGAAGCTGCGCCCCACCAACTAGAGGGCTGGCGGGCGTGCAGCTTCCTTCCCAAGCCTCCGCGAGAGGAGAGCGATCCCCGCAGAGGCTAGGGAGGCAAGCTGCACGCCTGCCAGCCACATGGGCATGCAGGGAAAGGGGAAGCCGCCGGCAAAGCCACGCAGCTCCCCCACTCACTAGGGTGCCCCTGAGAGGCCGGCGCCCTGGCGTGACGCACCACTGGGGGGACGCACCCAATGGGGAAGACGGCTCTGCCGGGCTCCCTGGAGAGCCATTTCTGCTTGCCTCCCAGCTGCCTCCTCTGCGTGCCAAGCACCCCCACCTCTTCCACACGCACCCCAGTTTTGTCTTTCTCCCCTTCCCCTCCGCCAGAGGCTCTTTGTGGTCCCAGCCAATGAGTCGCAGGCCAAGATCCCCTACGCCAGAGTCAACCACAGCAAGTTCATGGTGACGGACAAGGTGGCTTATATTGGTGAGTAGTTTGAGGGGCGGGGGCAGTCGTAAAGGGGAGGCCAGTTGAGGCAGAACGCTTTGCCGGGGACTAGCAGGGGCAAAAACTGGACAGCAATGAGAGAGGGAGAGAAGCAGCCATAAGGGGGAGAACAGAAGGGACTAAGGGGAGTTCACTGGAGGCCCATCCCATCCAGATGCCTTTTGGGGAAACTTGGAAACAGGATCCGAGCCCAATAGCTCTCTCCCCTCCTGTGGTTTCCAGTGGCTGTTGTTCAGGAGCTCTGCTGCCTCCGACCGGCTAGGAGCCATCGATAACCCTCTCCACCTCCATGAATTGGTCCCATCCTCTTTTAAATCCATTCACTTTGGTGGCCATCTCTGGTTCCTGTGGCAGGGAGTTCCACAGTTTCACTCCATGCTGCTTGAAGGTGGACTTTTCTGTTATCAGTCCTGAATCTCCCAACAATCAGCTTCAGGGATTGTCCACAAGTTCTATTGTGAGGAAGAAAAAACGTCTCTCTCGCCACTACCTCCCTGCCATGCATATTTTTTTAAATAAAGCTTTATCACGTCGCCTCTTCCTCGCCTTTTCAATAAAACTGAAAAGCTCCAAGCGCAGCCCCCTTTCCTGCTTCACCCCCTCGATCATGCGGGCAGCCCTTTCCCGAACCTTTCCCAATTCTGTAATATCCATTTTGAGACCAGGCGACCAGAACCGTAGATGAGCAGCCGTCGATAGGCTCCTTCTCCACCACGAATTTGCCTAGCCCGCCTGGTCCAGCACCCTCTTCTCACGGTGGCGGAACAATTGCTTGTGGGAAACCAGCACTCAGGATTCGAACACAGAGCTCCCCCCTTCCTGTAGCTTCCAGCAGCTGGGATTCAGAAGCACGGCTGCCTCCCGCTGCGAACGCCATTGTCATCAAGCTTTGTTGCAGAACGCAGGACTCTTAAGCGTTTATTTTCCCTTCCTTTCTGGCAGGAACGTCCAACTGGTCTGGGGACTACTTCCTCCGCACGGCGGGGTCCGCCCTGGTGGTGAACCAGAGCCACGTGGGGGCCGGGGAGCAGCCCACGGTGCGCGATCAGCTGCAGGCGGTGTTTGAGCGGGACTGGAACTCCAGATACAGCCAGGAGCTGAGCTTGCCGGGCCAGTGGGAGCAGCTCTGCGGCACCTACTAGCCAAAGGGACACCCCCTCTGCCCGTCCCCAGCTGGAGAGGGGCTGCGAGCACCAGCCCCCTGTCGGAGGCCGGTGGAGGGGCTTCCCCAGAGGCAGGCGGTCTCCCTGGGGAACCTTGCGGGACCCCTGCTCTCCAGCCGAGTGAACCAGGGGGTGCCCAAGGCCTCCTGCGGGCAAATGTTTGGGGTAAGAGAAACTCCTGCAAGGGAACAATTCAGCCTGACCGAAGGATTGGGGGTGGGTGGGGGGTTTGCCATGCGCAAACGACCAAGTGACGTGCAAAGGGAGCTTTTGGCGCATGCAAATTGTGGGTAAAAAGTCACTGTTCCGAACTGGGAAGCAAAAGGGTTTTGCGTGGGTGGGAGGATAGATGTAGAGAAGAGGGCGTTTAGCAGTTAGGGGGAAAGGGTACGTGGGTTTAAGGAGGAGAAAACGGAAAAGGCTTCCTGGCCAAAAAGATCCCTCGCGGAGGAATCTCCTCCTCCTGTTCAGCAGAAGTGTGGAGAATCGCGAGAGAGATGTTGGCAGGCGATGTGCCGCTCAGAAGCTCCCAAGTCGGGTGGGACCTGTCTGAACCTGTGGAGAGCCTCTGCCAGTCAGTGTAGGTTGTGCTAAGCTAGATGGGCCAAGCAGTCTGACTTGGCGCTCCCTGTTCTGCCTTGTTTCTCTGCCGTGAATACCTTTCAGAGAGGAGCACACACACGAAGGGAAATCACCACTGTCCTTCCTTTACCAGTGGCTCTTAGGCACTCAGCACTCAAAGAGTGCTGGCGATGAGAACCGTAGACTCATAGAGGTGGAAGGGATACCCAAAGGTCCTCTAGTCCAACCCCCTGCTGCAATACAGGAATCCCAGCTGAAGCATCCCTGGCAGGTGACGATCCAACCTCTGCTTAGAAACCTCTGAGGAAGGAGATTCCATCCCTTTCCGGGGCAGACCGCTCCACTGTCAAACAACTCTTGCCGTCAGAAAGTTCCTCCTGGTGTTTAGTCAGAATAATAAGAATCATAAAAATAAAAATTTATTTATATCCTGCCCTCCCCAGCCAAAGCCGGGCTCAGAGCGGCTAACAACAGTAAAAATAGCACAATTTACATGAAATCACAGTCAATTAATTGAAATACATTCTGAAATCAATTCAGAATCAAATTAATGGCAACCATTGGGCTAGAGTTCTATGAAGATTACAGAAGGAGAGAGGGGGTCAGACTGTGCCTTGGCCAAAGGCCTGGTGGAACATCTGTCTTGCAGGCCCTGCGGAAAGATGTCAAGTCCTGCAAGGCCCTAGTCTCTTGTGATAAGAGCGTTCCGCCAGATCAGGGCCACGGCCGAAAAAACCCTGGCTCTGATTGAGGCCAGCCTAACCTCCCTGTAGCCCGGGACCTCCTAGATGTTTTTATTTGAAGACCATAAGGTCCTCTGTGGGACATACCAGGAGAGCCGGTCCCGTAGGTACAAGGGTCCTAGGCCTTATAGGGCTGGTTAAAACCAGCACCTTAAACCTGATCTTGTACTCCACTGGGAGCCAGTGCAGCTGGTATAGCACTGGGTGAATGTGATCCTGCAGCGAGGACCCCCTAAGGAGTCTCGCCGCGGCATTCTGCACCCGCTGGAGTTTCTGGGTTAATCTCCCTTCTTGTAACTTGAAGCCATGGGTTCGAGTTCTACCCTACGGAGCAGGAGTTCTTCCACTTTAATCCATCTGGGTCAGCAAAGAGCAGTAAGGAAGAGCAGCTATCTCTGTCTTCTTGAACAGAGGTCAAGTGCCAAATGCTGAGATGTGTCTTCCTTTGTCATAATCCAGACTAGGAGCATTGGGAGTTTATAGGGAGAACCTTCTAGGTCCATAGATTCTGGTAGGGATGGACTCATACCATTTTCTCCCAGGTCAAACATTTATTGCCATCAACAAGAAGTGGGGAGTCCTCGAACTGTAGAGTTAGAAGGGACCTCTCTAGTCCAACCCCCGTGTAGAGTTAGAAGGGACCCCAAGGGTCATCTAGTCCAACCCCAGACTCCCTGCGCCCTCTGGGTGTGATTTCAAGGGCATTATTCTCCCACTGTCCATGGAGGGATCCACCCTGCAAGGGGTCTTGCCATGCAGTTTAGGGACTGTCAACTGGGCAATAGGGCGTTAGCCTGGATTTTTGCTGTCTTCAGTACAGACCTTTGGTCAATTAAAGGATAATTTTCCAATTTGCTGTGGTCTCGTGATTGCTGTGTGACCGGCTGGAAGGCAGAGGGCACACACAATGCTGCCGCCGTTGTGCTCATGAAGAAGAAGAAGATCTTTTGCGTGATCTGCTGCGAATGCTTCCTGCGGTAGTAATTTCCCCTATACAGTGGTACCTCGGGTTAAGTACTTAATTTGTTCCCGAGGTCCATTCTTAACCTGAAACTGTTCTTAACCTGAAGCACCACTTTAGCTAATGGGGCCTCCAGCTGCTGCCATGCCGCTGGAGCACAATTTCTGTTCTCATCCTGAAGCAAAGTTCTTAACCTGAGGTAGTATTTCTGGGTTAGCGGAGTCTGTAACCTGAAGCGTCTGTAACCTGAAGCATCTGTAACCCGAGGTACCACTGTACTGTATCGCATGGCCAGGGGGAGTTGAGAGAGGTGCTCTCTTCACCTCAACGCAATGCACTCCCACCCCTGTTGCAGATAATAATAATAATAATAATAATAATAATAATAATTTATTATTATTATTTATATCCCGCCCATCTGGCTGGGCCTCCCCAGCCACTCTGGGCGGCTTCCAACAAAACATTAAAATACAGTGGTCTGTTAAACATTAAAAGCTTCCCTAAACAGGGCTGCCTTCAGATGTCATGTAAAAGTCTGGTAGTTGTTGTTTTCTTTGACATCTGGTGGGAGGGTGTTCCACAGGGCGGGTGCCACCACCGAGAAGGCCCTCTGCCTGGTTGCCTGTAACTTAGCTTCTCACAGGGAGGGAACCGCCAGAAGGCCCTTGGAGCTGGACCTCAGTGTCCAGGCAGAACGATGGGGGTGGAGACGCTCCTTCAGGTATACCGGGCCGAGGCCATTTAGGGCTTTAAAGGTCAGCACCAACACTTTGAATTGTGCTCGGAAACGTATTAGGATGGGAAACGTATTAGATTAGGATGGGGGGGGGGCTTTAGCTGGTGGTGTACAGTAGTGGTCTGGGGGTCGGATCCTCCTCCTGCAGCCTCCAGCGCCCTAAATTGGAGGCACCGGGTGCTGCAGAGCAAAACTTTGAGGAGGCTCGCTGAAAAGGCAAGGGAACGGGGTGCAAGTCCTGTTCTCTACAAAATGGAACTTCACGCTCAAAGCACGCCTTAAGTCGCTCATCAAATCACAGAGTCGGAAGGGGTCCCCGGGGGTCATCTAGTCCAACCCCCTGGCGGTGCTGACTTCGGAGTGCTTGAAAATCGGCGGATCTAACGGGAAAGCAACACCTGGAGATCTGCACCCGTTGTTGCAGCGCGTGCCTCGTGATCGCTATTGCGTCATCATAGGATTATTGCCCAACCTTAGAAGGGGCGAGAGGGGGGGTTTCTGGAGGGCTGGACCAGGACCTGGCAGACGAAGGTTCGAATCCCGGGTGTGACTCTGGCGGCCAATGACTGCCTTCTCTCGGCCTGACCTACCCTGCAGGGTGGTTGTTGTGGGAGGGAGGGGTTGCGGGAGGAGGAGGAGGAAGAGCCACGGAGGCCCAATTGGCTTTCCAAGGAGGAGGAGGAGGACGCAGATACGCGAAGCCGCCCAGAAGCGGCAACCATAATAATAATAATAATAATAATAATAATAATAATTTATTTATACCCTGCCCATCTGGCTGGGTTTCCCCAGCCACTCTTGGGCCGCTTCCAACAAAACACTAAAATACAATAACCTATTAAACATTAAAACATGAAAATCTTCCCTAAACAGAAGCAAGCCGCGCTTCCCTCCGGCCGCCAGGGGCCGCTGGCGAGCCCCTTCGAGCCCCTCTAGGAGAGGCGGGCGGGCGAGGCTTCCGGTCTCTGTGGCCTCCCGGGCCGGAAGCGAGCGCGAGGAGGGCGGGAGGGAGAGAGACTTCTTCCGCCGGTCACCCGGGAGCCGAGAGGAGCCTCCGAGGCCGGTGAGGGAGGGGAAGGAGGGGGGAGGGACCCCCCCCACTCACGACCCCCCCACGGAGGGGCGCGAGGTCCGGAGACTTCTCTCCCCCCCCCACTCCCCGAGAGTGAAGCTGCGCCCGTTGGAGTTCTCCCCGTCCCGTGAGTGGGGGGGGGGCAGAGAGGGGCCTGGGGGAGGCCTTCCCCCCCCGGACCCTCAAGAAGCGCAGTCCGGCCGAGGAGCCAGAAAGGGGGCGTCTTCCATGGGGAGGGGGGAGAAGAAGAAGAATCCTCTCGCCCCCCCCCCCCGCGCTCCCTCGAGGAGACCCCAGTGGGGCGGGGGTCTCCCCTGTCAAACTGCCTCTTTCCCCGGCCCCGGACTCTCCTGCGCCCCCGTCTCCAGCCCCCTTCGACTCCCTGCGGCTGAGGTCCCTTCTCCCCGCCCAATGAGATATTTGTTTAGGGAACTTTTTGAATGTTTGACTTTGTATTGTGCTTTTAATTTTCTGTTGGGAGCTGCCCAGAGTGGCTGCGGAAACCCAGCCAGATGGGCGGGGTATAAATGAAATTATTATTATTATTATTTGAGGGGGCTGCCCCACCCCAGTTGATGGGCATCGCCATTCAAATACAGTGGTACCTCGGGTTAAGTATTTAATTCGTTCGTCCGTTCTTAACCTGAAACTGTTCTTAACCTGAAGCACCACTTTAGCTAATGGGGCCTGCCGGTGCGCCGCCGGAGCACGATTTCTGTTCTCAGAAGCAAAGTTCTTAACCCGAGGTACTATTTCTGGGTTAGCGGAGTGTGTAACCTGAAGGGTATGTAACCCGAGGTACCACTTTAGTATGGGTGAGCCTCGCCATGCCATCAATTGTGCAGGGAGGAGCTGACCTGTCCCTCCCCCACGTTGGCACCCCTGGCAGCAGGGCACCGGTGTGGGTCCAAGGTGGCTGTCCTGGGTGTGTGTTGCTGCTGCCTATTCTGGCTCCCTGAGTCCTGCCCTTGGAATGCCACTGGGTGGCCTCAGCTGCTTCACTTGGGGTGTTGCCTTCCCTGCAGGTCTCCTCCGGCTGACCGGGCGTCACTGCCCTTGGCTTGGCACCATGGTGTCTGTCATGATGGGTAAGTTGGCCTGACATCCCCCCTCCCCTTTAACCCCGGTATGTCTTTGGAAGGGAGCCAGAGCAAAGCCAAACTCAAGAGGGGCTTGAGGGAGGGAGGGAGGGAAGGGGTAGCGGCAGAAGCAGGGCAGCCAAATCCAAGAGCCTCTCCCTTTGTTCTGTGCAAGGCGCCTGACTGAACCCCAGATGGGAGGCAGCAGCTGCAAATGTGGAGAATGCAAGTCTGAGGCCAGCTGGGAAGAGGCGCTGGAGTGACGGCTTTGGGGGGGGGGGTGAAACAGAGACCAGGGAGATAAGCGCACAAGAATAGCCTGATGTATCAGGACAGTGGCTCTTTGGTCCAGCGCCCTGTTTTCACAGCGGCCGACCAGATGCCCATTCTGGGAATCCTACAAGCAGGATCCACGCACAAGAGCACTTCCTCCCCTCCTGTCGCTTTGCTCAGGTGCTGGTTGCTTCTGACATAATCTTCTCTGCCTTTCAGCAACGTCAGAGTGGATTCAGTTCTTCAAAGAAGCTGGGATCCCCCCAGGGCCTGCTGTCAACTACGCCGTCATGTTTGTGGATAATAGGTGAGGCTGTTGAGAGATGGAGCCTCTGTGGAGCATCTCACTGTTCTGTTTCCTGTGCTTCTGCTGCAGTCTGGGAGAGTGGGACTTCAGGAGCTCACGTGCAAGGGAATCTGATCCCTAGAAAGTGTCTCATTGATCCCACTGTAGGGGAGACCTGCCAGCCCTGCTTTCCATACAATGTGGGGTGGGAGGTGGGGATCTGTGCTCAGTGGCAGATGCTAAAGCCACCGGCTGCTTTTTTTAAACCTCCCAGGAGACGTGGTCCAAACAAAGGAGTTACATGGCTGAAAGGATCCCTTGCGTGGAGTTTGTGGGAGTGTGGTTTAGGTCAGGAACATTGCATCGGCCTGACGTATTGGCTTGTTTAAATCTTAAATTACCAAATAGCATGCATTATGTGGCCCAAGATTATTTTTCAAACGTTTACCTCTCTGAGAAAAACAAAACAATATATCCTTTGTTTCTTGGAACAAAGGCCAAATATTTTTAATTCCACTTGCAGTACCACACCCTACAGAATACCACAGGGCAGTGACCCTCATATGGGCTTTTCCTCCTATTGCCCTCATGTTACAGAATGCCTTTCTGTCTCCCATATGTGAAGCAGCAACATCAGTTCCTTCAGGCTTTCCCCCTCAGATTTCCCTTAAGATTGGGACCTGCTTTCATTTGTTTAAATTCCCCGAATTTTATAAATCTATGTATGGGTGAGTGGATTGGAGCAAATGGATATCTGAAATGTCATTATTTCTGAAGCCTTGTGAAAAAAGGCAGATGGCCAGCTCCCCATTGCAATGGGGAGTTTTTCTGTCCATTCCTTCCAGTGGTGGCTGGAGGAGTTTTCTTGTGCCAGGCTGTTGCACACCCTGTTCACAGAGTGCTTGTAGATTGCACAGTTGGGGTATGGTACGTGACTCACCACCACAGACCTTGTCCCCTGCAGGATCCAGAAGAACATGCTGATGGACCTCAACAAGGAGATCATGAACGAGCTGGGCATCACCATCGTCGGAGATATCATTGCCATCCTCAAACATGCCAAAGTCGTGTACAGGCAGGTGGGTTCTCCCAGGAAGCGGCTAACAATTTCTCCCAGTTGGTGTAGTGGTTAAGAGCGATAGACTCGTAATCTGGGGAACCGGGTTCGCTTCCCCGCTCCTCCACATGCAGCTGCTGGGTGACCTTGGGCCAGTCACACTTCTCTGAAGTCTCTCAGACCCACTCACCTCACAGGGTGTTTGTTGTGGGGGAGGAAGGGAAAGGAGAATGTTAGCCGCTTTGAGACTCCTTAGGGTAGTGATAGAGCGGGATAGCAAATCCAAACTCTTTTTCTTCTTCCCACATGCTTTGCATTAAATGGCTGTGACATTGGCTGGTAACCCTCTGGCATTCTGGGTGGGATCTTTGGATATACAACAGTGTTTGAAATTCGCCAGGTGCATTTTGTGGGATGCAGGTGGCGCTGTGGGTTAAACCACAGAGCCTAGGACTTGCCGATCAGAAGGTTGGCGGTTCAAATCCCCACGACAGGGTGAGCTCCTGTTGCTCGGTCCCTGCTCCTGCCAACCTTGCAGTTCAAAAGCACGACAAAGTGCAAGTAGATAAATAGGTACCGCTCCGGCGGGAAGGTAAACGGCGTTTCCGTGCGCTGCTCTGGTTCGCCAGAAGCGGCTTAGTCATGCTGGCCACATGACCCAGAAGCTGTACGCAGGCTCCCTCGGCCAATAAAGTGAGATGAGCCTAGACCTAATGGTCAGGGGTCTCTTTACTTTTACCTATTGGCCACTTGTACCCAAGTGAAGATGCCCGAGCGCCAGGATGGTGCCTGGTGTCTCCACCACCTGGAGGTGCATGCCTGGGGATCCTTGGACCTGGACTGTTTTCACACACTAGCACAGGGGTTGGCAAAGTTTATGTGGCTTGGGCCGGTTCACGGTCCCGCAGATACTGCGGTGAGCCGGAGTGTGTGTGCACCCATGCATGCGCAAACGCAGTTTCCGGCGTGGAGGAGGCGTGCGCAGCTTCCCATTGGCCAAAGGGAAGCCGGCCAGTGTTGTGGAAGGCGGTCCCCGCTTGCTCCGTGCTGGTTTAGCGCGATGCACGGGAGCCGACTGAGCGGGCGGTGGGGGTCCATGGGCCGGTTAAACGACCCCCATATGGGCCTTAGGTTGCCGGCCCCTGCACTTGCAGCACATCCCGTAGAATTCTATCCATTATATTTTATTTGCACAATCTAAACAAATTTTGGAAACCAATAAGTCGTATGGACTTTTGAGCCACCTGGCCCCAAAATGGCAACTAGGCATTCTGTTTTAGCAACTGTAGCCCTGGTTTAAGGAGCCATTGGCACCTGGCTTGTGTATGTGAGTTTTTAACGTTGGTCTACAAGATTCTTTTGGTGGAGTGGGATCCAGCAGTAAAACTTCAGCCTAGAAGGCTATGGTTGCAAGCTAGGGGGCTGTCATGAGCAACCAGTGATTGTGTGGGCCTTTGCCCAGTGCAGGGGAGAATTCTAGAATTGTAGAGTTGGAAGGGACCCCCGAGGGTCATCTAGTCCAACCCCTTGCAGTGCAGGGATCACAACTCTAGTATCCCTGACAGGTGGACATCGTTCCACTGTCAAACGGCTCTTGCCGTCAGGGGATGTGCAAGGATTTCAGTGCTCTTTGCTGATATCTCTCGGAAAGTGAAGCAAAGGACCTGAGCTGCCCAGTGCAGCGTTCAGAGAATGGTAAAAGTCCTGCTTAAGGGTCTGGAAGCCCCATAACACCCTGCATGACTCCCAGGCCAGATCTGTAGGTGAAGACCTGCAGCACTCCACTCCTCTCCTTGCTCCCGCATCCAGGAGTTTAATCTCCTGGTGTGAGGCATATCTCAGGCCTGGATAGCTTTCCTCTTCCTGCTACCTTCCTGCAAAGGGGGGCATGCCTGAACCTGGTGCATTTGTGGGGAGACCGTGCCTTTGCTAGGGGAACCATCTCAATCTGCCCCTCACTATTGCATTGTGGTGTTCCCTCTGTCCCTAGGAAATGTGCAAGGCTGCTACAGAATCGGTGGCTTCCAGCCAACCCACCCTGCAGTCTGAACTCCGTCGGAATGCCAACAGTGGTGAGTAACACAAGTGGCTGGCTGCAGATGGAGGAGGCGGCCAGGCCTTTCCTCCGCTCTCAGACTCTTGTCTGTCTCTCCCTGCTCCCTCTCCCTGCCAAGGCCTCTACTCTTCTCACTGCATGAAGTTGGCTGCTCCTTTCTGAGCTCACCTGAGCCACCCCAGGATGCTAATAATGTCTCTTCACATCAAGCAACATCAGCCCCACTGGTCCGTGCAGTGTAGTTCTCCTGGACCTTTCAGATTGTTCACTGGGTCTTTTGGGTGATGTTTCTTAGGCAGGACAGGTCCTTCCTTGGACACCCCTTCCTCCATTCTGTGCGGCTGCGTATTTTGATCATGGCTGTAGCTGGAACTTTTGAGCTATGAAGCTTCTGCTCCCCTTACAGCCAAGCTGCTGTCCTTTCATGTTGAATAAAAACATTTTTGTTCTTTCAAACAGTTAGCTCTTGCAAGTCCTGTTTTCAATTACATGTTGCTGGATGCTTTAAATATACGTGCATTATGGAAAGGCATGATAATTTTAAAATAAATAAAAATAACAAATTAAATTAAAATTAAAAAATTAGATACCCCCTGCCTTCCCCATCTTCATGTGCCACTCTGCTTCTGCTTCACTGCCTCCTGCTTGCAGCTGAACTGCTCCAGCTGATGTCCTGGCTGCCCTGCAGTGACATCCCATAATATGTCTGTCTGTGGGCATGGGTCTCACTTTGCAGGAAAAACTCAGGCAGTGGGAGAGGATTTCATGCCCACCTCTTCCAGGAGGAGAAAGCCTTATCTGAGAGCTCCCCAAATCCTATTGCAGGGTGTATCTTTTAAACCACCCCTCTGGCATTCCTGCTATTATTGGGCTCTCATTTGCCCTGTCTACATGGGCACTGGGCAAAAGCCTTCCATATGGTGTTGGGAAGGCAGAAACAGTGGCCAGTTTTAAACCCCTCCTAAAGACACGTCTATTTAAGCAGCCATTCCGTATAGCTAAAATTATGGTTTTCCTAGTAGTGATGTATGGAAGTGAGAGCTGGACCATAAAGAAGGCTGATCGCAGAAGAATTGATGCTTTTGAATTATGGTGCTGGAGGAGACTCTTGAGAGTCCCATGGACTGCAGGAAGATCAAACCGATCCATTCTGAAGGAAATCAGCCCTGAGTGCTCACTGGAAGGACAGATCCTGAAGCTGAGGCTCCAAGACTTTGGCCACCTCATGAGAAGAGAAGACTCCCTGGAAAAGACCCTGATGTTGGGAAAGATGGAGGGCACAAGGAGAAGGGGACGACAGAGGACGAGATGGTTGGACAGTGTTCTCGAAGCTACCAGCATGAGTTTGACCAAACTGCAGGAGGCAGTGGAAGACAGGAGTGTCTGGCGTGCTCTGGTCCAGGGGGTCAAGAAGAGTTGGACACAACTAAATGACTAAACAACAATAACCTGAGCTTATAAGATCCATCACACAGCTTCATTATATATTGATATTTATCTGAATGTTTTGTTGAAGGCTTCTCTGCTTTTACTGATGTGTTTCTTTGTGTTTTTGGTTTTAAACCTTGTATATCCCCTCTCCCCCCCCCCACTATCTTTCTGTGTTATACGTAAAACCGCTGAAGGATTTTGGCACATAAAGTGGTGTGTAACTTTGATGTTCCTGCAGCTGCCACCCGGATGATTGCAAACAGCTTGAGCCGAGACTCCCCACCTTCCACCCCGGTTCGAAGACCTGACACCAGCACCTCCAAAATCTCCATCACGGTCTCCAATAAAATGGCAGGAAAGAATGCCAAAGCAGGTAGGTTTTTTGGAATCTGCAGAATTGAAGTCTTTGGGGAAATGTGGAGAGAAATCTGTTTCAAAATCCTTCCAGCCCTAGTTCTGTCAGGCATGGCTCTCTGCTCCCCACTAGAGGGCAGATTTTCCCCATGGGTATTGCTGTTGGCTCTGAATGCCCATCCTTGAGTTGCCCAGCCAGAGGCCTCTGGACTCAAAGCAGGCGTGAGCTGGCCTTTCTCCCATCCTCTTCCTGCTGCCACAGCTCTCTGCAGTCCGGAGGCCGAGAACTCCACACTCCCAGTGAAGCGCCGCCGCGTCACGGCAGAGATGGAAGGGAAGTACATTGTCCACATGCCCAAGGGAACCACCCCCAGGACCAAGAAGATCCTGGAGCAGCAGCAGCAGGCAGCCAAAGGTACCTGGGCCACTTCCCCTGGGGAGCGGGGCTGAAGGCCGGCCAGCTTCCTTTAAAGCTGGGAAATGGGGGCAGGTCTGTGGCCACCTTAATTCATCCGGAGGAGTACTGTTAATTTTCCACTGCGGTGCAAAGGCCCAGCTGGCCTCCACTCCGAGACTGGTGTTGAGTGTGCTGCGGAACACGCTTCTGGCAGAGATGCGGCAGGCACCCTCGCTTTGAACTTTCTGGAATCTCTTGTAGGCTTCTTTTTATAATGGCCAGCCGGCTTTTGCAGTTGCTTAACATTTCCCTGAATGGTCAGCCGTTCACTTTAAGGGATGGCTCTGTACGGCTTTCAAAGGTTTCTTGTTGTTACTGTACTTTGTGGCCCTGACATTTTGCAAGAGGACAGTATATCGGTACTTAGGTGAATGAAATCAAACCCTGCACTTAAAGAGCAAATTCAGAGCCAAGGTGAAACGAATGTGCTGAGTTGAAGCACAGCCCAAATAAAAGCGGCAAACTTAAGCAGGTTCAGCCAGCAGCCAAATTTCGCTTTGCCCTCCCAGTCGCCAGCCTGCTGCTGCTACTGCTACCCAGCCAGCCCTTGTTTTTCTTCTGGTGCTTATGCCTGGCTCTTCCTAATTTTGTTTTTAATTGTGACACTTTGCAAAGTCCAGCTTCCTTGTTCCACGTGACTGGCGTGCTCTGGCCAGAACTAACACCCCATCACAGACACAGGTGCAGCCGCTTGCGAGATTGCCACTTGGCAAAGGTTTTGCAGTCTTGGCGTGGGTGGGGGGGAACACAGGCCTCCGGGGTGCAAAATTGTTTCTTATGCACTATGGGCAGTGTTGCCTAACCTGCAGGGGCAAGGACTTCTGGTATGGTGTGGCTTCCAGAGACTGATGCCATCAGGCTGGGGAAAGGAGTATTTGGAAATAGTTTGGGTCCTGCACAGCAGCATTAAAAATATATTATTTAATCTTGTTTGCTGCTTCAAAAGCTTTTTTGGGTGAAACACATTCTTATCTGCATGCTATGAAATAATCATTTGGCCCCTGTTGCTCCTTTGAAAAGCCCTTCTCTTGTTTTAACTCTGTGTGGCTTCTTTCCACTGCTCCCTTGTTATTGACAGGGTTACAGAGAACCTCTGTGTTTGACCGGCTGGGCGCAGAGACCGGCGTGGACACAACCACAGGAAGCAAGGTGAGAGCAAAAGGGTGGGACCTTCTTTTGAACCTTCCCCCGCTCCCCTTGCCTCGGATACCACAAAGGGGGGCCGGTTGGCAAGGCTGAGATTAAACATGTATGGTTGAGGGAGTAGAGGTGGACTTCCACTTCCTGGCCCAGCCAAGGCGTTCAGGGTGGCGCTAGAGCTCTTCTGATGTGGGAGGTGGCACTTTGGTCAGGCAGGGCTGTTGCCACGACCCACTAAGGGAGATAATCACAATGAAATTGGAAAAGCAACAGTTGCACATCTATTCAAATTCCATCTGAAACTATATAGTTGAATTAATTCAAAACAAAACGGATGAGCTGGATGAGGATACCAGCTTTTCAAAGTCTGGTAGTCATTTAGCACATTTAGTAACTGCTTCAACTGTTGAGTAATTTCCTCCTGTGATGGACAGCCTTGACAAAGTGATGCCAGTTTCCCACGGTCTGGTTTAAAGCCACCTAGCAGGAGTCTTAAATCACTGCCTCCAGAGCTCCTCTGCTGCCCCCATGCCTCTTAGTGCCCCCCCCCGGACAATTCTATCAACCTCCCAGGGGGTGAACTGCCCATCTTGGGAGCCACTTGTAGCCCTTTTGCAGAGCCTAGCAAAGGGCCTGAGGGTGGGGCTCCCAGCCACTCTGCCGTGCTTGCCACCCCCACCCTCATTGAGCCGCTCTGGTGTCTTCGCAGCCCACGGGAGTCTTCAGCCGCCTGGGGGACATGCAGGAGGCCGAGGAGGACAAAGCAGTGGAGAGCGACGATGACAGCTCCGTCTTGCAGTACGCTGGGGTGCTGAAGAAATTCTTCAAGCCCTCCAGGCCCAAGGAGAGCGCCAAGGCCGCCGGGGCAACGGTCAAAGCCAAAGCCACCAGCTCCGAGCCCCAGCCGAAGGCCACAGCCGCCCCCGCCCTCCAGCGGCTCGGGAGCAAGAGCCTGGCGGAGAAGAAGGAGAAGAAGGCCGAGCCGCCCCCGCTGCAAGGCGGCATGGCCAAGAGACTGGGCAAGCGCCCTCTGCCTGCCGAGGCCCAGGACAGCCAGGTCACCAGCTCCAGGAGCAAGCCGGAGTCCGAGTTCCGAGTCACCATCAAGAGAACTTTGGGCAGCGCGAAGGTAAGCAGCACCACGGAGGGCCCCAGCGCCCAGATGGACAACACGGGCACCATCAGCGTCTTTAAGCGGTTGGGCAGGAAGGCGGTGTGAGCTGGGCCCCCCACCCACCCCGGCGCGCCCTTCGCCTGCATGCGTGTGGGAGACCCTCTTTGGACAGCTTGAAGTCGGCGCCCCCTCTCCCCCGTCTGCAACACAAACGGGCTCTTGCGCGGCCTCCGGGCGGAGGACGGCTTCTGGGAAACTTGGTGTCGGTTCTTCCAGCTGTTTCCACAGGTCTGTGGGGCAGGAGCGGAACTGGGGGGTCTTGCGTGGCTGCATGGCCCACCTCAAGGCAGCGGCTTGCCAGTGCTGGCGGTGGCACCCACCCAACGGAGCATTGCTGGGGTGGGGTGAGGGCTCCCAGCGGGTGCAAGAGGTCATGTTGCACTGAACCCTCCTTTCTCTGTCTCTGTTATTTCCCCTCTGCAGGTCCTTGCTCTCTCCTAGGAAGTAGGTGCCTTGAAGGCCCTGTAAAAGATCTTGCAAGATTCAGTAGATCCCTTCCCCACCCCCACCCCACACTTTCTTTTCCGTTTTTCCCAAGCGTTTACCTGCCGCTTTTCTGTATCCTAGGAACAGCAACTGAACAGCTGACCAGAAATTTCCTCTTGCTGGACACTGGGATCGCGCAGTCAGCCAGCGGGGTCCCAGTGCTGAGTTTTGCCTCCTGCCAGGAGGAGGAGGAAAATTCTGGCCGGCTCCTCTTTGGGTTCTATCTCTCCTCTGAGCAGGAGAGGAATTTCTCCTGGCCTGGCTGTGGCATGTGAGACGAGGTTCTTGTGGGGGCAGGAGATGGTTTCATGTGTCAGGAGTCCCAAACTGGGCTGGCTCTCCTGCCCAAGCCTCCTGAAGCAACACTGCTCAGCTGGGAAAGGGGAAGAGAAGGCCAGGTCTCTTTTCCAGAGTCAGGCCTCGTTGAGCCAAATCAGATGCACGATCTGGACCCTGGCTAAATCTGAAGCCAGACTCCGGTGAGAATTGCAGTGGGCTTGGTTTTTCCATGCTCTGCTTCTCCATCAACCCCGATGGGCACCCGCATTGCTGTGTTGGATGGAGGGCAGCATCCAGGGCAGCCATCTGCCGCCTCACCTGCCCTGCAGCTTCCTTGTGAGCCTGGTTCCCCTTTCAGAGGCTTCTGCCCTACAGCAGCAGGAGGGGCACTAATGCCAGGCCTGTTTTGCGCAGAGAGATGGTGGTATGCAAGCCGCCTGCCATCTCTCTCTCCTCTGGGCTCCTGCTGCTCTTCATCTCTGCTAGAGCCCCACGTCTGAGTTTCATAGGATGCTGCCCATGCCAGCTGGCCTCCCCACAATATATATTTGGAAAATGAAAACAGGCCATTGCGATGTGGTATGCCCAAGAGTCTTGGGCAATGGCAGTAGAGATGGAAATGCTTGAGGGGCCTTCCTGGGCGGAGGTGACCTGCGAGGTAGCCCCAGGCCACTCTTGCACTTGACCGAAAACTCTGTATCCCAGCATGCACTGCCAGTTGGAGTATCCCTTGTGTTGGCTTCTGATTGGCACGGAACCCAGAGACGTTTCCTGTGCTCTGAGGTGCCTTCTGTGTCCCCAGCTGCCCCAGAGAGAATTATGCGACCTGCACGATTTAGGGGATGTGGTGCTCCCCCATGCACCTGTTAATCAGATAAGGCAGCAGCTGTGTGGGATTCCTAATGGTTTAAATGAATTTTTATTGATTAAATTAGGGAGGGGGGAGCTAGAAGAGCTGTGGTGTAATGGTTGATAGTTTTTTTTTTTAAAAAAAAGACCTTTTTTTGTAAACATGAGTTAATGTGCAATTTGGAAGTATCCTTGCATTCGGCTGTCAGTTGCCCAGAAGTGCAGGGGGGAGGGCGGCAAGGTTCTCAGTGCTGCTGTCAGAGCCTGCCAGGTGTGTTCCTGCACTCCCCACACCCCGCCGCCCAGGTAGGGGAATAAAGGAATGTTCTCTTGCAATAAAATGAGTCTCCTCTTAGCTTGCTTCATCAGCTGCAGCATCTCTTTGGGAAGCCCCCTCACAAAGGGGACACATAGAGCTTGCTGGATCAGCCCACGGGGCCAAATCCCATCCAGCATCCAATGGTTTTCCTGCTGGAAGTCTTGCCACTGGGGTGTTTGTGTGTGTACACACACTGAGAGGTCTTGCAGGAGAGGCCTTTGGCCTGTAATTTCAGCTATCCACAGGGAAAGCGGAGGAGGGGCAAGCCCTAATCAGTGGAGAGATATTGCTTGTTCTGATGTTATCTTTTTTATTATTATTCATTTCATACAAATTAAATATTGTCTGATTGTTCAAAGAAAAGAGAGAATTGTTAAAAGGAAGCCTCAAAGCAGCTTACAAAAAGAATAAAACAATAAAATGGTCAGTAAAACTTCAGTAGGAGAGTAAGCAAGCACAAAGCATTGGGGTTGGGTGGAATGATCCTGTCGGATACAACCTCCTTAACCTCCTTTCTTTTTTTGGGAGGGCCTATCTTTCTTGCAGGGACGCGGGTGGCGCTGTGGGTTAAACCACAGAGCCTAGAACTTGCCGATCAGAAGGTCGGCGGTTCAAATCCCTGTGACGGGGTGAGCTCCTGTTTCTCGGTCCCTGCTCCTGCCCACCTAGCAGTTCAAAAGTACGTCAAAGTGCAAGTAGATAAATAGGTACCGCTGTGGCGGGAAGGTAAACGGTGTTTCCGTGCGCTGCTCTGGTTCGCCAGAAGCGGCTTAGTCATACTGGCCACATGACCCGGAAGCTGTACAGCAGCTCCCTCGGCCAATAAAGCGAGATGAGCGGCGCAACCCGAGTCGGACCTAATGGTCGGGGTCCCTTTACCTTTATCTTGCAGAATCATTCCTCGCCTGCCTCCTTCTCAGGCCTCAAGTACAAAAATTACAAGTAGGATAGAAGGGAAGGTAATAACACACACCACCCGCGTGCCATTTAGAAGCAGTTATGAGTCCATGCTTGTAGGGACACAGCAGCATTATGAAGAACAGGGGGAGCCTGTCCTGCTTTGCCCCCTGAGGCAACCAGGGAATGTGCAGCCTCCTACCTGCCCCCCTCCCAACATCCAGAACACCCCCATCTCCCTGAAATGGGTGTTGTGGTGGAAGCGGTGAGGAGAGCAGCCCACTGCTGGTTACGTTGCCGCCGTCTAAGGCGGCAGCTTCACCCCGCCAGCTGTGCTGGAGGGGCAGCCCCCTTGCTGAAGGGTCAGCCAGGCTTGGCATGGTCACCTACACGATGGGAATATAAGAGCTTAGGAAGAGCCTGCTGGATCAGGCCAAAGGACTCCCGTCTAGTCCAGCATCCTGTTCTCACAGTGGCCAACCAGATGCCTGTCATGGGAAGCTCACGGACAGGATCTGAGCACAAGAGCCCTGTCATCTCCTGTGGCTTCCAGCAACTGGGATTCAGAATCAATTGAGGCCCTTCTCTAGGCGGCCTCGAGCTCCCTGGAAGGCAGCTGGGATAGGTACACAACGCACCCCTTTCTCCATGTGTCCCCAAATACTTACAGTGCTTATTGGGCTAGCTAGGCAGAGCCGTAGCCCCGTTCTGCGTGCAGAAACATCCTATTTTCAATCGCGGCATCTCTGGTTAAAACTAAGGGCAACGGAGAAAGACCCTCTCTGAGTCCGTGGAAACCGAATTCCCGTCTGAGTGGATGGCACGGGTTAGGTGGGCGGGTGGTCTGACTGCCAAAGGCAGTCAGTGGGTCTGCAGAGTCCATCCCTTGCAACAAGCATGTGGAGTTGAACAGAACTGGGTGGGCAAAAACGACTTCCCTGCAGTTTTGCTATGTCTATAAAGAAGGCTGATCGCCGAAGAATTGATGCTTTTGAATTCTGGTGCTGGAGGAGACTCTTGAGAGTCCCATGGACTGCAAGAAGATCAAACCTCTCCATTCTGAAGGAAATCAGCCCTGAGTGCTCACTGGAAGGACAGATCCTGAAGCTGAGGCTCCAAGACTGGCCACCTCATGGGAAGAGAAGACTCTCTGGAAAAGACCCTGATGTTGGGAAAGATGGAGGGCACAAGGAGAAGGGGACGACAGAGGACGAGATGGTGGGACAGTGTTGTCGAAGCTACCAGCATGAGTTTGACCAAACTGCGGGAGGCAGTGGAAAACAGAGGAGTGTCTGGCGTGCTCTGGTCCATGGGGTCATGAAGAGTCGGAGACGACTAAATAATAACAACAAAACTAAAACCCATGCGTAAAATGGGGTGAATGACCTGCCTGCCTTCTGAGCTTGGGGCAGGTGATTGCTCTAGATTTCCCTTGAGTCCCTCTGAAGCTGGGGGTGGTGAAGGGGAGAGTGTGTGGTGGTGGGCACAGACTTCGGCCTGCCAAACCAGCTTGGCCCCACAAGTTATAATTCCGTTAGGAAGTTATACTCCAGGCCCTCAAACCAGCAGCCCTAATTCCTAGAGGTCCGTAGCTTGCGTGGCATAATGGTCAGTGTTGGGCGAGACAAGGGTTTGAATCCCCACTCATTGGCCATGAAGCTCCATGGGTCGCCTTGGGGGCCAGTCACCGTCTCTCTCAGCCTAACCTACCTCACAGCGTTGTTGTGAGGATAAAAGGGGCAGCTGAACATGAGTCACCTGGAGCTCCTGGCAGGAAAAGGTGGTATATAAATGTAATAAATAGAATAAATATGCAAGTATAGATTCCAACTGGACGCGGGTGGCGCTGTGGTCTAAACCACTGAGCCTAGGGCTTGCCGATCAGAAGGTTGGCGGCTCGAATCCCTGTGACGGGGTGAGCTCCCGTTGCTCGGTCCCTGCTCTTGCCAACTCGAAAGCACATCAAAGTGCAAGTAGATAAATAGGTACCGCTCCAGCAGGAAGGTAAACAGTGTTTCCATGTGCTGCTCTGGTTCGCCAGAAGTGGCTTAGTCATGCTGGCCACATGACCCGGAAACTGTACGCCGGTTCCCTCAGCCAATAAAGCGAGAGGAGCGCCGCAACCCCAGAGTCGGTCATGACTGGGCCTAACTGTCAGGGGTCCCTTTACCTATAGATTCCAACGGAAACGTGCACATCCCTCCATCTAAATTACCTAGCCAATACATGTATATTTTGTGTGTCCCGCCCCCCCATCGTTATTCCTCCTCTACATGACTTTTGACCTTTGTCGTCCTTATTTACATCTACATTTCATTTGCTATTTATTAAATTTGCGAGTTGCTTTACCTTGTCCAGGGCAGCCCAAAGCAACTTACAGACAATAAACCCCACGCAAATACATTAAAAGCAAGAGGAATGAGAAAGGGATTGTCATCATCACTACTGCGAGAGCCGGTCATTTATTCCTCCTGGCGGCTTAACGACCTTCTCACCGAAGAGACCTGCTGCGCTCGGAAGCTGTCCCCTGCCCTGCTTCCATCCTGCACTCTGCGCATGCTCCCGCTCGATCCTGCGGGGAGGTGGTGGCAGTGGCTCCTCCCCCTCCGCCTTCCTATTGGTCGCGCCAGCTGCGGACGTGGAGAAGCCGCCTCTCGCCCCGGCCCGGGCAGCCGCGCATGCGCTCCGAGCCCAGCCGGGCCTCCTCCCGCCGCGCAGGCGCCTTGACGGCTTCGCCGCGGCTCGGGAGCCGCCCGGGGCGCGCATGCGCACACGGCCGAAGGCGGCACCGGCGGCACTGCTGCTCGTCCTCGGTCTCGCGGCCCTGCAGCCTCGCCTCGCCGGGCTCCGCCTCGCTCCGCGCTTGCGCGCACCGCCCCGGCCGCCTCCGCCCCTCCCCCTCCTTCCTGCATGCGTGGGCCCGGCGGGGGCGGGGTTTCCGGGAGCGCGGGCGCCGTCGGGCCTGACGCGGCGGCGAGGATGAGGATGGCGGCCCTGAGGGGGCGCCGGTAGCGGCGGCGGCGGCGGAGCCAGGTAGGCCGCGCCCCCCCCCTGCCCTCAGTGGTATCGCCCGGAGAGACGCAGGCGCGAGCGCGGGGCACTGTGGGAGGCGAGGGAGGGGGAGCGCGGGGCAGAACTATCGGGCGGGGGGGGGGGGACGTGGGAGCGAACCATGGGCGCGGGGGGAGCGGAGGCGGCCGCGGGCGGGGCCTGCGCGGAAGGCCGAGCGGGGCGGGGGGGGCCTGCCTGGGGGGAGGAGGGGGAGGCAGGGCGCCCCTCCCCCAACACGCGGCCTCTCTGCCCGCGCTGCCCGCCCGCCCTCCCTCCGGCCCTGCGAGGCAGGCTTGCTCGCGGAACCGCAGGGTGGGGCGGGACCCCCAGGGGTCATCTAGCCCAACCGCACTCCTCGGCAGCCATGCCGTACTTCGTCACGACCGAAGCATCCCCGGCAGGCGGCCACTACGCCCAGAATCGGAAGAGTAGAGCTGGGAGGGGATCCCAGGGGTCATCTAGTCGTACCCTATGCTACGCGGCCATCACAACCGAAGCATCCCATGCAGATGGCCTCTGCGAGAAGGGTAGAGCTGGGAGGGGTTCCCCAGGGGTCGTCTAGCCCAACCCCCTGCAGTGCAGGAGTGTCAGCTAAAGAATACCCAACGGAGGCTTCCCCCTCCGCCCACCATGCTCAATTGGGTGCCCCCTCCAGAGAGAGTCTGTTCCACTGTCTCGCTGCCTCCGGGCTGGGTCTCCAGATGCCAGCCAGGAGGCCCCTTTGCTGCCACCCCTCACCACCACCACCCCTGGCTCACACAGCTGCTTATGGGATGGTATTGCAGCAGTTCTGGCGCTGCCCTGCTTCAGGTGAGCCGCTGAAGACACAAATTGCACTGCAAGGGGGTTGGGCTGGATGACCCTTGGAGGTCCCCTCAACTCTAGGGCTCTGTGGAATTGCCTTCCTAAGGGTGTTGCCAGGAGCTGCTGCCACCTGAATGGCAACCTAGGGCCTGTTTGGTCTCCACTCCACGCACCAAACTCGTTTTTTTTTGGGGGGGGGGAGTTCTGGGTATCTTGACACTTTTGCTTGCTTCTTATGGGCAGTGCTACTGGCTTCCTACTATTCTTCCAAGTTGCTCATGCATATGTGGAGAACGTATCTCATTTCTTCCTTCGGATGCTCCCTCATGGCCAGCTGATGATAAAAAGGGAGCCATAGGCTAGGCAGATGCTCCTGGTCACACCCAGCAAGGTAGCAGCTCCAGTCAGTATTGCATAGTGGTTAGAGCTGGGCTAGGACCCGTGCGTCCAGGGTTCAAGTCCCCATTTGGCCATAAAACTCACTGGGCATGACCCTGGGCCAGTCTGTTAGCCTAACCTACCTCGGAGGGTGGTTGTGGGGCTAGAACAGGGAGGGAGAGAGCCATGCAGGGCACCTTGAGCTGTTTGGGGGGAAGGTGAGATAGATGTGCAGCCCAGCCAAGCAATTCGTGGAGGAGACGGGGGATGAGGAAGGGTGTGGGTCTATATGTACATGTGTTTACGTATTGGTGGCAATCCCACCCAATGCTCTCTTAAGCACACCTGTATGATGCCAGGAGATGCCAAGAGCTGGTCTCCTTGCCAGAAGCTGTATTTGGGTTGCCCTTGTGGGAAGGCTGCACCTCAGAGCTGCAATCTAGCACCAAGGTGCGAGGAGCTTGGGGTTTTGTTTTGAAGGGGCCTTGCTTTGGAAACCACCCCCTGTGTTTGGGGGA